CTGGGCCGAGGTAGCCAGCTTCTGCCACGATTAATTTATTGCCCTATAAAGTTGACAGTAACTGGAGGAGGGGGTGCATATTCCAATAGATCATAAAAGAACCCTTGCTCTCCATGTGACATAGAATGAAAGCTCCTTTTGTTAATAAAAGGGGAAGGTGGTGTTTTTTCTAATCATTGGCCCTCCTCTGTATCCCTGTTCATACCTGGTTACTTTGATTGTCAAGTTATGCTTCCTCATCTGTACATGTAGCCTAAAGGGTCAAGAGCTAGGGTCTTGTCTATCTTCTTCACTGTTGTATCTCCTGTGCTTAGCACTCTGCCCAATATCTACAGTTCTTTTTAAATGTATAGCGATTTATTTAATAAGTAAGTGAAAGAAGGATTAGCTCTCGGTTCATCACTTTGTTCTTTTCTCCATTTTCATCCTCCAGAGTTCTCTTGGTATAACTCAGCTTTTCATTAATTCAAATGATCCTTTCCACCAATTATTCTAAATAGTGAAGCACCATTAAGGTAGAAATTATGCAAACCTGTCCGGGCGCAGTGGGTCACACCTGTAATCCCAGCACTTTGGGAGGCCAAGGCGGGTAGATCACCTGAGGTCAGGAGTTCGAGACCAGCCTGGCCAATGTGGTGAAACCCTGTCCCTACAGCTAGGCGTGATGGCAGGCGGCTGTAACCCCAGCTACCCAGGAGGCTGAGGCAGGAGAATCGCTTGAACTCGGGAGGCGGAGGTTGCAGTGAGCTGAGATTGCCCCATTGCACTCCAGCCTGGGCAACAAGAGCAAAGCTCCATTTCAAAAAATAAAAATAAAAAAGAAAGAAAGTATACACACCTAAAATGGGAAGACGCCTCTAGTGGATATTTGTCATATTCTTTGATGGCTCAGCATCTTTCAAAACTTCTTGCTAAGATGGGGGAGGTGGGGAGGGAGACAAGGGTTGAAACACTATCTACTCACTACCTAGGTGACAGGTTCAATCACACCCCAAACCTCAGCATCCCACACAATATACCCTTGAAACAAACCTGTATATGTGCACCCTGAATCATAGACCTTGAATCTAAAATAAAAGTTGAAAAAAAATTATAAACAGAGGATCCTTAAAAGGACAAAAAAAAAAAAAAAACAAACAAAAACAAAAAAGAAAACAAAACAAAAAAACCTCTTACTTCAATCAACTTAAGGAATTTTTCTCCAAATCCTGCCTCCCCAAAGAAACAGCTGGAAATTCTCTTTCACAGCCTCTCTTTCACCCAAGGTAGAGGCAAGTGACTGGAGCTTTGTGAATGAGATATTCCCTTGAGTGACTTACATCCAGAAGAAGGTGTAGATAAGGAGGTACCATGTAAAACCCAGGATGTTGGAAAGATAGCTCGTTTCAGAGGCAGCGGGGACAAGAGACCTAGGGGCATCCTATGCTCAGTATTTGGGGTTGCAAGCTGCCAGATATGTGCTCAGGGCAGTGGCAGTAGAAACCCCTACAGGGTAACCTGGGGTTTGTCCTTAGCCACATGGCCTACAAACCTGACTCTCTAGTCCTACTGGAGTTTCAATGAGTCACCAATATCTTTTTAAAAGTTTTCTTAAGCTAGCTAAAGTGGATTTTTTAATTGACATATAATTTCCAAGCCACAAGATTCACTCTTTTAAAGTATACAATTCAGTGTTTTTTTAAAAAAAAATTACAAAATTCTGAAACTATCACCACTATCTAATTCCAGAATATTTTTGTCACACCCCCAAAAAAATAATTAGTGGTCACTCTCCATTCCCATCTCCCCCTGTTTCTGCAGCCGCTAACCTACTTTCTGTCCTTATGGATTTGCCTATTGTGAACATTTCATATAAATGCAGTCATACAATATGTGGCCATCTGTGTCTGGCTTCTTTTACTTGGCATAATATTTTCAAAGTTCATCAATGTCATTTCAGGGATCAGTGTTTGTTCCTTTCCATGTCTGGATAGTATCCCCTGCATGGATAGACCACATTTGGTTTATCCATGTATCAGTTGATATACATCTAGGTTGTTGATACTTTTTGCCTGTTATGAACAATGCTGCTACGAGCTGGCATGTTTTTTTAAAATTCTGCCTGGAACATACCTAGGAGTGGAATCACAGGTCATGTGATAAGTCTTTAACTTTTTGAAGGACTACAAAACTGCTTTCTAATGTGGCAGCATCATTTTACATCGCCATTCCTGCCAGTAATATATGAGGGTACAGAGGGCTCTTTTGGTGGCACCTAAGAACTGTAAATAACAGTGTTCATAGTAGTGAATCCTTTGTGTTTGCTTCAAATGCTCAGTATATGGAAAAGCACACATGCGCGCACGCACACACGCGCACACACACACACAGAGAGAGAGAGAGAGAGAGAGAGAGAAAGAGAGACTAGGTTTCTGCATTTATGAACTCCTGGAATGACATATTCAGCTTTTCATCTGCCCCAGTACAAGGTGGACTTTGTTAGAGGGGAAACATACCAAGATCTCATTTCAAATTCGGAAGACATCCTGGCAAGATCAAGAAGGGAGATTTATTGTTACATAAGAGCTTTCTATTCTTTGTGTGATATTTTACCTTTAACTCCCCACATGCCGTGCACATTTGTGACTTCTTTTATGTAATAGTGGTAACCAGCAATCCCAGCTAATCTATAACCTGTTTCCTAAAGTGCAGAAAAGAGCTACCTTCACCATCCCTTCTTGCTAACTAACTGGAAGATATTGGATCACCACACTGGTGTTGACCAACGAGAAAATAACAGAGCCACTTTGAAGGGTAGAGACAGGCACGTGACCCGACATCTTCCAGTTGTCTATCGGTAACAAGGCACAGTAAAGTTAGCTCTTGGTGGAACTCAAACAGTTGTCAAAGCAAGCTGCTGGTTGGAATCATCAGATCAGAAACTTGTAAAATGAGTCACCCCTAAGTTCCAGAACACCATTCTCCAAGGCCAGGTGCAAAACTCTCAATGACTCTGCTGCTATGATAAGAACAAAGAAATATTGTTGGGATCTTGACGATATCTGCCACGGCCAACAAAACCTTATCTTTGTAGGTATATATGACATTTAATGTTATAACATTAATAAGAAAGGAATAGATGTCTCCCTATTTAAGTGAAAGAGTTTGAGAGTATTATTTTTTATTTTGGCACACCTATGAAGAAATAAAGTAAAATTATGTGATCTGAAGAACAGAGCATATGTGGAAAAGGAAGGCCCCCAGCATCTTCCTGAATAGCTGGCCAGGAGTTGTAAGCATAGGTCCATGTTGTAGGGGCTGCTCTGGGATGGCCACAAATGGATATGGTTCCATGAGAGGTGGTTCTCAGAGTGTGGTCTGAGGAACAACCTCTGGGGGTGTTGTTGAGCAAAAGGGCTCACTCTTCAATGTGCTAGAAGCCAATACTCTGACGAAGGGTTTTGAAGAAAAGGTTTTTATTGCAAGTCAACTCACAGGAAACAGGAGTCCAGCTCAAACCTGTCTTCCTGTGCTGGCTTTAAGGAAGTATTTTTATCAGAAAAGGCTTAGGGGATGGATGCTGGGATTAGCAGGTGATTGGTGAAAGAAAGGGGAGATCTAGAAAGTCCTCAGGCATGCACAGTTATCTCTTCAGGCCTCATCATGGGTCCCATGTGCAAATTTGGGAGGGAGTTAGTATGAAACTGTGGTGGAAATTTAGGCTGTGACATCAGCAAGCTCTCTCTGCGTTAACTCCGGCAAGCCATATTGGTTCCAACCGATACATCTTTTTCATACATTTCTGGCTGAAATTTAGCATTTTGTTAGGTTATGAATGTAGACAACAGAGCACAGTAGTTTTCACAGAGCATGAGTTTGTCAAAAATGGAATCACAGCTCTTTCTACATTACGAGATTTTAGTGGATATCTCAAAATATTGTTGATGTTGATCATTACATTGAAATTATGGCATTGTTACTTCCACTATTGGATCTTTTCATTTAATTTGATAATGAAAAAACACATCTCATGGGTTACTATATCCATTTTTCTTTAATATTTGGATAAGTATCTTGTAATAAGTTTTCTTTGAAATAGCATGCATTTTGCTTGATGCATTTAAAAACAATGTTGTGAGGAGGAATTCTGTAGGTTTCACTAGGCTGTCAGTGGGGTCCCTGGCACTTCACATGCTCCAAAACCCCACTGGCCTCACTAGGGCCTTGGCCGTCAGATTTATGTAGTCAGAATGCCTCTCCTTAAGCACTTTGTGGCAGCCGGAGCCAAATTCCATCAATATATCCTTGATGGTAACATTAAATATTTCTTAAATATCAAGTAAATAATGTTTCCATCATTGTGACCTTCCTGAGTTTGTTAGAGTTGACAAGTTTCCCACCTTTTTGACCAAAGGATTCCCATGGCCGGTTTTCCGTATTTCACCAGTTTTCTAGTTAGCTCAGGCCCTCATCCAAACGCCCCTTATTGTGATAATCACATGATTTAACAATATTGTTTGTCTCTAGCCTTACGCAGGCGCTGACACATGAGTGTGCAGGGAGAATGAATGACTTCCTGGTCATAAGAAAAGAAGAAAACACAGGGAAGCAGACTCACTCATTCCAAACACATTCATTTTCAGGTAACATCAAAACTTAATATTCCTGTTGAACATTAATATATAATTTATTTATCTCAAATTTTAACCCTATAGAATTTTAAGCAAGAGGGTTGCAACTCCTATTTTTACCGGAGTTGGTATTTTCCTAAATTTAGCAATTGCTATGATGATTAAAATAGTAATCAATAGACCCTTCCACAAACCTACATCTTATAAAAGACTCCTTGCAGAGATGTAAGAAAAAGACAATTATAAAGGTTATCATCCTATTGGTGGATTTGGCTGCAGGTTCTGTGATGCCAAAGAGAACCAGAAAGACAAACTCGTAAGAGTTTGCTAAACAACAACCTTAACCCCAAACAGAGATTACTCATGTTCAAAATAGCACAAAATTCAAAATTACTTGCAAATTCACTTGTTTTATTTTTATCCGGCATATAAATTGCATATTTTTCTGTGAAATGTGGTTATATACATTAGAAATAAGATTTACACACTTCAAAGCACACCACTGCAAAAATAAATTATTTTTAACCTCCAAACTCTCTTTTCAGCTTTGCCTGCTCAGATCTCAATCTCACCACTAGCCCTTTATGCTAAAGATTTCTCAAGACCCTCTTCTCTCAGGTGAGTTGACTCTTCCTTTTTCCTCCCCATGAGGCTGTTGATAATTTCACATTATGTTCTTACTATGATCACTTTTACTATCATCTTCTGTTTCCTCTGATCTTTCCTTGTGTTTGCCTCTTCTTTGCTTATCATGCTCCCCCCACCTATAACCAATTAGGTGTATTATTCCCCCTGTTGCCTATAATCAACTAGCAGATGTTCTTTCTGGAGACTTTCTTGAGATGCTGATTAGCTTCAAGACCTGGAACTGTCACGGAAAGCTTTTTCTTGTGTGTTTAACAAGAGAATGGGGTCCATTCCATGATTACACACATGGACATACACACACTTCATCATGGACCCGGTTCATCTTCAGTCAATGTCATATGATGAACAATCACTACCATACTAACCACATAGAGACATTCAGGTAATGCATAGATTTTCCACACCTCCCTAACTGCCTATCCCGCAGGGCTAAGATTTAACCTTTAGGGTTCACACACAAAACATATAACAAAATTAACAAAAATATTTCACCAACAGTGGGTATGAACCAATTAGCAACACACAATAATTTTTATGAGCATGAAGTATAAGTAGTTTCAAAGTCGTTCATAGTTAGAATCTTGCTCTAAAAATTCACGGAGTGCTTCTCCATGTCAATGAGGTAAAATTATGTACACTGATGTTTCTGTCAGTCACGTCGATGCTTAATACCTGTTAGGAACCAAAGGAAAAGAATTGGGCATCTGGTGTTGAAATTTACTGCATGCAAATAAATTAGGTGCAAGTATACGGTCCAAATAACCCCCTAATACTTCTATATTGTATTGTCTAGCTAAAAGATTGCCCTCAAAGTTTCAGATGAGAAAAGTGTTTTCTAATTTTTTAGAGTACAAAGAATATTCAATGGCAGAGATGGGCCTTTAATTCAAGATTTATTTAAATTTTGTTTTAATATTTTATGTTTACCATTTAAAATATTAAATGGTAGAGACGGGCCAGGTGCGATGGCTCACACCAGTAATCCCAGCACTCTGGGAGGCCCAGGCAGTTGGATCATTTGAGGTCAGGAGTTTGAGACCAGCCTGGCCAACATGGTGGAACCCCGGCTCTACTAAAAATACAAAAGTTAGCCAGGCGTGGTGGTGGGTGATTGTAATCCCAGCTACTCGGGAGGCTGAGGCAGGAGAATCACTTGAACCTGGGAGGTGGAGACGGCAGTGAGCTAAGATTGCACCACTGTACTTCAGCCTGGGCAATAGAGTGAGACTCAATGTAAAAACAAAAACAAAAAAAAGAAAAAAAAAGTTCAATATGCAACCACTGAAGAGAAACAACTGCACAAACTGGAGAGAACGCCCTCTTTTCCATTCTACGGAGGTGCTGATTTTTCTTGGCACCACCCTTCTGTTTCCTTCTTCTCCTATTCCTCTATCCACCCCAGTGTTTGCCCAGCAAGAGTCCACTATTCCTGCTTCTTCCTAGGCAGATGCTGTCAAGAAGGTTTCACTGCATGTGCCCTCATCAGCTTGCATGTCTGTCCATGAGCTGGTCAGCAGCAGGATTGGGCAAAGTCCTTTAAGGCATAGTTGGGGAAGTTGTTGACAAGAAAACCACAAGTATGAGGAAATAAATGTAAAGAATGCAAAACTGAAAGAAAACTTTTGTTTCAGGTTTAATCATCAGGAAGGATTATGAAAGAAAAAAAGTTCAGGAAAAAAATAGTAAGTAAACACACAAGGAAGAAAGTTTCATTTACCATCGGGATGATAAGTCTCAGGACCACTACACTGCATTAATCCCAAGGTAGAGATTTTTCATGCAACCAGAGTGTGTCTTGTAATCGATAACCATAGAATACTGTGAGCCAGGCAGCACTCATGGCATAATCATTATTGTCTGTGCCCGTGTAAGCTTCATTGCTATTACTGTGTTATGAATGGATGGACTGAAAACATTTAAGGATTATTATAGGAAGGAATAGTTAGTAAGATCAAGAAAGCACTAGGATAAAAATGTACATAAAGTGTGTCAGTGGCTCAGGAAAACACTTCATAGACACTAGTGGAAGGATTTTTATAAAGTGCTGAATCACCAACGCCTTTTGCAGTACAGAGGAAATATCTTACTAACACAGATTTTTCTTCAAAATAATAATAAATACAATAAACCATTTAAATAATAAAATAAAACAGTTTAACACAAATTTAAATAGTACAATTTAAATATGATACAAATTGGTTAAGCTATTTCTGGTGCTTCTTCACATGTAGGGTCTACCTCTTCTAAATTACTTTGAGGCAGAATCAGCAATATATCTCCACTTAACATTTTCCTCCATATTATCACCTACAATATTGAAACATATAGCTAAAAATTTATGTCTAAAGAAGTTTCAACAACTTTCTATAAGTTTATTATAAAAATTTGAGGCTGGGCACGGTGGCTCACACCTGTAATCACAGCACTTTGGGAGGCCAAGGCAGGCGGGTCACAAGGTCAGGAGATCGAGACCATCCTGGCTAACACGGTGAAAACCTGTTTCTACTAAAAATTCAAAAAATTAGCCAGGTGAGGTAGCGGGCGCCTGTAGTCCCAGCTACTTGGGAGGCTGAGGCAAGAGAATGGTGTGAACCTGGGAGGCAGAGCTTGCAGTGAGCTGAGATCATGCCACTGCAATCCAGCCTGGGCAACAGAGCGAGACTCCGTCTTAAAAAAAAAAAAAAAAAAAAAAGAGTGATAAGGAAGCATTCTATCATAGTTTTGTCATCCTTTTTTCTTTCTTTGTGGCACATGAAATAATGAAGCATATTTGATATATTTGGTATCATATTTGATAAAATATGATAGTTCAACCTATTTGGAAAGTTGATCTCTGAGGCAGAGGTGAGGGAGCCAAGACAAAGTTTTACATAGGTTTGCAGACAAGAAGACAAACATGGAAAGTAAGAATCCAGGCCATGCATTCCAAATGATGATAAACCATGATTTTTCATTCATCTCCATGTGGTCCATTCCTAACACACTGAAAACTCAGGAATTCCCAGAGGGCCTGGTAGGAGAGGGAATCATTTGGAAGGCAAGCAGTCAGGCGCTGCACTAGGCATATTAAGGGTGGAAAATACCATTCGCATTTTTCGCCAGTCACAAACCTGTGTCGTGGGGTCATTGTTGAAGGAGGGTGTTATGGCCATGCCGCTCACAGATATGCTGACACTGGTAATGGGGACACTGCCCACTCCCCAGATTTCAATGTAGCCCAGTTTCAAAGGATTTGTATCAGTGATGTAATTGTTGAAAATTATATGGCTTTGCATCGTATTCTGTCGAATTGGAGATTTAAAAAAAAGATAATAGCAGAATTAGTTCAAATTTTTTCCAACCTCTTTTTAGGCACAAATGTAGATCATAAAGTAAGACAATTTCAGAGTCACCATCTTGTGTCTTTGGATCACGGAAACCATGATTTCATCACTCTGTCTCCTATTGCCAACTCCCATCCACTTTGCATTGACAAGCAGCTGCAGGGTCTTTTGCACTGCCCTGAACTCTATAGGAGACAAAAGTCTCAACTGTCAAGATACTTATATTCTACAGGTGGAGGAATCACAAAATGTGCCGACCATTCCAAGGTAACTTAGGAACAAGGGCTAGATAACAGAAACAGCCCATCCATCTGTAACATGGTAAACTGGAATAATGATCGTTACTGATGAGATGAGGATAGGTTTAATTGCAGAAAGCCTCCTGGGAGCATAGTAAATTTCCACCAGAAGTCTAGAGAAGTAGAAGAATGTGAATTAGCAAGATGAGCAATGAAGAATTTCTAGGTGGTATTTTATGCCCTTATGATATTCAGCATCCTCCTAAGCCAGTGGAATCTTATTCTCACTTCATATCAGTCACACTCACCTGGCTGGCAGAAAAGTTGGCCAAGTAATAGAGTCCTTTCCCATAGGTATCTGCAAACAGACAACAAGATAAACATGGCCTGGGCCTGTGCTGTAGAACTCTATGCTATAGAATATGTAAATACTCTTCTAATTTTCTACTTGTCTTGGAGAAGTAGACTTCCAAGTTACTTGTTGAGAGAGTAAGGCTTATCTTCATTTTTATTTTCTGTCTTTTGAGTGTTCTATTTTAAAATGTAAGTCCTCTTTATGGAGACTAATCAAACCCTGCACCCATACTCAGTTTGCACAAAATGTTTGAAATGAATGTGTATAGATGCATCTGTGTGACAGAGTCACTTCATATAACAGTTTCCTGACACCATTTTTAAGTCACTTCTCTTCCTTGTGGTCTACTATTCCCAGCATCTTCCTAATCAGCGCAGAATTTCCAGGTTTCTTTTGCTGTGTGTACACATGTCTGCACACACATTTATATGCACATACATACATAAACACCAACACTGGTGTCTTGGTGGGTTTATCTTGAGGTATTAGGCAAACTTAAAAATGTGATCTCCAGAGAACAAAGATGATCAAAGAAAAGGCTTCTTTGTCCTTTATCCTAAATGTGTGCCACAGGCCCACGAAGAATATGGAGTCCAGCACAGCCAGTGAAGGGGAACTAGTCAACAGTTTGGTTTCAAGTATTCCCATCCTACACCCTTCCCTCGTGGCTGTCACACTCTTCCCTGTGTGCTGGCCCCTTTCTTTTTCTTTCTCTTTTCTTTCTTTCTTTCTTTTTTTTTTTTTCTGAGATGGAGCCTCACTCTTGTTGCCCAGGCTGGAGTGCAATGGTGCGATCTCGGCTCACTGCAACCTCTGCCTCCCGGGTACAAGCAATTCTCCTACCTCAGCCTCCCTAGTAGCTGGGATTACAGGCATGTGCCACCACACCTGGCTAATTTTTTCGTATTTTTAGTAGAAATGGGGTTTCTCCCTGTTGGTGAGGCTGGTCTCGAACTCCCGAACTCAGGTGATCTGGCCGCCTCGGCCTCTCAAAGTGCTGGGATTACAGGCATGAGCCACTGAGCCCGGTCGTGCTGGCCCCTTTATAAATGACTCACCACTCAGTCAGTTGCCACTGGCTATCCCTTACAACTGTGCTAAGAGAGTAGTCACTAGTAAAATGTAATTGTTTAAACTTAAGCTTGTTAAGATTGAATAAAATTAAAAATTCAATTCTTCAGATGCACTTGTCACACATTTCAAGTGCTCGATAGCCACATATGCCTAGTAGATACAATATTGAACAGCAGAAGATATAGAACATTGTCATCACTGCAGAAAGTTCTGTTGGACAGCACTTGTCTAGAAATAGCTAATAATTTCTTGAGCAATCCTGAGAGTTTACCAATTCCTATAAACTCCTAATAGAAAATATCCCATAAAAAATACAATTGATAGAGGTATTACCCCTCTTACTGGGACAGTAAACCATGTAATTAGGCAACGTGTCCTTGACCATAAATCCTCTGAAATTTTATCTCAGCTGGCTACAGATAAACTTTCCCCATGGCTCCCATATTGCTACCTTCTACAGTGGATTACAACAGTTGCATAATGGGAGGTGATTCAGAACTGAGCTTCATTTACATGAGGAATAAAGATCACGTCCAATGTGGATTATACCCTTGAATTAACAAATGATTATATTTTAAAATGCAACATTGTTTTAACAGGGAAAAGGTGAAAGCAGGCCTGTAAGGTAATCCAGGAATGTAGTCAGTGCCATCAGCATGAATCCCAGGTGACCCCTACTCACCAATGCTTTGCCCATCATCCCAGAAGAGCCAGCCCTCAGCAGTTCCCTCATCATCCAAGGCAATTTTGAAGCCCATGAACTTCTGGCGGCTGCAGTGAGGCGGGAGAGAGGCATTAGCTAAAAGCAAAGCCACAGCCACACACCAAGAGTTTATATACAAACATAAAGCAGCAAAGGGAAGTGCTTTGGGGGATAAAGACTGCATACTAGAATTCAAGAGACTTGTGACTTAGTTCTAATTCTGTCTCCATCTGGCTATATGACTTCATATCATGAACAAATGAATTAGTGAATGAATCAAGAGGATTCTCCTTTAAGGCTCTTAACGTAATGACAACCAAACTAACTGGGTTCTTTCTTTACCTTTTGAAAGGAAAATCCTGATGCTGAAATCTTTCTGTTTTTGTGACCTAATATCCAAAACATGTAGAGGGAGTTCTACTTTCAAATGTCTTAAGTCCTTCATTTTTATTTAAATCTTTGGAATCAAATGAATAGGGAGTCTGAGAATTTTAGTATTGATACCAGAGAGATGTGAATTTTAGTCCACGTTCATGTACTTACTAGCTGTGTGACTCTGAGCAAATCACTTAGCCTTTTTGCTCATCTATGAAATAAATGGTGGTAACACTACTAACCTCACAGAATTTATGTTTTCCTTTTGCTAAGAAAAAATACATAATTTCCACATGGAAATGCCCATATTCATATAGCTCTAGGCACAGGGCAAGCATTCACTGGATGTTACTTATGGTTAATTTATACATAGACTTTGATCTAGAATTTTAACATCTTGTAGAGGAATAAACAATTTTTCAGCAATAGTTTTCTTAGGAAAGCTTCAATTAGACCCAATAGTATACTAAAACTATTATGAATCATGGCTGCTCCTCTTTTGACTTCCATTTCAACCATGAGATTGAAAGATGACACTCTTAGACCTATCATCTCACTCCCTTAAACATAAAAGAGCTGTTAATAATTAGTCGAAGAGGGTAGAGTCTGAAAAAGGTTAAAGTACAAACAAGCACAAAGAAAAAACAAGTGTTGAGTAAAATTGCATGTGGGCTTGAGAGTGATGCTTACGTTTTGGTGGACTTCATTACAGATTGTTGAGCTAACTGACATGTAAAGGAAAACCTGAGTCTTGTCATTCACCTTAAGTGGGTGTTCAGTGCAGGCTCTTGCCAGGGCAGGATGTAGCCCCCACGGACATGAAGATTAATGTGGTCAAGAGGGGCTGGCAAGGTCTTCCACTCTCCTCTTGCGTTCATATCCACACCCTGCGGGCAGAAGAAGGTAAGAGATGACGAAGGAGAGGACAGGCCCCTCCCTGAACAACGCATCCTGCCAGACATCTCATCCTCCCCTCTGAACTTATGCCTGCTCATCACCCTTCACCACTTACCTGCCATTACCCATTCCGCATTCACCCAGTGCTGCATGAAATCTCACAAGGCGGCTATCATATCTTGTTAGGGTCTATGCCTTTGCTTCCACCATACAAACTACATTCGCCTGATGTGTGACAGGAAGAGGTGCTACTCTCTCACCTGAATCAGAAACCTAACCTAAGGGACCATCCTTCCATCCTACATGTTCTCAACTAGAGCAGGGCTTTTCAGTCTCAGCACTATTGAGATTTGGGGCCAGACGATTCTCTGGTGATGGGGCTATCTGTGCCTTTTGATATTCAGCAGAATCCTCAGACGTCAACAGCATCGCCTCTTCACCCCCACCCTGTTGTGCCGACAAAATATATCTCCAGGCATTGTCAAATGTCCCCTAGTAGGCAAAATCCTCTCATTTGAGAGCTGCTACTTTACAGGTAAGAAGCAATTACTGTTGACAACATGTAAACATACATGCATGGCTGTGTTCCAATAAAACTTTATGTGCAAATCAGCTAACAATCAGATTTGGTTGTGGGCCATAGTCTGCCAGCTTGTGCTCTAGAACGAGTAATAGGTACTCAAACTTGGGAAGATTAATTAACGTGACACTTCTTCATTAATGTTAACTATGAGATTCATCTTCATTTTAATTAAACATCAAAATTTCATCTTTTTCTAAACAGCTTTCACCATGATTTCTTTTGTCTTTCCCTCTTCAACCAAAGACATCTTCTGTTACTGAATGGGAGACTCAACATGCACACTCAGGACAAAGGCCAGTCTCACTTAAAGAAAGCTGGCCACTCTTCCTAGGGAAGACCTGGCTGGGAAGCACAGAGCAGAGCCTTAACATGTTACCATCCTAAGGGCAGATCCAGACTAGCAACAGGAAGGGGAGTCTAGAGCAGTGGGGAGGATTTTGGCTCCAACGGACTGCGAAGAGAAGGAACAAAATTGCACATCCTTCTCCAGTTTTCACCTAATCTCACTGCAATCCCCTTGGATGAAAGGGGCCAGCACGTGCTCTGCTTCTTGTAACCCTGTTTGCACCCCTTTGCTATATTGCCAGCCCTCAACTTTGTTCTCAGAAAGTCAGAAGAAGAGGCCTCATTAGAGACCAAGGAAATGCCTTCTTTGACTCTACCCCAAGAATCAGGGTCTGACTTGTCAGGGTCCCAGCAAGAGACCACCACCCCAGAGCTGCCCTGGAAGACCCTGGCTTCCCAGCTGAGTCTTTGGGAATGATACTAACAAAGAACTATGCGGCAAGGAGCTCTTCATTGCTGCCCCATTTCTAAAGGCACTTGTGCTGCTTAGACTCACAAGGCTTGGGTGCCACACCTCTGTGTGTGTTTTGCACATTGCCTAATCACTTGCTTACCTTACATAATTATGTGCATCGCCCTTCTTTGAGCATCTATGCTATGGAAGGAGATATTTAATAAAAAGACAGAGACAAAAAGGCCTCTATGCTTACGAACTTACAGCAGGCAAAGATATCAACATTAAAAACAAAACCTATAGTTTGCAACACAATCTCAAATGTTGGCTAGCATCTGCCTTTACAAAATGTAGTAAATAGCAGTGATATAAGAAAATATTAAAAATTAACACAAAGAGAACACCCACAAAAATCCAGACCCTGAGTGAGATGCTTCATGTGTTATTTCACAATGGTTCTATGAGGGAAGTGGTCTTACTCCACTTGGAGGTGAGAAAACTGAGGTTATAAGGGTTAAAGTGACTTATCTAAGACCACACAGCAGGTGGGTTACAGATCCAGCATTTGACCTAAGGTCCATCAGATGTAAAGCCTTTGTTCTCTCTACCATATTCCCGTGAAAACATTCAGAAAAACTTACCGTGTAGTAATCGTACCAGCAGGCTCTAGGGAAATATGCAGTGACATTTCTGGCATTCTAAAATGAAATACAAACAAGGTAAGGCAGTGGGCACCATGTTCCAGGACAGAGAAACCAAACTGCTTAGGAAAGAGGTGAAATAATTGTGATGGCCTTGGGCCCACTTGCTTTCATCTCTCAGGAGGTCGGCTATTGGGGAAACCTTCCACCCCCTTCTTCTTTTTCAAACAGGGGAAATTTGTCTACCCAAAACAAGTGGCATTCATAAAGCACTTTGGTATCCAGGACTTCGGGAACAAAAAAAATCAGTATTTGCTTATAGAAATAGGCTTACGCCATTCACTCTTAAAGAGACAAAAAACTGAGGTTGTGTCTGGGGCAGAAAAAAATTTTGTGGGTACAATCAGATCTGGGGGCTGGGCATGGGGTGGCTCACGTCTGTAATCCCAGCACTTTGGGAGGCTGAGGAGGGTGGATCATGAGGTAAGAAGATCAAGATCATCCTGGCTAACATGGTGAAACCTTGACTCTACTAAAAAAAAAAAATTAGCCAGTCATGGTGGCGGGCACCTGTAGTCCTAGCTACATCAGGAGGCTGAGGCAGGAGAATCATTTGAACCTAGGAGGCAGAGGTTGCACTGAGCTGACATAGTGCCACTGCACTCCAGCCTGGATGACAGAGTAAGACTCTGTCTCAAAAAAAAAAAAAAAAAAAAAAAGATTTTGTGGAGGTGCAATTAACTGGTATTTTAATCAGAAGCCCAATCAACAACAGAAGTAAAGAAATGCCTTTTACTACTGGGAGGTAATCCTTCACAGGAAGGGAGGGTTAGCCAGCAGCAATACGAGTACACACATTGCCAAGTAATACTTCTGAAGAGTTGTAATAGTGCTAGGAGATTGTTATGAATTCTTTACAATACTGCCCCCATCTGACCTTCTCTTCCTTATTTTAGTTAATGAAGAAATGATTGTGTCATTTAATACACTATGAGGTGTTTTCTTCTTGATCATCCTGTGAACCAGAATTGTTAGGCTCATTTTAAAGATGAAGGAGCTGAGGCCCACAACACCTAAGTGAGGGACTTCAGCTCAGAAGGGGAGGAACAGACACAGGGAGAATAAGAAACCATGTCTTAGGACCCCCACCAGCTCAGGTCTCTTCTCCTCGTCCTTTTCCCCAAGCCTCACAGCTGGGATCCTCCCCTCATCGGAGGCCTCCATACTCACGCGCTCCAGGACGGGGCTGACCAGGAAGGCTGGGCCCAGCAGGAACTGACTGTCTATGTCCCACGTCACCTGGTCTGACACAAACCTGGAAAGGGAAATGAAGGTGCCCAACAGAGCCCAACAGAGCCCCAGCCCGAGACTCGGAAGAAGCTCCTCAAGTTCAGATCCAGTTGGAAATGCAGCTGCCCCTGAGCCTGCCTTGCTTTTTCCCTAGGCCTAGCTTCATCAGGAGCACCAGCCTCTGCTCTCCCCACGGGATGTGCCTAAAATGCTCAGATGTATATGTGTTCTGTCCTGTAAAATACTTAACCACATTTCTTAACCATGTCACATTTTAAACGCAAGGATGGCCTTTTTCCCTCAGATCTCTTCCTGAAATCCTTCTCCTGTGACCTGGCTACATATAACCAAACTGCTACAAAAGGTAGATAGGTCTTTGCACAGCCAAATTAGAAAGAAATTATTCCATGCTGTACTGCATCATTTCAGTTTTGTTCATTCAATAAATAGCCTTTCATTAACGACCTATGGCATGTATAGCACTATGCTAAAGACAGTAACGAAGTATGGTCTTCACCTGAAGAGCTCACGTCAAAAAGCAATCATGTCTTTAATTTGGAAGAATTCAACTCCCACCACATAGAATGCAGTAAGTCATCCATTAGTCATTGGGATTCCTGCTGGACACTCACTCATGAAGCAGAGGCCGCACAACAGTGACGCCCTCCGTGTGGGCCTTATGCATCAAGGTATACAGATATGGCAACAGGGTGTATCTGGTCTCCAGGACATTTCTGGAAATATTCACAAAAGCAGCATCCCAGGACACAGGGTCTTGTCTCTAAAGGAGAAAGAGAACAGTGTTGGGAGGTCACCCTGAAATTTCTAGGAGATTTAAGAAAGCATATTCCAGTTGAAGATCACTCACAGCTAAACAACAGATAACCATACATGAGGCCCAGAGAATATTCTTAATAGACTGGAAAAGGTTACTGTAGTTCTCCTAGGACAGCTAACGAAATTTCACTATAAGACATTCTTTTTGGGTACATTTGGTACATTTCTGCCTAAACAACAAGAACAAAATATAATCATAATCTAAAGAACACAGAGGAATATGGTTCACTGAGGCCACAGCGCTTAATAATTTTTAAGGGTGTAGTGGCTCATGCCTGTATCCCAGCACTTTCAGAGGCTGAGGCCAGGAGTTCAAGACCAGCTTGGGAAATATGGCAAGATCTCATCTGTACAAAACACAATAATTTTCTGGGCACATTGGTATGTGCTTGCAGTCCCAGCTATTCAAGAGGCTGAGGTGGGCGAGTCTCTTGAGCCCCAGAGACTGAGACTGTAGTCAGCCATGATTGGGACACTGCACGATCCGGCCTAGGCAACAGAGTCAGTCCCTGTCTCAAAAGAAAAAAAAACTTTTTAAAGATATCGCAGGAAATCAGACTGCATTAACTTTAGATCAGAAATGGAGGTGGTGTTTCAAGTGAAACACGGGAGGCAGGAGCCACTGTCCTACCCTGGTCCCAATGGTGTTGTGGTTTCTTGAGAAGGGGTAAAAGGCCCCCAGCTGCATCCAGCGAACACACATCTCATATTCAGCGTCTTGAAAGAACCCACAGATATCTGCTCCTGTCTGAAACAAGAGGAAATAAAACAAGCCGGCTGATGATTTCTGAAAGATGTCCCCACCTTCTTGGTGCTTAGGAGGATCCCAAGGACACTCACATAGGATATGCCGAAGAGGCTGAACTCCATCATGCCTGCAATGAGAAGCACAGCAGTGTCACACCAGGCTCTCACCACCCGCCTCCTCACTTCTTCCCCAAGGATCCCAACTCCCTGCCCTACCGGCACAGGCCCTGGGAAGGAGCCACGCACCAATGATAGATTTCTTCAGCTGATCCCACGCGGCCGTGTTGTCTCCCAGCCAATGTCCTGCCCAGCGGCCAGAAGAGGGAAATGTAGAGCGGGTGATGACGACCCCTCGCTGTCCCGTCACCTCCTGCATGGCTCTGGTTGGAGGGCAACAGGAAGTGAACTGAGGGCACGGTCACGGAGCAAAGGCCAGAGAGCTTCTGCTCCCAGAGCCCTTGAGCCTAGTCAATGTTTGCTGCGTGATTGGAGGGAACATGGAAGTCTGAGCTGTAATTGGGGATCCACTAATCCCAGATAATGGAGATAACGAGTCACGTGTTCTCACAGTGCTTTACAAAGAACTTCACTGTAGCAATCTCACTGGAGTGCCCCCAAAATAGAAAGAAATTACTAAATCTTGCTATTGGCTTGCTCACTACTTAGTTTTCTATATTTGAAGAGGAACACAGTGAAGATCATAAGACTGTCCTTAGAAGAATTCATACCATTCGTTGAGCTTGCAAAGCAGGACTGTGCTAATTCAGTAGAATACCAATTACTCTCCACCAAGAATGGCCAAAAATAAAAAAAGTCTCCAAAGATGATTCACTTTGAAATAAAGGGGAGAGGCCGGGCGCGGTGGCTCAAGCCTGTAATCCCAGCACTTTGGGAGGCCGAGACGGGCGGATCACGAAGTCGGGAGATCGAGACCATCCTGGCTAACATGGTGAAACCCCGTCTCCACTAAAAAGTACAAAAAACTAGCCGGGCGAGGTGGCGGGCGCCTGTAGTCCCAGCTACTCGGGAGGCTGAGGCAGGAGAATGGCGTGAACCCGGGAGGCGGAGCTTGCAGTGAGCTGAGATCCGGCCACGGCACTCCAGCCTGGGCGACAGAGTGAGACTCCGTCTCAACAAAAAAAAAAAAAAAAAAAAAAAAAGAAATAAAGGGGAGAGATGCCCAGTCTCTGTGTTCCCTTCACCTCCTGTAACTAAAGCTATTGCACCGCCGGCTGCCCTGTGTGATCATTATGGTGTCTCCATGTGTGTCGTTCCCACCAGGATCATTAAGTTTTTCACTGGTGGGACCATGTCTTATTTAAATCTGTCCTCCTTTTCATCAGAGGGCCTGGCTCCACGTTAATGAGCATTTGTTTAATAAGAATCATTACACGGTTGTCATGAGAATCTTCTTAACCCCTGGAATCGGAATGAAAGAAAACTAGGGTGGCTATGTCAGTCCCTGGCAATCCCTCCGGGTTGTGACAGCTGGAGAAGGCAGAGACTCACTCGTATGTGGGTCTGGTCTGGGACCACCCGTACAGGTTGTGCACGTTGTAGTGCTGCACCGGGGAGCCGTCTGGGAGGATCTGCTGACTCTCCATGCACAGGGTCTTGCTGCTCAGGCCCCTGTCCCTGGACTCCAAATCTGAGGAGGAAGAACTGGTGAGATGAAATCCAGCCCTGATTCTGTTTATCCCTGACCTTTCTTCAAGGGATTGGACATTGGATCTTAAGACTGACTTGAGTCCTGCCTGGGTCACTCTCCATCTTCCCAGAGACATGAGCACAGAGCCCCCAGCTCTGAGCTGCTATGGCACCTGCAGTGTTTCCAACATCAAGTTCACTGAAGAAAGCGGAGGTGTAAGGAAGAATGTACAGCTGTCAAACACTACATGACAGACTCTGATTTTGACTTTTGATGTGTCAATTATTTCATGTAATTCTTATAATTCTATGAAGAAGACTTCATTATCTGTCTTTTACAGTACAGCAAACCGAAATTCGGAAATATCGCATAATCTGTGAAAAGTCACAAAACTCCTAGAGTGAACAATTTCTGGAGCTAAGATATGAATCCAAGTACAACTCCAAAGTCCATCAGCTCCACAATAATGACAAGCCAATAATTTCCACCCATTGATGACACCAAAAAATTCCTGTGATGGAATTCACATAAGCCTAAAAAACTAACAAGCCTAAGTGTGAGAACCCTTTGGTGGCATGAGCACTGCTAAGTGATTTCTGGACAAATTCAAGAAATTTGTGCAATGAGTCTAGTCACTTGCACATGCCCAGCTGGGTGAAGCATGTGCAGAGCTTTTGTCTCTGGTCCCCAGTAAACCACAGCAGCCTTGAGGATATGCCCTGAGCTATCCAGGCACACCCCTGGCCTTGGAGCTCCTCCAATGTAATCCTTCTTCCAATCATGGCTCTGCCAAACAAGGAGGCCAAGGCTTCTTACATGGCATGTAGGGAGGGCGGTTCAGAGAGGTCTCCCTGCAGCCTGGAGAAACTGCCCCATTCACGAAGCTTGATGGTTCATTCATATCCTAGAAATACCAAACACAGACATACCTTACTTTTTAAGATAATTACGTCCTGCCAATTCTGAGCCAAGGAAGCACTGAATAAATTGTTCAACATCCAGTAACTCCTGTAGATGCCAGCCCTGGGAGCTTCATCAAACCCTAGTGATAACTGGCTAGAAAGATTAATTCACCCCTGCAGAACAACTGGCTAGAGGGTTAAAAAAAAATCTCTCTCAAGGTGGGCGTGAGGCAGTGAAAGTTCCAAGAAATTCCTAGTCAATTGCCTCAGAGGTTTTATAGTAGGAATGTCGGGTCTGGTATAAGGTGTGAGGGCTATCAGGCTGTTCCCCTCCTGAGTGGAGGAAGTGTCTGATATGTCCAAAGTCTTCCTTGGACAATGACTATCCTCTTGACTGAAGGTCAGTGGTCCATATACTCAGGCACACAAAGATAGACAAGTGCCACAGGTACACACACACACACACACACACACACACTTACAATCCACAGGCCATCAAACTTCAAGCTCCTCTCTGGATTCTGTGGATTGTTGTACAGTTCTTCTATTTCCCTCTTCCACCACTTGGCAGTTGAATTACGGAAAAAGTCTGGGAAGGCCACATAAGCTCGATATAGCTGTAAAATATAAATATAATTGATTTATCCCACACAAATATATAAGACAGCAAGCAGGCACTTACCGAGAATGCAACTCACACAGATACTTGAGCTGCATGGTGACAGACGGCCTCAACATAAGCTAATAATGTTATTAGCTTATTAGAGAAATGTAGAATGAGAAGAGAAATTAGTGCAATTTGCACACCTTCCCAGCACGTGGAAAACTTCCAAAAACTGTTTTCTTCATATTGACACAGATGATGACAATCAATACCCGGAACTCATGACCTCATGCACTCGACGCCCAACCCTCAACGTCAGTCCCACCATTTCCTAAGCACTCCTCAAAGACAAAGCCAGGGAGAGACTGCAGACATGAGATGCGTGGTAACAGATTAGGAAGAAACACCCAGGGAGTCCCTCCTATATCATTCCCACTGAGAGAGGGGAGGAAGGAGTAAGATTACATTTCAGGATATTAGGCCAGTACACCTCAGTGTTTTCTACAATTTCAGAATCACATGACAACTACAGCTGTTGGAGCATAAATTGAGAGGACTTAAAGAGGACATTTCAACTTCCCCTTGTTCTCATCTTTCTTCAGATAATAACAGCATTGTTTTTGTTTTAACCTGAAAGATGGATTCAAGGTACAACTTCTTTTTTTTTTTTGAGATGGAGTCTTGCTCTATCACCCACGCAGGCTAGAGTGCAGTGGTGCTACCTCGGCTCACTGAAAACTCTGCCTTCCAGGTTCAAGCGATTCTTTTGCCTCAGCCTCCTGAGTAGGTGGGATTACAGGCACGCATCACCACACCTGGCTAATTTGTGTATTTCTAGTAGAGAGGTGGCTTCTTCATGTTGGCCAGGCTGTTCTTAAATTCCTGACCTCAAGTGATCCACCAACCTCAGCCTCCCAAAGTGATGCGATTACAGGCATGGGACACCGTGCCTAGCCAGATACAACTTCTTAACTACATTGTAGACTTTTGGGAGCAAGAAGCTGGTTTTATATTCATCTGAGTGATGAATATTATATTTTGCACAACGCTTAGCTTAGAACTTGACACAAATAGATACTCACTGTTTAATGGTGGGTTCACACCTCTTACAAGCAGCAAATAAATGTTGCTTGTTATGGAACATTATGGCCCTTTGTATGTCTCAGTAAATAGCCTCCTTTATGATAATCACACCATTGTAAGAGTTAAAGAGCTAAAGAATGCTGGTGAGAAGGGTGGGGTAGGCAACAGAAAGAGGACTTGGTCTAGGGGAACTCCAGTTCTTATACACAATAGACAAAAGGCAGGTAGGAACCCATATGTCTACATAAAGGGCAAGAAAAGGAACATGAGAAAACAGAAACAGATCAGCCTGCATGAGTTTGGCTGTCAAGGACGTGAGAAGACAGTGGCTCACATCAGCAGAATCTTGAGAGAAGTGGGCTTGCCAGGTATGCCTTTTGTTAGGAAATGGAGGTAGAAACCAGGAAACCCGACAAAGAGAACCTTTCATCAGAAACCGAGAGCTCCAGATCAGGCAGGGTTAGAAACAATGGGATAGGTGCGGGATGGAGAATTAGAATAAAGAGAGTATCAGCCACATCTGAGTCAGAATTGTATCCCATACGGGGTACACGTGGGGAACCCTGCCAGCCATGATGTAGGAACTTCCCTAAGTACTGCTCGGATGACCCCTACCAAATTCATAAAAATGTTCTGCCGTTCTCCAACTTGCTGGCTCTACCTTACACCTGTGCATATTCAAGTCTTGCCTTTGTGGCTTCTGCCTTCACTTTCTCCAGTCTTCAAACAGTGACGTACCCACCCACACACTGGGCCTCAGGATCACCTAGCAGTCTTTTTGTAGCACATCACATGCTACAAAATGCAATTCCTAGATCCCATCACAGACTTACTGAATTAAACCACTGGAGCTTTGGACTCAGAAATCTGCTTTCGTGGGACTGTTGGCTGTTTGTTTTATATTCAGTGAAGCCAGACCTGGACATCAGTGGCTTCATCCTCACCAGCTTCATCGAGTGGATCTTACTATAAATAATATAAATATTAGGTTGGTGCAAAGGTAATTGCAGTTTTTGTCATTACTTTTAATAACTTACTTTCTTTCTTTCTTTTTCTGAGATGGAGTCTCGCTTTGTTGCCCAGGCTAGAGTGCAGTGGGTCAATCTTGGCTCACTGCAACCTCTGCTCCCGGGTTCAAGTGATTCTCCTGCCTCAGCCCCCTGAGTAACTGGGATTACAAGCATGTGCCGCCACGCTTGGCTAATTTTTGTATTTTCAGTACAGATGGGGTTTCACCATGTTGGTCAGGTTGGTCTCGAACTCCTGACCTCGTGACCAGCCTCCCAAAGTGCTGGGACTACAGGTTTGAGCCACCGTGCCCAGCCTACTTTTAATAACTTTCAGTGGCAAAAACCGCAATTACCTTTGTACCAACCAATAGTTATAATTATCCTATCTATGAAGACTTATCTCTTATGAGCTAACTGACAGATTCTGTGACTCCCTGATGAAAAGTTTCTCATCAGAGGCACAACTGGCATTTGAGGTGAGAGATATTTTGTGGAGAATTCCCTGCAATCAGAGCTATCAACATCCTTGAGCACTGCCCACTGAATGCCTCTGGTGTCCCTGTAATAACCAACACTGCTCTCAGATTTCCAATTGCCTCAGGATGGCAGTGTTGCCCCTACTGGCTGATGAACTGTGGGGTTCTGATACTGACTACTTGATAAAAGTCAAGAAGCCCATGACTCAGAACTTCTCTGGCTGGGCAAGTTCCTGTGTCCATGTGGGCTGCTTGGACCCCTAAGCTTCAAGTGATTCTCTGTGACAGGTGACGAGAGGACAGGAAGCTAAGTCTTCTCCCTTGAATATTATACATATATACATACATACATAGAGATAGATGGTAGATAAATAGGTAGATAGATGATAGATAGATAGATAGATAGAAGAGGGATTTGGATAGATAGGGTGAGTGGATGAATAAAGGTAGAGATAGATAGAGAATAGATAGATAGGATAGAATGATAGACAGATAGATATAAATGAATAGGGTGGCTGGCTGGCTGGATAGATAGATAGATAGATAGATAGATAGATAGATAGATAGATAGATAGACAGATAGATAGATATAACCTGAGTAGATACAGTAGATAGACAGACAGATAGATACAGATAGATTAAGTAGATGATAGATGATAGAGAGATTGATAGATAGATAGATAGATAGATAGATAGATAGATAGATAGAGTGTGTGGATGAATTAATAGATTGACCAGTAGATACATAGACATGATAGATTGAAGATAGATAGATAAATACATAGATATACATAAATAGATAGATACTTGTTCAGTAGTAGACAAAAGGAAACCAGCCTTGAACTGAGTCTGACTCATTCTTGCCAATCTTCAAAACCTGCCCCAGGTTCTGTTTTGCTCGTTTTGTTTTACTGCATCTACTGACAGTAAATAAAGACATGCAGTCCAATAGCCAAGCAGCCTGGTCCCAAGTGTGTCTCATTTTAAATTAAAAAGTGCTACTGCTGCCAACTGGCTCTGGGATCCAGGAAGTCAGAGACTGACACCAGAGAAGAACGCATCATGGGTTTGCAGTACCATCTGTTCTCCCTACCCTACTAGAGCTGTGCCAGGCCTTAGCCCCTGGCTCCAGATTGTGTGGTTCTGTCTAATATATGTCTTTCCCTGTAGGACTCACCACTTGCCCTGAAAATCAACTTATCTGGATAAGGCATGAATATTTGGCCTAACTCTTGCTAGTCACATTCCTGGTGACTGGAATGTTTCTCCTGCATCTCTGTCCATGGGCTACGATCTTACATTATGTAGAAAGAACTCCCAAAAGAGGCCTTCACCCCTGGGCTTCTGAGTGGCTGCTAACTGAATTTACAACTGCTGGGATTTGTTACAATATGGATATTTCTCTGATTAATACTTGACCCTGAGACAGTATCTAGTCTCTACAACATATACCACATTGCTGATTGCACAGGCCAGCTTCTTTATCCCTTCAATTCCTTGCAGGTGTCCTAGAGAAGAGGCCTTTTCCTTGTCTCCTCAGCTTTCCTGTGGGGGTCACACAGGCTACACATGCCCTGCTACAATTCCTACCCAGATAGAATAACCATTATTGAAGAACAGCTCAAGAGGTAGGGCAAGGTACTTGCTACCCAGGAAGTTCTCGGCCCCACCCTGAAAACCCTGTCTGTGGGAACTGTCACAACAATTGATAGTAAAGCACACAGGCTGCCTCAGTTTAGGAGACATGCATCTTGGCCAGAGGATGGGGCTGTAGGCTTCCTAGACCTGTAAGGAGCCATGTATTCATTCAAGCAAGAAATACTTAGTGAATCTGGAAAGAACTTCAGGTTCAGAAGCATGGGCTACCTGGATCCATTACAAGCAACAAACCGACCCCAGGAGTGAGCAGGTTTTACAATAAGGTTGGAAACTGAGAGGTAAAAGCAAAGTTGAGAAACCCAAGGAAGCATTGAGCTCAGAGGATGACTTGTAAGTGTGGAAATGGAGAAACGTGTTCATGAGGAAAAAAACAAAAATATATACAAATAAAAAGACCTAGTCAGTCTTCGAGGGTTGAAGACTGTTTAAAAGGGATAACCAAGGCAACAACAGTAAGTATACTAGTTCAGAGAAAAGATAGCACTTTTCGGAGCAAAAGTGGAAATTTTTGGGCCTTTGTAATCTGACAGCCTTGAAATTGAAATCAACACTCTGTCACCTAAAACCGTGGACAAGTCACCTAAAACCTTGGACAAGTAATTTGAGCTCTCTGGTCTTAAATCCCAAGGATAATAACACATATCTACATCCCAGTGGGCAGTAAAGTATTACTCCATGTAAACTAATTGGCACAGACTGACACCCAAGACACATCCCCTAAGTGTTTCGCCCTTGCCAAGCCCATGTCCATGGTACAGGCATGTCTAGAATCCCAGGAAGGGCTGCTCCTGCCTAGAAACCCTGACTCCACCCAAATTTACAAAGACCCTTTTACCTCCACTTGATTGTCCCAGTCTAGAGATTCATTCACAACAACACCAGGAAAATCGGGCCAGACCTATGGAGAGAAACACGCTCAGTAGCGATGCATGAGACAGTTTCCCTTACATAGGATTTCCCTTACATTATATAAACCATGTCCTAGGAGCAATGATACTTTGATTATCATGTAGGATTCATGGAAAAGTGAATTCCATAACGCGTTACATTACTTTAAAAGTTGATAACGGGCCGGGCGCGGTGGCTCAAGCCTGTAATCCCAGCACTTTGGGAGGCCGAGACGGGCGGATCACGAGGTCAGGAGATCGAGACCATCCTGGCGAACACGGTGAAACCCCGTCTCTACTAAAAAATACAAAAAAACTAGCCGGGCGAGGTGGCGGGTGCCTGTAGTCCCAGCTACTCGGGAGGCTGAGGCAGGAGAATGGTGTAAACCCGGGAGGTGGAGCTTGCAGTGAGCTGAGATCCGGCCACTGCACTCCAGCCCGGGCGACAGAGCCAGACTCCATCTCAAAAACAAAAAAAAAAAAGTTGATAACGGTATCAACAAATATTGTTTGACAAAAGGAGAGCGTCTGACCTCAGAGCCCAAATAGAAAACGCCAGAAATAACATACACAGGCATGTGACCCACTAATCGTGACCCACCCTCAGGCTAGGGACTAGTGGATCATCCCTTAGGATTATACCTTTCCCCAGACAATGTCTCCATCATTTGGGTATTTGATGAAGATGTCATCCTCCATGCCCCGAGTGAAGGCAGGATAGGGCTGTGTCTCATTGCCAGAAATGGCTGGATCCTGAAATCAAAGCATAAGTCAGTTGGGAAAATCAAACCCAGGGAATGAAGAGAAACAGAATAAAGGAGAACTCCTCCAGGGCGAACTCACTGGCTTCTACCTGAACTGTAGAGTTTCTGTGAGTCCTGGGAAATACAGAATTCTTACTGCACTTCAATTTATCTACTTGCAATATGGAAATAAAGTATAACTCTTTCTCCACCAAAGCCCATACCTGCTCCCAAACAGACAGCACACATTCACATCAGGACTAACCAGAATGAGGATGACCCGCATCCCATCAGCCTTCATGCGGTTGATCAGAGCTGGAAACCCAGCAAACTTGGGGCTGAGGGTGAAGTCCAGCTGCCGCTCCATGTAGTCGATGTCTGAGTACTGCACGTCCTGCGGGAGGACACGGGGAGCTGAGTGGCTGCTGCTGTACACGCTCAACCTTTACAGGAGAACAACCCTCCACTGCACATGGTGGAATTCCAGACAGCTTCTCATTGATGCTTGCAAACCCCAGCTCTGCCATTTGTTAGGTACACGTGCTGGGAAATTCACTTAATTTTTAAAATGTTCAGTGATCAAATAGAAAAAACCTTAAGTCAGCATAAAATAGGATGAGAATGCCTCTCTAACACAGCTATTCTGAGGATAAATAAGTACACTGGATTGGACAGTGCTTTGTAAACTGCCACCGTCAGGTGTGATTGTGATGACCTCCCCCAAGAGGCTTCCCCTGGTATCAGTGGTTCATGCTTAGAAAAAATACTGTTAACTACCCAGGGCTAATACAATGTGGATGATAAATCTACTGCAAAACATATCAAAACAAAGCAACAATGTATAGGTGCTTTGGAATACCCAACCCTGAGGGAAATCAGATACAACATTCTTATGGAGAATGAATACTGCATTTCACTATCCACTAATGGAAACACTATGTTCCACTAATGGAACTATTGTAAAACAATAGAAATGTAGAATAAAATTAGATATGCGATGGTACACTGGATTAATTCTCTGATGACTGGGTCCCCTCCCACTCTCCAGTGAAAGATAAGGTTTATTTATATATGTTTGCCCTCTGGAAACCCGTATCAGGATCCGTATATTCCATCAGTGATAGCTCAGAGTCGATAGGACACTGTGCTACAGCACCAGGGCTGCAGGAAATAAGGTCGTATCCACATATACAATGGTCTGACTGGGGTTAGTTTTTTTCAAGAATTAAGTAAAAGAACTGTGGGATATCATTTATTCTTATGGAACCAAGGACGTTTTGACTAAATGTTTTGAAGACATGTGAAAGAAATGGAAGGAAGCATGAGATAGCAGAAAAAGCCCTGGAGCCAGCCTATCTCCCCCTCTGGCAAGTCATGGTGAATCTTGAGCTATCATCTCTAGAAGATGGAAACAAGCACCCTTACCTATATGACTGTGCTAGGGTGAGGCTGTGATATTGTCTGAAAAAGAACATTATGTTTTTATAGAATCCCACGAATACTAGACAAATGAACCCAGACACAGAGGCACCTGGGTTAGTTACAAAACTCCAGAGCCATGACTGAGAACGTACATAAGGGATCTGGGCGGCCACCATCTCATCATACAAGCTGGCGATCTCAGAGTCGTTCTGGTATCCATAGCGACACAGCTGGAAACCCAAAGACCAGTAAGGTACCATCACAGGCCGGCCAATCAACTAGAAAAAATAGACACAAAATATTAGTCCTCAGAACAGAGGCACCAGATTGAAGTTTTACATAAAGTAATAAGAGTATTTTTCCATGCCCCAAGCTAGACAACTGACTAATTGAAATCCACATCAAAACTGACAGGATATAGAGCCACTGGGATACTTGGAGAAAGCTTTCTGCTAGGCTTGAACTCCTTCTTAAAAATTATGGAAAAGCTGATTTTACTCCATTCCTAGAGACACTGTAGGTAACTCATTAAGAAGCCCAGAATCAGAGACAAATGCCTGGCTTAGCATACAGGCTCCAGTCCTGCTACCTGTGTGACTTTAGGCAAAAATTAAGTAAACTCTTAGTGCTTCAGTTTCTTCATCTGTAAATAAGGGTATAATAATAGCCTCTGCCTCAGAGTCCTTTTGTGAGGACTGAAGAAGTTATTATGTGCGAAGTGCTCTAACAGGCAGCAAGCAATAAATCAGTGATGTGCAGTAGGTAGTACATAAGTATTTGCTGCTGCTGCCAAAACCACCATGGTCACCACCACCATCACTATTTTCACCATCACCACCACTACCACTGTCATGCCCTCCACCACCATCATTACCATCATCATTACCCTTCACTACCATCACCACCACCCCCACTACCACCCCCACCACCATCCCCACCATCACCACTATCATCACAACCACTATCACCAACATCACACTCCTCACACCACCCCACTGTCACCACCACCACCATAACCACCACCATCATCACCATCACTAACACAAACACCATCACCACCACAAACACCATCACCAACCCAACCATCATCAGTATTATCACAACCACTACCACCACCATACTCCTCACACCACCTCACTGTCACCACCACTATCACCACCATATCCACCACCACCCCCATCATCATCATTACCACCATCACCAACACACCCATCAACACCACCCCCACCACTATCACCACCATCACCAACACTACCACTACTACCACCATCATTATCACCATTCCCACATCACTGTCCCCACCGTCAGCCCCTACTGCCATCATCACCATCACCACCACCATAACTACAAAAACCACCACCACCACACTATCACTACCATCACCACCACTGGTACCACCATAACATCTGCTCTTCTGCAATGCTTACAGAGGCTGTACATTTAATGATAATCTGAATGTGTTTATTTTTTCTTATTCTATAATCTCTCTCCAACAAAGACCAATATTTCCAGTTATCATCTGAGAGTTACACTAATCAATGTGGGCTCTGGCATCCAGAATGTGCTGTATAAGTGCTTGATAAACAGCTGGATTTCCCCCTACCTCCGTGTACTGCTGGGTGACAAGCTCTGGAGTTGGCCCCAAGAACACATAAAAGTCCAGAACTCCCCCTGTGGTACGGTATGTCAAGGCAGGCAGGGGCTGGAACGTCACGTCTGAAAAGGAAGAAAAATGCCAAGCCAGATGGAAACCTTCCACATCACGAATCACCCCTGAAATCCACACATTCTCCATCTTCCTGCTCCCTCCCTATCACAGAGTGGTAAGAGCAGGCATTGTCTATCATCCACACACAGAACTGAAGAAGTTCATTGGAAGTCTACAGGTCCCATTTCTGGGTTTGATTCCTTTTGGTGTACTTTACTATATTTTGTCATTCTACTCTTATAAAATTATTTTTACATTTCAACTTTTATTTTGGATAAAGAGGTACACATTCACGTTTGTTACATGGGAATATTGCATGATGCTGAGGTTTGGGGTAGGAATCCTGTTACCCAGATAGCAAACATAGTACCCAATAGGTAATTTTTCAATGTACCATACACCCTCATACCCCCAGACTAACTTCTCTGACCCATAGTTTTACCCTAATTCAAATTATATAACTGGCTTCCACGAGCTGGCCTCCAGGATATCTGGGACCCATGTGGTGTTACTATCCCTTCTTATGTGATTTTTACCAAAATGAGGGTTGGGTTAAATCCTCTTATCACATGATCCTATACTGAAATAAACAGAAAGGCTAAACACAAAGAAAAAATAAACACTAATGCCCGTAAAATGAAAATTTTGACTTCAAGGAACAGTTGGGCTAAAAACATTCTAAACTGACTCAAGCATGATTGGTAGCCCCCAAAATAAGGGAGGCGCTGGACGGCCTTACCCATGGCATTGCTGTTCAGCAGGAACACTCCGTGGGCACTGCCATCCTCCTCCAGCCCCATGTAGTAGGGGTGGACACCATAGGAATTCTTCTTGTACTGGAAAGTCATGGGGAGAAGCAGTAGGCGTTTAAAAGACATTACACCTGAGAAAGAAACTCAACATAAAAGTGTTTGCTAAGATGGGTCTAGTTTTCTCCATGAAATCAATTAAACACATGAAACAAAGGAGCCTGAGAATTGGCCCACTCGTCTAAACCAGAATGAGGGGACCAAGTGGAGTTTGGGAAGATGAAGCCCGAAGCCTGAGCACTGTGGGTGGAGAGAAGCAGAGACACAGATCCCAAATGCTCTGTCCTTACCCCTGGGGGCTGGTCTCGGGAGAACATCCCCCAAGTGTGCCACTCCAAGTCTCTCCTATAGGATGTGTGCTCAGTTTCCCCAAAGCCATAAAGGTACTTGGAGGCAAGGCGGGTGGAGATGCGGATAAACATGTCATTGAAGGTGAAACCAAGGAGCTGAGAGTCCCAACTGAAACACAAAAAGGCAGATTTGAAACAGAAAATGGGTTTTCTCTCTGCTTCCAGCAGCTGACTTTTCAAGGACAACAGAATGTTTGATTTTTATCCAGAACCTGTTCATCTCCAAAACAAAACAGAAACTCAACTTGATTAAAATATCATAGAAATCCTCACTAAAAGCCCAGGAGTTATTCTTCATTCATCTGTTTCCCACTGTCACTGCCTCCTTTCACTGGTCCTCCACAACACAAACCAAAGCACTCCTCACCATCACAGCTGGGTACACCCCACACCAGCACCACCTTCCACCCTTGCACCCCTCAGTGCATTTTCTACATAGCACTCAAAGTGATGTTTACTTATTATTGGTTGTCATGAGAAGAGAACCCTCAGCTGTCTATAAGGAGCAGCATCTACTCTAGACAAGGCACCCCATAAACATTTGTTGGATGAATCCTCAGGCACACTCAACTGCCTCAGTAATTATTTCCAGAATGCTAAAGATGTCCCATAAGAACAGGTCTGAAGGAAACAACTCATCCATGGATCTGAAAGTGAACAATGTGATGTTTGGAACCAGGATATACATCCAAGGACAATGGACCTGGCAGCGAAGGCACAAGTAGACACCAACTCTGAGTCACACTAGAAACCACTCACATTATAGTGCCTGTACTCTTGCGGCGGATTTCAATCCCAAATGGATTCTTCTTAATGAGGACATCATAGAGTTGACCCTCAGGGGTGCTGGATGGCACCGTGGGTACGTTCAGAGGAACTGGAACTTCATACCGATTGTTGTTGGGATCATAAATCTAGGCCAGAGGAAATCGATTTGAGGCAAGAATTGTGCTCTTGAAACCTATACCCTTAGCAGAATCTATTTATTTTCGGACAAAAAGTTCCGATGCTATATTTCTGTCTACTTTAAGTTGATGATATCTGAGATTTAATTAATATATCAAATAACAACATAGGATTAAACATTTTTTCTGTCATTTCTCATTATTAAGGCCTCTATTACATTAATATACTCAATGGGATATTAGTGCTAATGTGGAAAATCATTCTGGAATCAGTATGGTATTTATGAATATGTTACTTTTTACTTTCTGTGGGCATATGAGTATATAAAAATACCTTAAAACCATTATGAATTGAAAAAAAACCCCGTCTCCCCAAAATGAAATCTATTTGATTAAAATTATCAGAATCTCCTTGCTAAAGGTGGTATCTAAACTGACTCATGAGTATCTACTACATCCCTGCCTGACACTGCACAAGACACTAGGGATGTGAGCTGTATAAGGCAGTGTTATGGTTTTACAAAATTCACATGCGAATGAGAAGTGAAATAGAGCAGCTCAAAACACCTGGGTGATGTGTGCTAAGGGACAGCTATGTAGACGTGCTGTGAGATTCTAGGGAAGAAAATGCCTAACATTGTTTCTGGAAGACTGAGATGGTGTCCCGGGAGAAATACAGTCTAGAGTATTAAAAGCTTGGTAGGCATTAACCAAACAAAGGAAGGAGATCAAGTCATTCTGCTGAAGAATAACAACCGGAAAGGCAGAGAGAATTAAAGTGGGTCAGAAGGAGGCAAATATTTTGGAAAGAGCTACTGTATCATCAAGAGGTAGAGTAGGCAATGGTTAAGGCTAAAACTCCAAGGAGGTTCATTCATTTCAAACCCATTAGGTGCCTACAACATGCTAGTGCTATGATGTACAAACACACTACATCATCATCCCTGAATTAGAGGAGGTACAAAAACTCTGAATTCAGGTTGATGTCAGATTATAAAGAACCTCTCAGGCAATGTGACAATGTCCTGATCACTTTCACTTACTGTGTCAATAACATTACAGCGCTAACTATCTGCCAGGCTCTGTATTAGACTTCAGAAGCAGAAAAAGGAAAGGGCACGTTCCTGTCCTTGAGAAGCTTAGTTTAATAGAAAAACAGACCTAATCTCTAGTCCATCCCTAGTCCTTAAATGCAATTAAATCCTGGAAAGAAATGAAATCACTGCACATTGGTGGCTATTTTATATATCTCAAATTCAGTATCCCAAACTGAACATATCATCTTACATTGATCAAGCACAAACCTTTTCAGTATTCCTATTCCAGTTAATGTCAGCACCATCCATATTAAGATGCAAGATACCAACACGGACATCACTCTTGATGCTTCCCTCTCCATTGTCACCTGCTTTCAATTGAGCGCCAGACCCGGTAACACAACTTCCTGAACCTTAAATAGGTGCACTCTTCTCCACCTGCATTCCAGTGTCTAGTCCAAGCCTAAGCCCTCAGCCGATCTGCTTAACTGGCAGCCTCCCAACTTGTCTCTCCGTACCCACTTTTTCTCTCCCAACCATTTTCCTAACAGCAGCCACAGTAATCTTCTCCAAATGAAAATCAGGGCAGGTCTCATTGTTCCCTCAATGATTTCTCACTGCTCTCTGGATAATGATCTAGTCTATTGTAGCATGATTAACTTATTTTAGGGTTCTGTGACCCAGACCAATAAAAGGTAATGGGACTGAAAAGGGTCAAGTCACCACCTGATACATGTGCTGTGTTTACCTTGAACTGCAGCATTTCATTCTTATGGTAAGTGACATCCAGGCGAAGGGGGTTCACGGGTGTGGAGGGGAAGGCATTGGCATACACGGAAGACTTTAAGGAGATGTCAGCTGTGGCCCCATGTGAATTATATTGAACATTACTGACAGAGTATAGATCGTTGACAAAATGGCAAATAGGGACTCCAGAAGAATTGGATGCCTGAAAAGTAAGGGTAAAGTCATACATCAGCACAGCATGTGGTCTTAAAGTTCTCTAACCTAAACGCGGGTAGAAACATCATTTTATCCGACAATAAAACCAGCCCATCACTGATCACTTGGCAATAACATAACTTTAATTTCCTCGTCTCCAAGCAAAATATTCATTTTAAAAAGTTTCACACTTGTCCCCACATATTCATCACATCCAGAACATGTCCCTTAGGGAGTCCTTTCTATGGATTTTAAGTAGTTATGTAAGTACTACTGCTATACTTAAGAAACTATACATTAGGTGTGGAGACTTCCATGCACGTGAACCCCAGCAGCATGGTTACCTCCCAGATACAGCCACGGGCAGTGCAGTTTTCTGCAGAAGCGCCATTCTCATCAGGGTAACAGTCTATTTTTTCATCATCCCTTATCTTTATGCTCCACTCCACTGTGTATGCTTCTCCCAGGAGAAGATTGATGTCTGTGATAATGGCAACCTGTAGGAATACAGAAATCACAAGGAAATTCATCTTTAGGAGATAGGCCTTGCAAGATCTGAGGCTTTTTTTTTTTTTTTAGGAAAGAATATAGAAATTTGACCAGACATTCAACCATTCAACCAACATATGACTTTAGGCCATAAGAAGAGAACTGCACATTGGGGGAATCTAATTAGCAGCAACAGGGCAAAGGTCTCCTCTCTAGCCGAATCTTGTACATAGAATAAAGAAAACAACTCAGTCAAATGAAACCTGTCATGATCACCCCTTATTCTTTTCTGTCCTGACTCCTCTTAGCCCTCTGTGTCTTGTCTGGCAGGCTCTCTTCTGCACTTCCTCTTCAGCATGACACATGGTGTCACCCAAAGTGAGCTGATCCCCTTGCTCTCCAGTCCCCAAACCAGTATCCCCCATTGGCATGGAGTGGTAGAAAGAACACAGCATTAAGAATCATATGATCTGGTTATCATGTCCACATTTCCATAGAACATTGAACAAATGATTTCTTTAATTTTTAATTTTAATGGATATATAGTAGGTATACATATTTATGGGTTATATGACGTATGTTGATTCAGGCATACAATGCATAATAATCACATCAGGGTAAGTCGGGTATTCTGTTTCATTTATTTGGGTTTCAATTTTAGCAACAGCAAAATTGAGAGGCTGAAAAAAATCATGTATTTCTTTCCATTTCTAACACCCTAGCCTCTTCGTTTCTGTAACCCCAAAGACTCCAATTTTGAAACCTTCCTTGATTACCATTCATTCAAATAGTTAATATTTTTCTATATACTTTTCTTATCTCTGACATTTCTTTAAACAGCATTTCCCAAGTTCTCACTTGTCTGGAATAATAAAATCCCATTCTAAAATTATCATCCTTCTCCCAGTCTCCTCCCAGTCTAAATGATCTTGTACTTCCCAGTTCAACTAGTCCCCAAAACCCACTCCCACTCCCAGCAATGCTCACACACAGTAGCACAGCCTTCATTCAAGGATCAACGTGAGGCCCTTTGAGAATTAAATCAAGTTGGTAACTAAGACCCTCCAAAATCTGACCACAAGTTTCCTATGCAAACTGCTCTCTTTTTCAAAACTGAATCTTATCTATGCTGTTCCAGTCATATAATTTTCACAGGCTAATAATGTAAGGCTGTTCCCCACTTTCCTAACTTTGCTCTTCTTGTGCCTCATTGTAATTATAATTCTATTTGAGGGAAAAGGAAGTGAAATCAGTTAGAGAGAGAAGAACATTGGGAGGCAGAGAGGGGAATAAGGTAAACACCCAACTCATTCTAGCTCTTGCCACCTCATTTTATTCCCAGTCCTCTAACTTCCAAAAAAGAGGCCTCATAGTTGCTCTATTCCTTCAAGAACCCATGCAACCTTGGCAAAAAGGAACACCATGATACTATGGAGAATTCTCAATACATCATCTCAACAAAATGGGCTTTTACCTTCAGGTTAGAATCATAAGTGACTGTAGGAGAAGTCTGACTTGGGACACCATTGTGTTTCACTGTAACATTGCTAGGTTCCTCCGTCCCAAGAATTTTAATCTCGTTAAATGCTAAATTATTGGGGTCCTTGTAGGTTGATTGTGAAATATTCACCTCCAAGCGGTTCTGCAAAACAATTAAGTCCAATTATGCATAAAGGTATGCCTGTAATACACAGATTCTCAAGTCACTCAAATATTCCATTGCAGACCGGACACCCCCACTGCCCTGGATGCCTCTCTGCTTTCTCTACTAGTATGTGCTCAAGAAATACAAAATTATTTTAATAATTTTCTAATTTAAAACTATCATAAAAACACACAGATATTTTTAAACTCTATTTACAAATGCTGTTTGCTATATTAATGCCTTCTTTTGAAAACTCTGATGAAATCATAAATAGAAATGTGCTCACTCATAGCCAATAATGCATAGAAAGTTACAAATATAATCACACATATACAATATACACAAGCACAGATATGCTAATGGTCAGCCCAAAGCCCACACCTAAGATTCAGAAAAATATGATACTCACTTGAGTGACAGAAAACTCACATAAAAGATACACTTTATTGGCCACAGTATCTGCAAGTGAGAGAAAGTCAAGTCAGATTCCAGCTTGCCCACCACGGAAAAACAGATTTCACACCACCACTCTTTTCAGTTACATCCTGATGTCACAAACGGCAGTATTTCCGTTTCTTTATGGATGAATAATATTCCATTGTATTCATTCATGAATGTACACTTAGAATGTTTCCATATCTTGGCTGTTGCAAATCATGCTGTAATGAATATGGGAGGAGTGAGTATATCTCTTAGAGATACTGGTTTCCTGTACTGTGGATATACACCCAGAAGCGGGATTTCATGGGATTGCAGGGAAGATCTGTTCTTAATTTTTTGAGGAACCTCCATACTATTTTGCATAACAGCTGTAATAATTTACATTCCCACCAACAGTCTAAAATATTCCATTTTCTCCACACCCTCGCCGGCACTCATCTCTTATCTTTTTTACGATTTCCATGCTAACAGGTGTGAGGGGATATCTCACTGTGATTTTTGATTTGCAATTTCTGTCATTTCCTGATGTTGAGCATCTTTTCACATACCAGTTAGCCACTTGTATGTCTTCCTTGGGAAAACATCTGCTCAGGTCCTTCACCCAGTTTGTAATTGGGTCATTGGATCTTTTGCAGTGGCGTGAGTTCCATATTTTTTATATTAATCTCTTCTGAGATATACGGTTTGCAAAGATTTTTATCCGTTCTGTAGTTTGCCTTTTCACTTTGTTGATTGTTTCTTTTGCTGTGCAGGAGCCTCTTAGTTTGATGTAGTCATGCTTGTTGCCTTTTTGGCAATTTGCCTTTGCTTTTGGTGTCATATCCAAAAAGTCACTGCCAAGACTACGTCAAGGAGGATTTTTCTATGTTTTCTTCTAGGAGCTTTACAATTTTAGCCCTTACATTTAAGTTTTTAATTTCTTTCCTCACAGTCGCCAAGATAAGAAAATAACCTAAGTGTCTATCGGTGGATGAATAGATAAACATATTTTGGGATATATATACAGTAGAATATTTTTCAGACAAAAAAAGTACAACATTCTGCCATTTGCAACAGCATGAATGACTCTGGAGGACATTATACCAAGTGAAATAAGCCAGAGACAGAAAGTCAAATACGGCATGGTCTCACCTCTATGTGGAATCTAAAAAAGTTCATCTCTTAGAAGCAGAGCCTACAACAGTTGTTCTCACAGCCTGCGGCCATGGAAAATGGGGAGATGATGGTCAAGGGTACAAACGTTCAGTTAGTAGATGAATAAGGTCTGGGGATCCAGTCTGCAGTATTGGTGGTGATGAATGTGTTCATTAAAATAGCTGTGGTAATCACTATACTATGCCTACGTATATTAAATCCTCATATTGTCCACCTTAAATATATTCAATCTTTATTTCCCAACTAAATATTTTACAACTAAATAAATGAATAATTTTGAATCTACATATTGGATTAGATGGACAAGCATCTCCAAGGCCAAGCCATTGTTTTTCCTCCTCTTTCCTACTGGAACATTGTAAAGATTCCCTTCTGAGGGCTTCCAAGGCATATGCTTCAAGGGAATCTATTTCCTAAACTTGAAGCACAAGAATTGTTCGTATATGGGAGCCAAAAATAGGCTAAAATGTACGGCTAGATGAGTACACACTGGAACAGTATATTCTCACTGCCTCACTGGTAGGGGCATGATTTTTATATCGTCAGCGTTTGCTCATAAGAATTTTGGGAGGAAGACATTAACATTGAATTAGGGAACAGTCTTAAAACCTTTTCATCTAAGCACCCATTGACAATAAAATGAGAGCCTATTATAGATATCACTGGCTAATGGGAGAATTGTTAGAGGTACACATGTATATTTCTTTCGTCTGCAGTTCATCTACCACTATCCCTGAATGGTGCGACCAGAAACAAAATACTTCAGTGACTCTTGCTGCTGTGCCTGCTGAGATTTCTCCCACAGCTCAGCGACCAGCAGGAGGGAAGGACCACAAGTCACAGGTGCGGGTTTGGAAACAGCAACATGATCGTAACAGCGCTCACCCTTTGTTTGCCCATCATCCCAGAAAAGTTCTCCTTTTGCTTCTTTGTTCTCATCTAGCGCAATGATAAGACCAAGAGGGTTCTTTCGACTGTGGGGAACAAGATTCAAGAGACAAGACAGGAGTCAGAGAATTTTGCCAACGGAGTTGAGAATATTTCCATCAGATTTCAAACTGGAAAAGATACTAGCAGCAGATGATTCTCAGAAATGAGAAGTATCCCAAGAGGGGAGACTTCTGGTACTAAAATTGCAACAGTCCTGGCAAACAAATGAGGTTGATCACCTGGCTGTTAGCGTGTTTTGAAAAGCAATTCAAAGGGTTTAAGGAAGGACATGAACTACAGTCTTTCAAAATCCATTGGACAAGGTTCTAAAACAGCAGCTTCTGCAAAGCTGTTGTCAATCGTGGCTGCTCCTATATTGACTTCCATCTCAGATGTGAGATTAAAAATGACGTTCTTAGACCTATCATCTCACTCCCTTAGACTTCAAAGAGTTAGTAATAATTAGTCAGAGTATCGAGTCTGAAAAAGATTAACATACAAACAAGCAAACAAAGAAAAACAAGTGTTGAGTAAAATTGCATGTGGGCTTGAGAGTGATGCTTACGTTTTGGTGGACTTCATTACAGATTGTTGAGCTAACTGACATGTAAAGGAAAACCTGAGTCCTGTCATTCACCTTAAGTGGGTGTTCAGTGCAGGCTCTTGCCAGGGCAGGATATAGCCCCCACGGACATGAAGATTAATGTGGTCAAGAGGGGCTGGCAAGGTCTTCCACTCTCCTCTTGCGTTCATATCCACACCCTGTGGGCAGAAGAAGGTAAGAGATGATGAAGGAGAGGAAAGGACCCTTCCTGAACAACGCATCCTGCCAGACATCTCATCCTCCCCTCTGAACTTATGCCTGCTCATCACCCTTCACCACTTACCTGCCATTACCCATTTCGCATTCACCAAGTGCTGCATAAAATCTCGCAAGGCTGCTATCATATCTTGTTAGGGTCTATGCCTTTGCTTCCACCGTACAAACTACATTTGCCTGATGTGTGACAGGAAGAGGTGCTACTCTCTCACCTGAATCAGAAACCTAACCTAAGGGACCATCCTTCCATCCTACATGTTCTCAACTAGAGCAGGGCTTTTCAGTCTCAGCACTATTGAGATTTGGGGTCAGACACTTCTCTGGTGATGGGGCTATCTGTGCCTTTTGATATTTAGCAAAATCCTCAGATGTCAGCAGCATCGCCTCCTCACCCCCACCCTGTTGTGACAACAAAAAATATCACAGGCACTGCCAAATGTCCCCTGGGAGACAAAATCTTCTCATTTGAGAGCTACTACTTTACAGGTAATTAGCTGTTATTGTTGAGAACTAGCGAATATGCATGGCTGTGTTCCAATAAAACTTTATATGCAAATCAGCAAACAACCAGATTTTTTTGTAGGCCGTAGTTTGCCAGGCTGTGCTCTAGAACGAGTAATAAGTACCCAAACTTGGGAAGGTGACACTTCTTCATTAATCCTAACTATGAGATTCATCTTCAAAATTGTACATCCTTCTCCAGTTTTCACCTAATCTCACTGCAATCCCTTGGGATGAAAGGGGCCAGCACATGCTCTGCTTCTTGTTTCCCTGCTTGTACCCCTTTGCTGTATTGCCAGCCCTCAACTATGTTCTCCTCAGAAAGTCAGAAGAAGAAGCCTGGTTAGAAACGAAGGAAATACGTCCTTTGATTCTTCCTCATGAATCAAGGTCTGACTTCTCAGGGTCCCAGCAAGAGACCACCACCCCAGAGCTGCCCTGGAAGACCCTGGCTTCCCAGCTGAGTCTTTGGGAATCATACTAGCAATGAAACTATGAGGCAAGGAGCTCTTCATTGCTGCCTCATTTCTAAATGTACTTGCACTGCTTAGACTCACAAGGGTTGGGTCCCACACCTCTGTGTGTTTTGCATATTGTCTAATCACTTGTGTGCCTTAGGTAATTATGTGCATCGCCCTTCTTTGAGTATCTATGCTATGGAAGGAGATATTTAATAAAAAGAGACAAAACGGCTTCTATACTTACAAACTTACAGGAGGCAAAGATACAAACATTAAAAACAAAAACTACACTTGGCAACACAATCTCCAATGTTGGCTACCATCTGCCTTTACACAACATGGTAAATAGCAGTGACATAAGGAAATATTAAAAACTAACACAAAGAGAACACCCACAAAAAAACAGATCCTGGGTGTGATGCTTTATGTGTTATTTCACAACGGTTCTATGAGGGAAGTGGTCTAACCCCACTTGGACGTGAGAAAACTGAGATTACAAGGGTTAAAGTGGCTTCTCTAAGAACACACAGCAGGTGGGTTACATATCCAGCATTTGACCTAAGGTCCATCAGAGGTAAAGCCTTTGTTTTCTCTACCATTTTCCCATGTTGTATAAACATTCAGAAAAACTTACCGTGTAGTAATCGTACCAGCGGGCTCTAGGGAAATATGCAGTGACATTTCTGGCATTCTAAAATGGAACACAAACAAAGTGAGGCAGTGGGCACCATTTTCCAGGACAGAGAAATCAAACTGCTTAGGAAAGAGGTGAAATAATTCTGATGGCTTTAGACCCATCTGCCTCATATCTGGAGAGGTTAGCGACTGGGGAAACCTTCTTCCCGTTTTCTTTTTTAAACAGGAGATTTGCCTACCCAAAACAAGTGGCTTCATAAAGCACTTTGGTATCCAGGAGTTCGGGAAAAAATAAATCACTGTTGCTTATAAACACAGACTTACCCCATTTCCTCTTAAAGAGACAAACAACTGAGGTTGTGTTTGGGCAGAAGAAAATTTTGTGGGTATAGTAATACTTTGGGGCCAGGAGCGGTGGGTCACGCGTGAAATACCAGCTCTTTGGGAGGCCGAGGGGGGCGGATCATGAGGTCAGGATATCGAGACCACCCTGGCTAACATAGTGAAACCCTGTCTCTATTAATAATACAAAAAAAAATTAGCCAGGCATGGTGGCATGTGCCTGTAGTCCCAGCTACTCAAGAGGCTAAGGCAAGAGAATCACTAGAACCCGGGTGGCGGAAGTTACACCGAGCCAAGATCACACCACTGCACTCCAGCCCGGGCAAAAAAGTGAGACTCTGTTTCAAAAAAAAAAAAAAAAAAAGATTTGGGGGAGGTACAATTAACTGGTATTTTAATCAGAAGCTTAATCAACAACAGAAGTAAAGAAAGGCTTTTACTGCTGGGAGGCACTCCTACACAGGAAGGGAAGGGGTAGCCAGCAGCAATACAAGTACACACATTGCCAAGTAATCCATCTGAAGAGTTGTAATAGTGCTAGAGGACTCTTATACATTCTTTACGACACTGCCCCCATTTGACCTTCTATTCCTTATTTTAGTTAACGAAGAAATGATTGTGTCATTGAATACACCATGAGGTCTTTTCTTCTTGATCATCCTATGAAGCAGAGTTGTTAGGCTCATTTTAAAGATGAAGGAGCTGAGGCCCACAACACCTAAGTGACGGACTTCAGCTCAGAAGGAGAGAAATAGACACAGGGAGAATAAGAAACCATGTCTTACGACCCCCACCAGCTCAGGCCTCTCTCCTCGTCCTTTTCCCCAAGCCTCACAGCTGGGATCCTCCCCCCATCGGAGGCCTCCATACTCACGCGCTCCAGGACGGGGCTGACCAGGAAGGCTGGGCCCAGCAGGAACTGACTGTCTATGTCCCACGTCACCTGGTCTGACACAAACCTGGAAAGGGAAATGAAGGTGCCCAACAGAGCCCAACAGAGCCCCAGCCCGAGACTCGGAAGAAGCTCCTCAAGTTCAGATCCAGTCGGAAATCCAGCTGCCCCTGAGCCTGCCTTGCCTTATCCCTAGGCCTAGCTTCATCAGGAGCACCAGCCTCTGCTCTCCCCACGGGATGTGCCTCAAACTTCAGAAATGCTGGGATGTAGATGTGTTCTCTCCTGTAAACTATTACCTCATTTCTTAACCATGGCACATTTTAAATGCAAGGATGGCGCTCCTCCTTCAAATCTCTTGCTGAAATCCTTCTTTTGTGACTTGGGTGCATATAACCAAACTGACAAAACATAGATAGGTCTTTGCACAGCCAAATCAGAATGAAACTATTCTATGCTATAAGGCATGATTCAATTTTGTTCATTGTATACATAGCCTTTTTTCATGACCTATGGTACGTATAACACTGTGCTAAAGAGAGTAATAAAGTATGGTCTGGGCCTCAAGGGTTCATGTCAAAAGGCAAGCATGTCTTCAATTTGGAAGAATTGTGTATATCAACTCCCGCCATATAGAATGCATTAAGTCATCCATTAGTCATCAGGATCCCTGCTGGACACTCACTCATGAAGCAGAGGCCGCACAACAGTGACGCCCTCCGTGTGGGCCTTATACATCAAGGTATACAGATATGGCAACAGGGTGTATCTGGTCTGCAAGACATTTCTGGAAATGTTCACAAAAGCAGCATCCCAGGACACAGGGTCTTGTCTCTAAAGGAGAAAGAGAACAGTGTTGGGAGCTTGTCCTGGATGTTCTCGGGGATTTAAGAAGGTCACTGAAGGCATATTCCAACTGAAGATCACTCACAGCTAAACAAAAGAAAACTATACATGAGGCCCAGGGAATACTCTTAACAGACTGGAAAGAGTCACTGAAGCTCTCCTAGGACAGCAGATAAAATCTCACTGTAAGACATTCTTTTTGGTACAATTTTGCCTAAAATACAGGAAAAAAAATAATCTGAAGAACACTGAGGGATATGGTTCATTGAGACACTAGGTCGTAACAATTTTTAAGGGTGCACTGGGTCATGCCTGTAATCCCAACACTTTGGGAGGCTGAGTCAAGTGGGTCACTTGAGCCCAGGAGTCAGAGAATAGCTTGGGAAATATGGCAATACCACATTTTACAAAAAATGCAAAAATTAGGTGGGCACGTTGGTATGTGCCTGTAGTCCCAGCTACTCAGATGGCTGAGGTGGGACAATCGCTTTAGAACCAGAGGTCGAGGCTGCAGTCAGCCATGATTGGGACAAGGCACGATCCAGCCTAGACAAAGAGTAAGCACCTGTCCCCACTCCCGCAAACAACAACAACAACAACAACAACAATTTTTTAAAAGATATCCCAAGAAATACAAACTGCGTTAATTTTAGCTCGGAAATGGAGACTGTATCTCTAGTGACACAGAACACTGGAGGCAGGAGCCACTGTCCTACCCTGGTCCCAATGGTGTTGTGGTTTCTTGAGAAGGGGTAAAAGGCCCCCAGTTGCATCCAGCGAACACACATCTCATATTCAGCATCTTGAAAGAACCCACAGATATCTGCTCCTGTCTGAAACAAGAGGAAACAAAACAAGCCGGCTGATGATTTCTGAAAGATGTCCCCACCTTCTTGGTGCTTAGGAGGATCCCAAGGACACTCACATAGGATATGCCGAAGAGGCTGAACTCCATCATGCCTGCAATGAGAAGCACAGCAGTGTCACACCAGGCTCTCACCACCTGCCTTCTCAACACTTCCCCAAGTATCCCAACTCCCTGCCCTACCGGCACAGGCCCTGGGAAGGAGCCACGCACCAATGATAGATTTCTTCAGCTGATCCCACGCGGCCGTGTTGTCTCCCAGCCAGTGTCCTGCCCAGCGGCCAGAAGAGGGAAATGTGGAGCGGGTGATGACGACCCCTCGCTGTCCCGTCACCTCCTGCATGGCTCTGGTTGGAGGGCAACAGGAGGTAAACTGAGAGCACGGCCAAGGGAGCAAAGGCCAGAGAGCTTCTGCTCCCAGAGCCCTTGAGCCTAGTCAATGTTTGCTGCGTGATTGGAGGGAACATGGGAATCTGAGCTGCAATGGGGGCCCCACTGATCCCAGATAATGTAGATAACGAGTCATGGGTTCACACAGTGCTTTACAAGGAACTTCACTGTAGCAACCTCAAAGGAGTAGCCAAAAATAGTAAGGAATTACTAAATCTTGCTATTGGTTTCCTCGATACGCAGTTTTCTATATTTGAGGAGGAACAAAGTGAAGATCATAAGACTGTCCTTAGAAGAATACATACCATTTGTTGAGCTTGCAAAGGGGACTGTGTTAATTTCGTAGAATACCAGTTACCCTCCACCAAGAATGGCCAAAAAAAAAAAAGCCTCAAAATATGATTCACTTTTGAAACAAAGGGGAGAGATGCCCAATCTCTGTGTTCCCTTCACCTCCTGTAACTAAAGCTATTGCACCGCCGGCTGCCCTGTGTGATCATTATGGTGTCTCCATGTGCGTCTTTAACAACAGGATCATTAAGTTTTTCACTGGTGGGACCATGTCTTATTTAAATCTGTCCTCCTCCTTTTCATCAGAGGGCCTGGCTCCACATCAATGAGCATTTGTTTAATAAGAATCATTACACGGTTGTCATGAGAATCCTCTTAACCCCTGGAATGGGAATGAAAGGAAAACTAGGGTGGCTATGTCAGTCCCTGGCAATCCCTCTGGGTTGTGACAGCTGGAGAAGGCAGAGACTCACTCGTATGTGGGTCTGGTCTGGGACCACCCGTACAGGTTGTGCACGTTGTAGTGCTGCACCGGGGAGCCGTCTGGGAGGATCTGCTGACTCTCCATGCACAGGGTCTTGCTGCTCAGACCCCTATCCCTGGACTCCAAATCTGAAGAGGAAGAACTGGTGAGGTGAAATCCAGCCCTGATTCTGTTTATCCCTGACCTCTGCTCAAGGGATTGAACACTGGATCTTAAGACTGACTTGAGTCCTGCCTGGGTCACTCTCCATCTTCCCAGAGATTGAGCACAGAGCCCCCAGCTCTGAGCTGCTATGGCACCTGCAGTGTTTCCAACATCAAGTTCACTGAAGAAAGCGGAGGTGTAAGGAAGAAGGTACAGCTGTCGAACACTACATGACAGACTCCATTTTAGGCTTCTGACTTGCCAATTATGTCCATAATTCTATGAAGAACACATCATTATCTGTCTTTTACAGTTTAGCAAACCAAGATTTGGAAATATCCCATAATCTCTGAAAAGTCACAAAACTCCTAGAGAGAACAATTTCTGGAGCCAAGATATGAACTCAAGTATAACTCCAAAGTCCATCAGCTCCATCATAAGGGGAAGCCAATAATTCCCACCCATTGATGACACAAGAAATTCCTGTGATGGAATTCACACAAGCCGAAAAAACTAAGAAACCTAGCTGTGAGAATCCTTTGTGGCATGAGCACTGCTAACTGCTTTCTGGACAAATTCCAGGAAATTTGCTCAATGAATCTGGTCATTTGCACATGCCCATCTGGGTAAAGCAAGTGCAGCGTTTTTGTCTCTGGTCCCCAGTAAACCACAGCAGCCATGAGGATGTGCCCTGAGCTGTGCAGGCACACCCCTAGCCTCTGGGGTCCTCCAGTGGCCATCCTTCTAGTCCTAGCTCTGCCAGTCAAGGAGACCAAGGGTTCTTACGTGGCATGTAGGGAGGGCGGTTCAGAGAGGCGTCCCTGCAGCCTGGAGAAACTGCCCCATTCACGAAACTTGATGGTTCATTCATATCCTAGAAATGCCAAACACAGACATAACTCACTTTTTAAGATAATTTACCCAGCCAATTCTGAGCCAAGGAAGCAGTGAATAAATTGTTCAACATCCAGTAATCCCTGTAGATGCCAGCCCTGGGAACTTCAAATCCTGGTGAGAACTGGCTGGAAAGATTAATTCACTCCTACAGAATGACTGGCTAGAGGTTTTAAAAAATAAATCTCTTCCCAGGTGGCTGTGAGGCAATCAAATTTCCAAGAAATTCCTAGTAAATTGCCTCCAGGATTTTTTTTTTTTTCAATTTTTTGAGACGGAGTTTCGATCTTGTTTCCCAGGGTGGAGTGTAATGGTGCGATCTCGGCTCACCGCAAACTCTGCCTAGTATGTTCAAGCGATTCTCCTGACTCAGCCTCCCAAGTAGCTGGGATTATAGGTGTGCCCCACCACACCCGACTAAGTTTTTTTTTTTAGTAGAGACATCGTTTCTCAAAGTTGGTCAGGCTGGTCTCAAACTCCCAACCTCAGGTGATCCGCCCACCTCAGCCTCCCAAAGGACTGGAATTACAGGTGTGAGCCACCACACCTGGTCCGGCCTGACAGGTTTCACAGTAGGAGTGTTAGGTCCGGTACACAGTCTGAGGGCTATCGGGGATGTCCCACTCCTGAGAGGAGGAAGTGTCTGATATGTCCAAAATCTTCCTTGGACAATGACTATCCTCTTGACTGAAGGTCAGTGGTCCATATACTCAGTCACACAAAGATAGACAAGTGCCACAGGTACACACACACACACACACACACACACACACACACACACTTACAATCCACAGGCCATCAAACTTCAAGCTCCTCTCTGGATTCTGTGGATTGTTGTACAGTTCTTCTATTTCCCTCTTCCACCACCTGGCAGTTGAATTACGGAAAAAGTCTGGGAAGGCCACGTAAGCTCGATATAGCTGTAAAATATAAATATAATTTGTATGTCCCACACAAACATATAAGACAGCAAACAGACACTTACTGAGAATGCAACTCACACAGATACTTGAACTGCATGGTGACAGACAGCCTGAACAGGGCCTAAATAATGTTATTAACTAATTAGAGAAATGTAGAATGGGAAGAGAAATTAGTGCAATTTGCACACCTTCCCAGCATTTGGAAAACATCTAAAAACTCTTCTCTTCATATACACATGGTTAACGACAAGCAATGACCTGAACTAGTGTCCTCATGCATTCGATGCCCAACCCTCAAAGTCCCTCCTGCCATTTCCTAAGCACTCCTCAAAGACAAAGCCAGGGAGAGACTGCAGACATGAGATGCATGGTAATATGTTAGGAAGAAACACCCAGGGAGTCCCTCCTATGTCATCCCCACTGAGAGAGTGGAGGAAGGAATAAGATTACATTTCAGGATATTTGACCAGTACGCCTCAGTGTTTTCTACAATTTCAGAATCACAGGACAACTACAGCTGTTGGAGCATAAATTGAGAGGACTTAAAGAGGATGCATCAACTTCCCCTTATTCCCCTCTTCCCTCAAATAGTAAAAGCAGTGTCTTTACTTATCTGAAAGACAGATTCAAGGTACAACTTTTTATCTACATTGTATATTTTTGCGAGTAAGAAGTTTGCTTTATATTCTTCAGAAACAGATCAGCCTGCATGGGTCTGGTTGCCAAGGATGTGAGAAGACAGTGGTTCACATCACGCAGAATCTTGAGAGAAGTGGGCATGCCAGGGATGCCTTTTGTGAGGAAATGGAGTTAGAAACCAGGAAACCCGACAAAGAGAACCTTTCACCAGAAACAGAGAGCTCCAGATCACGCAGAGTTAGGTACAATGGGATAGGTGGGGGATGGAGAATTAGAATAAAGAGAGTATCAGCCCCATCTGAGTCAGAATTGTATCCCATACGGGGTACACGTGGGTAAACTGGCCAGCCATGACGTATGAAATTCCCTAAGTACTGCTCAGATGACCCCTTCCACCTTCATAAAAATGTTCTGTCGTTCTCCAAGGTGCTGACTTTGCCTGCCCATTTGCCTTGTGGCTTCTGCCTTCACTTTCTCCAGTCTTCAAACAGTGATGTACCCACCCACACACTGGGCCTCAGGATCACCTAGCAGTCTTTTTGTAGCACATCTACAAATGCTACAAATCTCAATTCATAGATCCCATCACAGATTTAATGAATCAAATTGCTGGAGCTTCGGACTCAGAAATCTGCTTTTCATAGGCTTCTTGGCTATTTTATCCTCAGTGAAGCCAGGCCTGGACATCAGTGGCTTCATCCTCACCAGCCTCGTCAAGTGGGTCTCACTATTAATATTACAAATATTAGATTGGTGCAAAGGCAATTGCGGTTTTGGAATTAAAAGTAATGGCAAATATTACCTGTGCACCAACCTAACAATTACAATTATTCTATCTACCAATAATCTCTTATGAGCTACCTAAAATTATGTGAATCCCCTAAAGAGTGTTTCTTATCAGAAACCCAACTGGCATTTGAGGCATACGATTTTTTGTGGAGAATTCCCTGCAATCAGAGCTATCGGCATCCCTGCCTACTGCCCATTAAACGCCATCTGGTGTCCCTGTGATAACCAACACTGCCCTCAGATTTCCAAATGGCCTCAAGGTGGCAGTGTTGCCCCTACTGGCCACTGAACTGTGGGGCTCATAATGTAGTACCTGACTACTTGATAAAAGTCAAGAGGCCAATGACCCAGAACTTATCTGGCTGGGCAGGTTCCTGTGTCCATGTGGGCTGCTTGGACCCCTAAGCTTCAAGTTATTCACTGTGAGAATGACAAGAGGACAGGAAGCTACGTCTTCTCCTTTGAATACTTATCTGATAGATGATTGATAGATAGACAGATATAGAGTGGATATAGTAGGTAAATGGATAGATACGATAGATAGACAGATAAATAGACAGACAGACAGACAGACATAGATAGATACTTGTTCAGTACTAGATAAAAGGAAAACAGCCTTGAACTGAGTCCGACTCATTCTTGTCAATCTTTAAAACCTGCCCCAGCTTCTGTTTTGTTTGTATTGTTTTACTGAATTTACCAACAGAAAATAAAGACATGGACTCCAATAGCCAAGCAACCTCGTCCCAAGTGTGTCTCATTTTAAAATGAAAAGAGCAACTGCTGCCAACTGGCTCTGGGATCCAGGAAGTCAGAGACTGACAACAGAGAAGTAGGCATCACAGGCTTGCAGTACCTTCTGCTCTCACTACCCTGTTGGAGCTGTCCGAGGTCCCAGCCTCAGGCTCCAGATTTTGGGGTTCTATCTAATATACGTCTTTCCCTCTAGGACTCACCACTTGCCCTCAAAACCAGCTTATCTGGATAAGGCATGAATTTTTGGCCTAACTCTTGCCAGTCACGTTCCTGGTGATGAGTGTTTCTCCTGCACCTCTCTCCATGGGCGACAATCTTTCATCATGTAGAAAGAACCCCCAAAAGAGGTCTTCGCCCCTGGGCTTCTGAGTGGCTGCTAACTGAATTTACAGCTGCTGGGATTTGTTCCCACAATATGGATATTTCTTTGATTAACACTTGATCCTGAGAGAGTATCTAGACTCCACAACATATACCACATTGCTGACTGCACAGGCCAGCTTCTTTGTCCCTTTAATTCCTGGCACATGTCCTAGAAAAGAGGCCTTTTCCTTGTCTCCTCAGATCTCCTGTGCGGGTCACATAGGCTACATATGCCCTGCTACAATTTCTACACAGAAAGAATAACCATTATTGAAGAACAGCTCAAGAGGTAGGGCAAGGTACTTGCTCTCCAGGAAGTCCTCGGCCCCACCCTGACAACCCTGCCTGTGGATACTGTCACAAAAATTGATAGTAAAGCACACAGGCTGCCTCAGTTCAGGAGACACACATCTTGGCCAGAGGATGGGGCTGTAGGCTTCCTAGACCTGTAAGGAGCCATGTATTCATTCAAGCAAGAAATGCTTAGTGAATCTGGAAAAAAATTCAGGTCCAGAAGCATGGGCTACCTGGATCCATTATAAGCAACGAACTGTCCACAGGAGACAGCAGGTTTTACAATAAGGTTGGAAACTGAGAGGTAAAAGCAAAGTTGAGAAATGCAAGAAGGATTGGGCTCAGAGGAGGACTTATAAGTATGAAGATGGAGAACCTGTTCATGGGGAAAAAAAGAAAGATATACAAAGAAAAAGACCTAGTCAGTCTTCCAGGGTTGAAGACTGTTAAAAAGGGAAAACCATGGCAACAACAGATGGTATGCCAGTCCAGGGAAAGATAGCATTTCTAGGAGGTATCACCCAGTGGAAATTTCCTGGGCCTTTGGAATCTGACAGCCTTGGAATTGAAATCACCACTCTGTCACGTAAAACTGGGGAAAAATAATTTAAGCTCTCTGGGCTTGAATCCCAAGGATAATAATACATATCTACATCCCAGTGGACAGTAAAGTGTTACTTCATATAAGGTAATTGGCACAGACTGACACCCAAGACACATAACCTAAGTGTTTGTTCCTTGTCATGTCCATGTCCATGGTACAGGCACGTCCAGTATCCCAGGAACGGCTGCTCCTGCCTAGAAACCCTGACTCCACCCAAATTGACAAAGACCCTTTTACCTCCACTTGACTGTCCCAGTCTAGAGAGTCATTCACAACAACACCAGGAAAATCGGGCCAGACCTATGGAGAGAAACACACTAAGTAGCGATGCAAGAGACAGTTTCCCTTACACAGGATTTCCGAAGAAATTATTATATAAACCATGTCCTAGGAGCAATGACACTTTGACTATCATGTAGGATTGACATAAAAGAAAAGTGAATTCCATAACACGTTACATTACTTTAAAGGTCATTAATTGTATCAACAATATTGTTTGAGAAAAGGAGAGCTTCACACCTTGGGTCAAAATAGAAAATGCCAAAAATCACACACACAGGTGTGTGACCCCCTAACCGTGACCCACCCTCAGGCTAGGGACTAGTGGATCATCACTTAGGATTATACCTTTCCCCAGACAATGTCTCCATCATTTGGGTATTTGATGAAGACGTCATCCTCCAAGCCCCGAGTGAAGGCAGGATAGGGCTGTGTCTCATTGCCAGAAATGGCTGGATCCTGAAATCAAAGCATAAGTCAATTGGGAAAACCAAAGCCAGAGAATGAGGAGAAACAGAATAAAGGAAAACTCCTCCAGGGTGAACTCGCTGGCTTCTACCTGAACTGTAGACTTTCTGTGAGTCCTGGGAAATACAGAATTCTTACTGCACTTCAATTTATCTATTTGAAACATGGAAATAAAGTATAACTCTTTCTCCACCAAAGCCCATACCTGCTCCCAAACAGACAGCACACATTCACATCAGGACTAACCAGAATGAGGATGACCCGCATCCCATCAGCCTTCATGCGATTGATCAGAGCTGGAAACCCAGCAAACTTGGGGCTGAGGGTGAAGTCCAGCTGCCGCTCCATGTAGTCGATGTCTGAGTACTGCACGTCCTGCGGGAGGACACGGGGAGCTGAGTGGCTGCTGCTGTACACGCTCAAGCTTTACAGGAGAACAACCCTCCACTATACATGGTGGAATTCCAGACAGCTTCTCGTTGATGCTTTCAAATCCCAGCTCTGCTACTTCTTAGGTACAGGTGCTGGGAAATTCACTTAATTTTTACAATGTTCAGTGACAAGATAGAAAAAAATCAAAGTCAGCATAAAATAAGATGAGAATGTGTCTCTAGCATGGCTATTCTGAGGAAAAGATAAAACACTGTTTGGAAAGTGCTTTGTAAATTGCCCATATCAGGTGTGATTGTGATGACGTCCTACAAGAGACTGCCCCTGGTATCAGTGGTTCATGTTGAGGAAAAATACTGTTAATTATCCAGGGGTAATGGCAAATCTACTACAAAACAAAGTAAAGATGTATAGTTGCTTTGGAATACCGAATCTTGAGGGTAATCATACACAACATTCTTCCTGAGACTGTCATATTGCATTTCACTATCCACTAATGGAAACACTATGTTCCACTAATGGAACAATTGTAAACAATAGAAAAGTGGGATAAAATTAAATGTGGGATGGTTCATGGGATCAATTCTCTGATGACTGGGTCCCCTCCCATCCTCCATTGAAGAATAAGGTTTATTTCCATCTGTATGTCCTCTGGAAACCCATCCCAGGATTTGTGTAATCCATCAGTTACTAGCTCAGAGCTGATGCAGGAACTGAGATTGTATTCACATGTACAGTTGTCTGACCGATTTGTGGTTAGTCTTTTCAAGAATTAAGTAAAAGACCTATGGGATATTATTTATTCTCGTGATACCAAAGATGTTTTTGACCAAATGTTTTGAAGTCATGTGAAAGAAATGGAAGGAAACATGAGACAGCAGAAAGAGCCCTGGAGCCAGCCTATCTCCCCCTCCGGGAAATCACAGTGAGTCTTGAGTTATCATCTCTAGAAGATGGAAACAAGCACCCTTAACTACATTACTGTGCTGGGGTGAGGCTGTGATATTGTCTGAAACAGAACATTATGTCTTTATAGACTCCCAGAAACATTAGACAAATGAACCCAGACACAGAGGCACCTGGGTTAGTTACGCAACTCCAGAGACACGACTGAAAACGTACATAAGGGATCTGGGCGGCCATCATGTCATCATACAAGCTGGCGATCTCAGAGTCGTTCTGGTATCCATAGCGACACAGCTGGAAACCCAAAGACCAGTAAGGTACCATCACAGGCCGGCCAATCAACTAGAAAATAGACACAAAATATTAGTCCTCAAAACAGAGGCACCAGATTGAAGTTGTGCATCAAGTAACAAGAATATTTTTCCATGCCCCAAGCTAGACAACTAACTAATTGAAATCCACATCAAAACTGACAGGATATAGAGCCACTGGGATACTTGGAGAAAGCTTTCTGCTAGGCTTGAACGCCTTCTTGAAAATTATGGAAAAGCTGATTTTACTCTATTCCTAGAGACACTGTAGGTAACTCATTAAGAAGCCCAGAATAAGAGACAAATGCCTGGCTTAGCATACAGGCTCCAATCCTGCTACCTGTGTGAACTTAGGCAAAAATTAAGTAAGCTCTTAGTGCTTCAGTTTCTTCATCTGTGAATAAGGGATAATAATAGCATCTGCCTCATAGCGTTCCTGTGAGGTATGAATGAGTTAATATGGGTGAAGTACTCGAACATGCAGCAAGTGATAAATCAGTGATGTGCACTTGGTAATATATAACTGTGTGTTGTTGCTGCACAACCACCATGGTCACAGTCACCATCGCCATTATCAATGCCACCATCATCACTATTTTCACCATCACCAACAGTACCATGATCATGCCCCCACCACCATCATTACCATTATCATTACCCTTCACTACCACCACCACCACCCCACTACCACCACCACCACCATCCCATCATCACCACTATCATCACAACCACTATCACCAACATCACACTCCTCACACCACCCCACTGTCACCACCACCACTGTAACCATAACCACCATCATCACTACCACAAATAGCATCATTACAATCACTACCACAAATACCATTATTACCCCTACCCATGTCACCATCACCACCACTATCATTATCACCAATACACCCATCACCACCACTATCACCACTATCATCACCATCACCATCACCACCACTACTACCACCATCATTATCACCATTCCCACATCACTATCCCCACCATCAGCCCCTACTGCCATCATCACCATCACCACCACCATAACCACAATAACCACCACCAACAACCACACTATCACTACCATCACCACCACTGGTACCACTATATCTTCTGCTCTTCTGCAATGCTTACAGAGGCTATACATTTAATGATAATCTGAATGTGTTTATTTTTTCTTATTCTATAATCTCTCTCCAACAAAGACCAATATTTCCAGTTATCATCTAAGAGTTATACTAATGGATGTGGGCTCTGGCATCCAGAATGTGCTGTATAAGTGCTTGATAAACAACTGGATTTCTTCCTACCTCCGTGTACTGCTGGGTGACAAGCTCTGGAGTTGGCCCCAAGAACACATAAAAGTCCAGAACTCCCCCTGTGGTACGGTATGTCAAGGCAGGCAGGGGCTGGAACGTCACGTCTGAAAATGAAGAAAAATGCCAAGCCAGATGGAAACTTTTCACATCATGAATCATCCCTGAAATCCACACATTCTCCATCTTCCTACTCCCTCCCTATCACAGAGTGGTAGGAGCAGGCATTTTCTATCACACTCACACAGAACTGAAGAAGATCAGTGGAAGTCTACAGGTCCTATTCCTGGGTTTGATTCTTTTTGGGGTACTTTACTATATTTTGTCATTCTACTCTTATAAAATTACTGTATTTTACATTTCAAGTTTTATGTTGGATACAGAGATACATGTTCAGGTTTCTTACATGGGAATATTGTGCGATGCTGAGGTTTGGGGTATGGATTCCATCACTCAGACAGTGAGCACAGTACCCTAGAGGCAGCTTTTCAACGTACCATACACACTCAGACCCCCAGACTAACGTCTCTGACCCACAGTTTTAGCCTCATTCAAATTATATAACTGGCTCCCATGATCTGACCTCCAGGATATTTGGGACCCACGTAGTGTTACTATCCTTTCTTACGTGATTTTTACCAAAATAAGAGTTGGGTTAAATCTTCTTATAACATGATCCTATACTGAAATAAACAGAAAGGCTAAACACAAAGAAAAAATAAACACCAATGCCCATGAAATGAAAATTTTGACTTCAAGGAAGAGTTAGGCTAAACACATTCTAAACTGACTCAAGCATGATTGGTAGCCCCCAAAATAAGGGAGGCGCTGGACGGCCTTACCCATGGCATTGCTGTTCAGCAGGAACACTCCGTGGGCACTGCCGTCCTCCTCCAGCCCCATGTAGTAGGGGTGGACCCCATAGGAATTCTTCTTGTACTGGAGAGTCATGGGGAGAAGCAGTAGGAGTTTAAAAGACATTATGCCTGAGAAAGAAACTCAACAAAAATGTGTTTGCTAAGATGGGTCTAGTTTTCTCCATGAAATCAATTAAACACGTGAAACAAAGAAGCCTTAGATGTGGCCCACTCCTCTAAAACCAGAATGAGACGACCAAGTGGAGTTTGGGAAGATGAAGCCCGAAGCCTGAGCAGTGTGGATGGAGAGAAGCAGAGACACAGATCCCAAATGATCTGTCCTTACCCCTGGGGGCTGGTCTCGGGAGAACATCCCCCAAGTGTGCCACTCCAAGTCTCTCCTATAGGATGTGTGCTCAGTTTCCCCAAAGCCATAGAGGTACTTGGAGGGAAGGCGGGTGGAGATGCGGATAAACATGTCATTGAAGGTGAAGCCAAGGAGCTGAGAGTCCCAACTGAAACACAAAAAGGCAGACTTGAAACAGAAAATGGGCTTTTCTTTCTGTTTCCAGCAGCTGACTTTTCAAGGACAACAGAATGCTTGATTTTTATCCAGAACCTGTTCATCTACAAAACAAAACGGAAACTCAACTTGATTAAAATATCATAGATATCTTCACTAAAAACCCATGAGTTATTCTTCATTCATCTGTTTCCCGCTGTCATTGCCTCCTTTCACTGGTCCTCCACAATACAAATTCAAGCACGCCTCACCATCACAGCTGGGTACACGCCACACCAGCTCCGCCTTCCACTCTTGCACCCCTCAGCGCATTTTCTACATAGCACTCAAAGTGATATTTACTTATTATTGGTTGTCATGAGAAAAGAACCCTCAGCTGTCTACAAGGAGCAGCACCTCCTCTAGACAAGGCACCCCATAAACATTTGTTGGATGAATCCTCAGGCACACTCGACTGCCTCAGTAACTATTTCCAGAATGCTAAAGATTTCCCACAAGAACAGGTCTGAAGGAAACAACTCATCCATGGATCTGGAAGTGGACAATGTGATGTTTGGAACCAGGATATACATCCAAGGACAATGGACCTGGCAGCGAAGGCACAGGTAGACATCAACTCTGAGTCACACTAGAAGCCACTCACATTATAGTGCCTGTACTCCTGCGGCGAATTTCAATCCCAAATGGATTCTTCTTAATGAGGACATCATAGAGTTGACCCTCAGGGGTGCCGGATGGCACCATGGGTACGTTCAGAGGAACTGGAACTTCATACCGATTGTTGTTGGGATCATAAATCTAGGCCAGAGGAAATCGATTTTAGGCAAGAATAGTATTCTTGAAACCTATACCCTTAGCAGAATCTTTTTTATTTTTGGACAAAAAGTTCAGATGCTATGTTTCTGTCTTCTTTAAGTTCATGTTATCTCAGATTTAATTAATATATCAAATAACAATATAGGATTTAACATTTTTTCTGTCATTTCTCATTATTCAGGCCTCTGTTACATTAATATACTTTATGGGACATTGGTGCTGACTTAGAAAGTCATTCTGGAATCAGTGTAATATTTATGAATATGTTACTTGTTATTTTATGCGGGTATGTGAGTATATATAAATACCTTAAAACCATTATGACTTGAAAAACAAACCTGTCTCCCCAAAATGAAATCAATTTAATTAAAATAATCTGAATGTCCTTGCTGAAGGTGGTATCTAAACTGATTCATGAGTACCTAAGACATCCCTGCCTACACAAGACACTAGGGATGTGAGCTGTATAAGCAGTGTTATGATTTTACAAAATTCACATGCTAATGATTAGTGAAAGAGAGCAGCTCACAACACCTGGGTGACGTGTGCTAAGGGACAGCTATGTAGACGTGCTGTGAGATTCTAGCGAAGGAAATGCCTAACATTGTTTCTGGGAGACTGAGATGGTGTCATGGGAGAAACACATGATGACTCTTAAAAGCTTGGTAGTTATTAACCAAACAAACAAGGGAGATCAAGTCATTCTGCTGAAGAATAAAAACCGCACAGGCAGAGAGTACTAAAGTGGGCCCTAAAGAGGCAAATATTTTGGAAAGAGCTACTCTATGGTCAAGAGGTAGACTAGGCAACGGTTGAGGCTAGAACTCCAAGGAAGTTCATTCACTTCAAACTCACTGGGCGCCTACAACATGCTAGTACTATGATGTACAAACATACATCAGCATCATCCCTGCATTACAGGATGTACAAAAACTCAGAGTTCGGATTGATGTCAAATTATAAAGAACCTTTTAGGCAATGTGACAACATCCTCATCACTTTCACTTACTGTGTCAATAACATTACAGCGCTAACCATGTGCCAGGTTCTGAATTAGACTTCAGAAACACAAAGAGGAAAGGGCATATTCCTGCCCTTGAGAAGCTTAGTTTAATAGAGAACTAGACATAACAGCTAGTCCATCCCTAGCCCTTAAATGCAATTAAATCTTGGAAAGGAATGAAATTACTGCATCTTGATGCCTCTTTTACAGAAATCTCAAATTCATTATCCCAAAATGAACATATCATCTGATATTTATAAAGCACAAAGCTTTTCAGTATTCCTATTCCAGTTAAGGTCAGCACCATCCATATTAAGACGCAAGATAGAAACTTGGTCTTCATTCTTGATTTTCCCTCTTCATTGTCACCTGCTTACAATCGAGCACTATATCCTGTCACCCAACTTTCTCAACCTCAGACAGGTCCACTCTTCTCCACCTGCATTCCAGTGTCTAGTCCAAACCTAAACCCTCAACTGACCTGCCTAACTGGTAGCCTCCCAACTTGTCTCTCCGTACCCACTCTTTCTCTCCCAACCATTTTCCTAACAGTAGCCACAGTAATCTTTTCCAAATGAAAATCAGGGCAGGTCTCATTGTTCCCTCAATGATTTCTCACTGCTCTCTGGATAATGATCTAGTCTATTGTAGCATGATTAACTTATTTTAGGGTTCTGTGACTCGGACCAATAAAAGGTAATGGAACTGAAAAGGGTCTAATCACTACCTGATATATGTACTGTGTTTACCTTGAACTGCAGCATTTCATTCTTATGGTAAGTGACATCCAGGCGAAGGGGGTTCACGGGTGTGGAGGGGAAGGCATTGGCATACACGGAAGACTTTAAGGAGATGTCAGCTGTGGCCCCATGTGAATTATATTGAACATTACTGACAGAGTATAGATCGTTGACAAAATAGCAAAAAGGGACTCCAGAAGAATTGGATGCCTGAAAAGTAAGGGTAAAGTCATAGATCAGCACAGCACATGGTCTTAAAGTTCTCTAACATAAACGGGGTAGAAACATCATTTTATCCGACAATAAAACCAGCCCATCACTGATCACTTGGCAATAACATAAATTCCTGGTCTCCAAGCAAAATATTCATTTTAAAAAGTTTCACACATGTCCCCACCTACTCATCACATCCAGATCATGTCCCTTAGGAAGTCCTTTCTATGGATTTTAAGTAGTTATGTAAGTACTACTGCTGTGCTTAAGAAACTATACATTAGGTGTGGAGATTTCCATGCACGTGAACCCCAGCAGCATGGTTACCTCCCAGATACAGCCACGGGCAATGCAGTTTTCTGCAGAAGCGCCATTCTCATCAGGGTAACAGTCTATTTTTTCATCATCCCTTGTCTTTATATCCCACTCCACTGTGTATGCTTCTCCCAGGAGAAGATTGATGTCTGTGATAATGGCAACCTGTAAGAATGCAGAAATCACAAGGAAATTCATCTTTAGGAGATAGGCCTTGCAAGATCTGAGGCTTTTTTTTTTTTAAGAAAGAAAATAGAAATTTGACCAGACATTCAACCATCCAACCAACATATGACTTTAGCTCATAAGAAGAGAACCGCACATTGGGGGAATCTAATTAGCAGCAACACGGCAAATGTCTCCTCTCTAGCAGAATGTTGTCCATAGCATAATGGAAAGTATTTGGTCAAATAAAACCCGTCATGATCACCCCTTACTCTTTTCTGCCCTGACTCCTCTTAGCCCTCTGTGTCTTGTCAGGAAGGCTCTCTTCTGCACTTCCTCTTCAGCATGACACATGGTGTCATCCCAAAGTGAGCTGATCCCCTTGCTCTCCAGTCCCCAAACCAGTATCCCCCATTGGTGTGGAGTGGTAGAAAGAACACAGCATTAAGAATCATATGATCTGGTTATCATGTCCACATTTCCATAGAACATTGAACAAATGATTTCTTTAATTTTTAATATTAATGGGTATATAGTAGGTATACATATTTATGGGTTATATGAAATATGTTGATTCAGGCACACAATGCATAATAATCACATCAGGGTAAGTCGGGTATTCTGTTTCATTTATTTGGGTTTCAATTTTAGCAACAGCAAAATTGAGAGGCTGAAAAAAATCATGTATTTCTTTCCATTTCTAACACCCTAGCCTCTTTGTTTCTGTAACCCCAAAGACTCCAATTTTGAAACCTTCCTTGCTTACCATTCATTCAAATATTTAATATTTTTCTACATACTTTTCTTATCTTTGACATTTCTTTAAACAGCACTTCCCAGGTTAAAGTTCTCACTTGTCTGGAGTAATAAAATCACATTCTAAAATTATCATCCTTCTCCCAGTCTCCTCCCAGTCTAAACCATCTTATACTTCCCTGTTCTACTAGTCCCCAAACCCACTCCCACTCCCAGCAATGCTCACACACAGTAGCACAGCCTTCATTCAAGGATCAACGTGAGGCCTTTTGACAATTAAATCAAGTTGGTAACTAAGACCCTCCAAAATCTGACCACAAGTTTCCTATGCAAACTAGCCTCTTTTTCAAAACCAAATCTTATCTATGCTATTCCAGTCATGTAATTTTCACAGGCTAATAATGTAAGGCTGTTCCCCACTTTCCTAATTTTGCTCTTCTTGTGCCTCATTGTAATTATAATTCTATTTGAGGGAAAACAAAGTGAAATCAGTTAGAGAGAGAAGAACATTGAGAGGCAGAAAAGTAATTAAGAAGGTAAACACCCAACTCATTCTAGCTCTTGCCACCTCATTTTATCCCCAGTCCTCTCACTTCCCCAAAACTGGCCTCAAGGTTGCTCTGTTCCTTCAAGAACCCATGCAACCTTGGCAAGAAGGAACAACATGATACTATGGAGAATTCTCAATACATCATCTCAACATAATGGGTTTTTACCTTCAGGTTAGAATCATAAGTGACTGTAGGAGAAGTCTGACTTGGGACACCATTGTGTTTCACTGTAACATTGCTAGGTTCCTCCGTCCCAAGAATTTTAATCTCATTAAATGCTAAATTATTGGGGTCCTTGTAGGTTGATTGTGAAATATTCACCTCCAAGCGGTTCTGCAAAACAATTAAGTCCAATTATGCATAAAGGTATGCCTGTAATACACAGATTCTCAAGTCACTCAAATATTCCATTCCAAACCGGATACCCCCCACTGCCCAGGATGCCTCTCTGCTTTCTCTACTAGTGTGTGCTCAAGAAGTACAAAATTATTTTGATAATCCTCTAATTTAAAACAATCATAAAAACACACACATATTTTTAAACTGTATTTAGAAACACTATTTGCTATATTAATGCCTCCTTTTGAAAACTTCGATGAAATCATAAATAGAAATGTGCTCACCTATAGCCAATAATGCACATAAAGTTACAAATATAATCACACATATACAATATACACAAGCACAGATGTGCTAATGGTCAGTCAAGCCCACACTTAAGATTCAGAAAAATATGTTACTCACTTGAGTGACAGAAAACTCACATAAAAGATACACTTTATTGGCCACAGTATCTGCAAATGAGAGAAAGTCAAGTCAGATTCTGGCTTGCCCACCACGGAAAAACAGATTTCACACCCCCACGCTTTTCAGTTACATCCTGATGTCACAAATGGCAGTATTTCTGTTTCCTTATGGATGAATAATATTCCATTGTATTCATTCATGAATGTACACTTAGAATGTTTCCATATCTTGGCTGTTGCAAATCATGCTGTAATGAATATGGGAGGAGTGAGTATATCTCTTAAATGTACTGGTTTCATGTCCTCTGGATATACACCCAGAAGTGGGATTTCATGGGATTGTATGGAAGATTTGTTTTTAATTTTTTGAGAAACCTCCATACTATTTTGCATAACAGATGTAACAATTTACATTCCCATCAACAGTGTAAAAAATTCCATTTTCTCCACACCCTTGCCAGCAATTATCTCTTATCTTTTTTATGATTTCGATGCTAACAGGTGTGAGGGGATAGCTCACTGTGATTTTTGATTTGCAATTTCTGTCATTTCCTGATGTTGAGCATCTTTTCACATACCAGTTAGCCACTTGTATGTCTTCCTTGGGAAAACATCTGTTCAGGTCCTTCACCCAGTTTGTAATTGGGTCATTGGATCTTTTGCAGTGGCGTGAGTTCCATATTTTTTATATTAATCTCTTCTGAGATATATGGTTTGCAAAGATTTTTATCCATTCTGTAGTTTGCCTTTTCACATTGTTGATTGTTTCTTTTGCTGTGCAGGAGCCTCTTAGTTTGATGTAGTCATGCTTGCTGCCTTTTTGGCAATTTGCCTTTGCTTTTGGTATCATATCCAAAAAGTCACTACCAAGACTACGTCAAGGAGGATTTTTCTATGTTTTCTTCTAGGAGCTTTACAATTTTAGCCCTTACATTTAAGTTTTTAATTACTTTCCTCACAGTAGCCAAGATAAGAAAACAACCTAAGTATCTATCGGTGGATGAATAGATAAACATATTCTGGGACGTATATACAGTAGAATATTTTTCAGACATAAAAAGTACAACATTCTGCCATTTGCAACAGCATGAATGACTCTGGAGGACATTATACCAAGTGAAATAAGCCAGAGACAGAAAGTCAAATACGACATGGTCTCACGTCTATGTGGAATCTAAAAAAGTTCATCTCTTAGAAGCAGAGCCTACAACAGTTGTTCTGAGAGCCTGCGGCCATGGAGAATGGGGAGATGATGGTCAAGGGTACAAACGTTCAGTTAGTAGATGAATAAGTTCTGGGAATCCAGTCTGCAGCATTGGTGGTGATGGATGTGTTCATTAAAATAGCTGTGGTAATCACTATACTATGCCTACATATATTAAATCCTCACATTGTCCACCTTAACTATATTCAATCTTTATTTGCCAACTAAATATTTTACAACTAAATAAATAAATAAATTTTAATCTACATATTAGATTAGATGGACAAGCGTCTCCAAGGCCAACCCATTGCTTTTCCTTCTCTTTCCTACTGGAACATTGCAAAGATTCGCTTCCAAGGAATATGCTTCAAGGGAATCTATTTCCTAAACTTGAAGCACAAGAATTGTTCGTATATGGGAGCCACCAATAGGCTAAAATGTATGGCTAGATGAGTACACACTGAAACAGTATATTCTCACTGCCTCACTGGTAGGGCCATGATTTTTATATCGCCAACATTTGCTCATAAGAATTTTGGGAGGAAGACATTAACATTGAATTAGGGAAGACTCTTGAAACCTTTTCATCTAAGCACCCACTGACAATAAAATGAGAGCCTATTATAGATATCACTGGCTAATGGGAGAATTGTTAGAGGTACACATGTATATTTCTTTCATCTGCAGTTCATCTACCACTATCCCTGAATGGTGCGACCAGAAACAAAATACTTCAGTGACTTGCTGCTGTGCCTGCTGAGATTTCTCCCACAGCTCAATGACCAGCAGGAGGGAAGGATCATAAGTCACAGGTGTGGGTTTGGAAACAGCAACATGATCGTAACAGCGCTCACCCTTCGTTTGCCCATCATCCCAGAAAAGTTCTCCTTTTGCTTCTTTGTTCTCATCTAGGGCAATGATAAGACCAAGAGGGTTCTTTCGACTGTGGGGAACAAGATTCAAGAGACAAAGACAGGAGTCAGAGAATTTTGTTAACTGAGCTGAGAATATTTCCATCAAATTTCATACTGGAAAATACACTAGCAGCAGATGGTTCTGTTTCTTGAGGTACAAACACAAAATTGACAGACACATTTTTCTGTAATATCAACAGTGTCACAGGAGATAGCCACATCCCAAACATTAGCAATAACATCTATGTTGGAGGTAAGAATTTAAGCACCAGAGTCACTGCAATAGCTCAAATAAAAGCTGCTTCTGCAACTACCATTTAGAATACAGACTATGAGAAGAGAAAGAAATCTTAGGCAATAACTCGTTCAGTCAGATCACTTTAGCAATGATGCCCTCAGGAGAAGTGTCCAGTGCTGTGAGGAAGATACATTTTCACCTGCCTAAGGACCATTTATACTCAGAAAGCAATAACATACAATAAGGTCCATCTATTTAGTAGTAACTTATCTGATAATCAGGTATTAGTTTCTTTTGAAAGAAAAACAAATCATTCTAATGATCTACTTCAGAATTTAGAATAGGAAACACAACACATTACTCAAAGACATGGTAGAGTAGATGGACAGAGAGGAAGAGGAGGAGAAAGAGCAATTTTTATTTGGAATCTCTCCTCACTCTGTCACTATCTAGGCAACCTCTCAGTTTCCTGATCTTCCTGTTCCTCCTCTACCTGTCACTGGACTCACATTCTCCATTGCATTCTTTCACAGTTCAGCCTTTCACAATGCAAGAAAGTTAGTCTCCATTATCGACAAAATCATCTGCCTTCATTAAATATTCATATATTGAGTAGCAGTCATTTCTAGGAAGTCAATGAGATACGAAAGTTAACAAGTCACAACTCCTGACATGAATGGCCTTAAATGTTATAGGAAAAATTAGGCACATTCACTAAACAATGAAGGCAGACAGTGAAAACAACACAAAAGTTAGGATATTCTAGGAGTCCAGAACCACAGTTCCAGAAATATGGTGGACTGGATATTCTTCTGGAGACTTACCCAGTAAAATATTCCCTGATCCTAGATAAATTACAACACAAATTCCTGTTAAAATGTTGTTGAATTTGCAAGAAAGTAAGGAATATATTCAAGAGACCAAAACAGTAACAGGATAACAAAACACTGAGCTAAAACTAAAGAGTGCTTGGTAAGCAAAACCTAGAATCTCCGTGCGGCAAATTCCCATAGCAAGGTTAAAATTGGGCTACTAGGCCTAGCAATCCAAGGTAGAGAATGTGAACCTCTGATTCCCACATGAAGCCGGGATCCTTGAAGGAATCTAACGTAATCCCAGCTGGAAGCAATTCTTGGCTTGCAAACAGAGGAGAAGGCAAATCATCTCTGGAGGAATGACACCCACATTTACATGGTTAAGATTATCACAGTATGAAACAAAAAATCAGCAGGCACACAAGGTAATAACTCAACATAAAGGAAAGTCAGCAAAAAAGAACTAACAATAGATTTAGATTGCCTTAAACACTTCAGATAATACAATTTTCCGGCACAGAGTATACAACTACTATTGAAATGCTAACACTATTAAAGAAGAAAGACAAAATCATCTAAGGAGCAAAATATATATATATATATATTACAAATGACCAGAAACCTGGAGGTGGCAGTGCTTTCTCTGCTGAAAGATTAGGGAAAGATTTCTTGCTGCTAAAATGTAAAGTTTCATTTGGGCCATTAAGAATACACCAGGCAAAGATGTTGGAAAGGATAAATTCAAAAGCCCAAATGCAGCAAAATGCATAGGTATGTTTGGGAAATAGCCAGTTTGTTGGCATATCTGGTCTGTATGTACATGAAGGTGTGGCAGGAGATAAGAACTGTTAAGGTAACCTGGAACCAGGTTGTGATTGGTTTTGAATACCTTATTAATGAAAGACTTTGGACTTCAAGTCTAGGAGCCACCAGTTGAGATTTTCATTTTGGAAAAATCAGTTTGGTATCAGTGTACAGAACAGCTTGAAGGTGAACAGTTAGAAAAAGACAGCCAACTGGTATTGGATTTAGGAATATTTTCCATTAGTACCATAAAAAGTCTACAATTTGAAAAATTAAAGCAGTAAGAGAGGTTCAAAAGGAAAGACGGGTTTCTGGCTTCCAAAGAACTCCTAGTCTATTAAAGACAAGTAGGCTAATACTTTCAAAGCCATGAAGGTATAAATGTGCATCTCTTTAGTACAGATGGAATCTATAATTTTGGAATCAATTACATATAAAGGAAAATTCAGTGACATAGAGTTTTGAGGTTTGCAGGAGGTAATTTTTGAATCAACTTTTGAATCACAAGAAAGAAATCTCTTAGCGGGAGAAAAGAAAGAGGAAGTTGAGATTCTAGGAGGGTGGCAAGTGGATTCCAACTCTCTAGAAATGAGAGCAAGTGAGTCAAGAGTAAAGAAACACGGATGGACACTGAGGCCACGGCAGATAGAGGCATCGACTGACCTGGTTTGCCCACAATTGAGAAGCATCCCAAGAGGGGAGACTTCTGGTACTAAAATTGTAACAGTCTTTGCAAACCAAGGAGGCTGACCACCTGGCTGTTAGCATGTTTTGAAAAGAAATTCAACGGGTTTAAGGAAGGACATGAATTACAGTCTGCCAAAATCCACTGGATACGGTTCTAGAACAACAGCTTCTGAAAAGCTGTTGTGAACTGTGGTTGCCGTTTTGACTTCCATCTCAGATGTGAGATTAAAAAATGACATTCTTAGACCTATCATCTCACTCCCTTAGACTTCAATGAGTTGTTAATAATTAGTCAAAGAGTATAGAGTCTGAAAAGGATTAACATACAAACAAGCAAACAAAGAAAAAACAAGTATTAGTAAAACTGCATGTGGGCTTGAGAGTGATGCTTACGTTTTGGTGGACTTCATTACAGATTGTTGAGCTAACTGACATGTAAAGGAAAACCTGAGTCCTGTCATTCACCTTAAGTGGGTGTTCACTGCAGGCTCTTGCCAGGGCAGGATGTAGCCCCCACGGATATGAAGATTAATGTAGTCAAGAGGGGCTGGCAAGGTCTTCCACTCTCCTCTTGCATCAATATCCACACCCTGTGGGCAGAAGAAGGTAAGAGATAACGAAGGAGAGGACAGGCCCCTCCCTGAACGATGCATCCTGCCAGACATCTCATCCTCCCCTCTGAACTTATGCCTGCTCATCGCCGTTCGCAGCATACCTCCTATTACCTATTCTGCATTCACCCAGTGCTGCATGAAATCTGACAAGGCTGCTATCATATCTTGTTAGGGTCTCTTGCCTTTGCTTCCACTGTACAAACTACATCTGCCTGATGTGTGACAGGAAGAGGTGTCACTCTCTCACCTGAATCAAAAACCTAACCTAAGGGACCATCCTTCCATCCTACATGTTCTCAACTAGAGAGGGCTTTTCAATCTCAGCATGATTGAGATTTAGGGCCATACAATTCTCTGGTGATGGGGCTATCCTGTGCCTTCAGAAATTTAGCAGAATCCTCAGTTGTCAGCAGCATCGCCTCCTCACCCCCACCCTGTTGTGCCAACAAAAAATATCTCCAGGCATTGCCAAATGTCCCCTTGTTGGCAAAATCGTCTCATTTCAGAGCTGCTACTTTACAGGTAAGAAGCAGTTATTGTTGACAACAAGCAAACAAAAATGCATGGCTGTGTTCCAATAAAACATTATTTGCAAATCAGCTAACCACCAGATTTGACTGTGGGCCATAGTTTGCCAGCCAGTGCTCTAGAACGAGTAATAGGTACTCAAACTTGGGAAGATTAATCAAGGTGACACTACTTCATTAATCCTAACTATGAGATTCATCTTCATTTTATAATTAAACATCAAAAATTTCATTTATTTATTTTTTTTTTCCGAGACAAAGTTGCATTCCATCACCCACGCTGGGTAGTGGCACAATCTCAGCTCACTGCAACCTTCGCCCCCCAGGTTCAAACTATTGTCCTGTCTCAGTCTCCCGAGTAGCTGGGACTACAGGTGCATGCCACCACACCCAGCTAATTTTTTGTATTTTTCATAGAGACGGGCTTTCACCATGTTAGCTAGGATGGTCTCAGTCTCCTGATCTTGCGAACTGCCCACTTCGGCTTCCCAAAGTGCTGCGATTACAGGTGTGAGCCACTGCACCTGACCCAATTTTATCTATTTCTAAACCATTTGCTCCACGATTTCTTTTGTCTTTCCCTCTTCGATCAAAGACATCTTCTGTTACTGAATGGGAGACTCAACACTCAGGACAAAGGCCAGTCTCACTTAAAGAAAGCTGGCCACCTCTTCCTAGGGAAGGCCTGGCTGGAAACCACATAGCAGAGCCTTAACATGTTACCACCCTAAGGGCAGATCCAGACTAGGAGCAGAAAGGGGAGCCTGGGGCAGTGGCGAGTACTTGGGGTCCAATGGACTGAGAAGAGAAGGAACAAAATTACACATCCTTCTCCAGTTTTCACCTAATCTCACTGCAATCCCCTTGGATGAAAGGGGCCAGCACATGCTCTGCTTCTTGTTTCCCTGCTTGTACCCCTTTGCTGTATTGCCAGCCCTCAACTATGTTCTCCTCAGAAAGTCAGAAGAAGCAGCCTGGTTAGAAACGAAGGAAAAACGTCCTTTGATTCTTCCCCAAGAATCAGGGTCTGACTTGTCAGGGTCCCAGCAAGAGACCACCACCCCAGAGCTGCCCTGGAAGACCCTGGCTTCCCAGCTGAGTCTTTGGGAATCATACTAGCAATGAAACTATGAGGCAAGGAGCTCTTCATTGCTGCCTCATTTCTAAATGTACTTGCACTGCTTAGACTCACAAGGGTTGGGTCCCACACCTCTGTGTGTTTTGCATATTGTCTAATCACTTGTGTGCCTTAGGTAATTATGTGCATCGCCCTTCTTTGAGTGTCTATGCTATGGAAGGAGATATTTAATAAAAAGAGACAAAACGGCCTCTATACTTACAAACTTATAGCAGGCAAAGATACAAACATTAAAAACAAAAACTATAGTTTGCAACACAATCTCAAATGTTGACTAGCATGTTCCTTTACACAACATGGTAAATAGCAGTGATATAAGGAAATATTAAAAACTAACACAAAGAGAACACCCACAAAATCCAGACCCTGAGTGTGATGCTTTATGTGTTATTTCACAATGGTTCTATGAAGGAAGTGGTCTTCCCCACTTGGAGGTGAGAAAACTGAGATTACAAGGGTTAAGATGGCTTCTGTCAGACCACACAGCAGGTGGGTTACAGATCCAGCATTTGACCTAAGGTCCATCAGATGTAAAGCCTTTGTTCTCTCTACCATATTCCCATGTTGTATAAACATTCAGAAAAACTTACCGTGTAGTAATCGTACCAGCGGGCTCTAGGGAAATATGCAGTGACATTTCTGGCATTCTAAAATGAAACACAAGCAAGGTGAGGCAGTGGGCACCATGTTCCAGGACAGAGAAACCAAACTGCTTAGGAAAGAGGTGAAATAATTGTGGTGGCTTTGGATCCATCTGCCTCATGTCTGGAGAGGTTAGTAATTGGGGAAAACTTCTTCCCATTTTATTTTTCAAACGGGAGATTTGTCTACCCAAAACAAGTGGCTTTCATAAAGCACTTTGGTATCCAGGACTTCGGGAAAAAATAAATCACTGTTTGCTTATAGACATAGACTTACCCCATTTCCTCTTAAAGAGACAAACAACTGAGGTTGTGTTTGGCAGAAGAAAATTTTGTGGGTACAGTAAGATTTTGGGGCCGGGCGCGGTGGCTCACGCATGTAATCCCAGCACTTTAGGAGGCTGAGGGGGGCAGATCATGAGGTCAGGATATCAAGACCATCCTGGCTAACAGTGTGAAATCCCCTCTCTATTAAAAATAAAAATAAATTAGCCTGGCATGGTGGCATGTGCCTGTAGTCCCAGCTACTCGAGAGGCTAAGGCAAGAGAATCACCAGAACCCGGGAGGCGGAGGTTGCAGTGAGCCAAGATCACATTACTACAGTACCCCCTGGACAACAGATAGAGACTCTGTCTCAAAAAAAAGAAAAAAAACATTGGGGGTAGGTTCAATTAACTGGTATTTTAATCAGAAGCCTAATCAACAACACAAGTAAAGAAATGGCTTTTACTGCTGGGAGGTAATCCTGCAGACGAAGGGAAGGGGTAGCCAGCAGCAATGCAAGTACACACATTGCCAAGTAATCCTTCTGAAGAGTTGTAATAGTGCTAGAGAACTCTTATAAATTCTTTACGACACTGCCCCCATCTTTACGACACTGCCCCCATCTGACCTTCTATTCCTTATTTTAGTTAATGAAGAAATGATTGTGTCATTGAATACACCATGAGGTCTTTTCTTCTTGATCATCCTATGAAGCAGAGTTGTTAGGCTCATTTTAAGATGAAGGAGCTGAGGCCCACAACACCTAAGTGACGGACTTCAGCTCAGAAGGAGAGGAATAGACACAGGGAGAATAAGAAACCATGTCTTATGACCCCCACCAACTCAGGCCTCTTCTCCTCGTCCTTTTCCCCAAGCCTCACAGCTGGGATCCTCCCCCCATCGGAGGCCTCCATACTCACGCGCTCCAGGACAGGGCTGACCAGGAAGGCTGGGCCCAGCAGGAACTGACTGTCTATGTCCCACGTCACCTGGTCTGACACAAACCTGGAAAGGGAAATGAAGGTGCCCAACAGAGCCCAACAGAGCCCCAGCCCGAGACTCGGAAGAAGTTCCTCAAGTTCAGATCCAAGTCGGAAATCCAGCTGCCCCTGAGCCTTCCTTGCTTTTTCCCTAGGCCTAGCTTCATCAGGAGCACCAGCCTCTGCTCTCCCCACGGGATGTGCCTCAAACTTCAGAAATGCTGGGATGTAGATGTGTTCTCTCCTGTAAACTATTACCTCATTTCTTAACCATGGCACATTTTAAATGTAAGGATGATGCTCCTCCCTCAAATCTCTGGCTGAAATTCTTCTTTTGTGACCTGGGTCCATATAACCAAACTGCTACAAAAGATAGACAGGTCTTTGCACAGTCAAATGGGAATGAAACTATTCTATGCTGTATGGCATCACTTCAGTTTTGTTCATTCAATAAAAAGCCTTTTCTCATGACCTATGATATGTATAACACTGTGCTAAAGAGAGTAATAAAGTATGGTCTGCGCCTGAAGAGCTCACGTCAAAGGCAATCATGTCTTCAATTTGCAAGAATTGTATATAGCAACTGCCACCACATAGAATGCAATAAGTCATACATTAATCATCAGGATCCCTGCTGGACACTCACTCATGAAGCAGAGGCCGCACAACCGTGACGCCCTCCGTGTGGGCCTTATACATCAAGGTATACAGATATGGCAACAGGGTGTATCTGGTCTGCAGGACATTTCTGGAAATGTTCACAAAAGCAGTATCCCAGGACACAGGGTCTTGTCTCTAAAGAAGAAAGAGAACAGTGTTGGGAGCTCGCTCTAGAATTTCTAGGGGATTTAAGAAGGTCACTGAAAGCATATTCCAACTGAAGATCACTCACAGCTAAACAAAAGAAAACTATACATGAGGCCCAGAGAATACTCTTAATAGACTGAAAAGAGTCACTGAAGCTCTCCTAGGACAGCTGATGAAATTTCACTGTAAGACATCCTTTTTGGTACATTTGGTACAATTCTGCCTAAAATACAGGAAAAAAATAATAATCTAAAGAACACTGAGGGATATGGTTCATTGAGACACCAGGGCTTAACAATTTCTAACGGTGCAGTGGCTCATGCTTGTAATCCCAGCGCTTTCGGAGGCTGAGTCGAGTGGATCACTTCAGCCCAGGAGTTCGAGGCCAGCCTGGGAAATATGGCAAGATCCCACCTCCACAAAAAATGCAAAAATTAGGTGGGCACGTTGGCATGTGCCTGTAGTCCCAGCTACTCAGATGGCTGAGGTGGGACAATCGCTTTAGAACCAGAGGTCGAGGCTGCAGTCAGCCATGATTGGGACACAGCACGATCCAGCCTGGACAACAGAGTAAGTCCCTGTCTCAGAAAATAAATAAATACATAAATACATAAATAAATAAATAAATACATACATACATACATACATACATACATAAATAACCTTTTAAAAAGATATCCCAGGAAATACAGACTGCATTAATTTTAGCTCGGAAATGGAGATTGTATTTCTAGTGACACAGAACACGGGAGGCAGAAGCCACGGTCCTACCCTGGTCCCAATGGTGTTGTGGTTTCTTGAGAAGGGGTAAAAGGCCCCCAGCTGCATCCAGCGAACACACATCTCGTATTCAGCATCTTGAAAGAACCCACAGATATCTGCTCCTGTCTGAAACAAGAAGAAACAAAACAAGCCGGCTGATGATTTCTGAAAGATGTCCCCACCTTCTTGGTGCTTAGGAGGATCCCAAGGACACTCACATAGGATATGCCGAAGAGGCTGAACTCCATCATGCCTGCAATGAGAAGCACAGCAGTGTCACACCAGGCTCTCACCACCCGCCTCCTCGCCTCTTCCCCAAGGATCCCAACTCCCTGCCCTACCGGCACAGGCCCTGGGAAGGAGCCACGCACCAATGATAGATTTCTTCAGCTGATCCCACGCGGCCGTGTTGTCTCCCAGCCAATGTCCTGCCCAGCGGCCAGAAGAGGGAAATGTGGAGCGGGTGATGACGACCCCTCGCTGTCCCGTCACCTCCTGCATGGCTCTGGTTGGAGGGCAACAGGAGGTGAACTGAGGGCACGGCCAAGGGAGCAAAGGCCAGAGAGCTTCTGCTCCTAGAGCCCTCGAGCCTAGTTAATGTTTCCTGTGTGATTGGAGGGAACATGGGAATCTGAGCTGTAATGGGGGCCCCACTGATCCCAGATGATGGAGATAATGAGTCACGTGTTCTCACAGTGCTTTACAAAGAACTTCACTGTAGCAAACTCACTGGAGTGGCCAAAAATAGTAAGGAATTACTAAATCTTGCTATTGGTTTCCTCAATACGTAGTTTTCTATATTTGAGGAAGAACACAGTGAAGATTATAAGATTGCCCTTAGAAGAATTCATATCATTCATTGAGCTTGCAAAGCGGGACTGTGCTAATTCGGTAGAATACCAGTTACCCTCCCCCAAGAATGGCCAAAAACCAAAACAAAACAAAATCTCAAAATACAAAATATTATTTACTGTTGAAATAAAGGGGAGAGAGGACCAGTCCTCTGTGTTCCGTTCAACTCCTGTAACTAAAGCTACTGTACCGCAGGCTGCCCTGTGTGACCATTATGGTGTCTCCATGTGTGTCTTTAACAACAGGATCATTAAGTTTTTCACTGGTGGGACCATGTCTTATTTAAATCTGTCCTCCTTTTCATCAGAGGGCCTGGCTCCACATCAATGAGCATTTGTTTAGTAAGAATCATTACACGGTTGTCATGAGAATCTTCTTTACCCTTAGAATGCGGAATGAAAGGAAAACTAGGGTGGCTATGTCAGTCCCTGGCAATCCCTCCGGGTTGTGACAGCTGGAGAAGGCAGAGACTCACTCGTATGTGGGTCTGGTCTGGGACCACCCGTACAGGTTGTGCACGTTGTAGTGCTGCACCGGGGAGCCGTCTGGGAGGATCTGCTGACTCTCCATGCACAGGGTCTTGCTGCTTAGACCCCTGTCCCTGGACTCCAAATCTGAGGAGGAAGAACTGGTGAGGTGAAATCCAGCCCTGATTCTGTTTATCCCTGACCTCTCCTCAAGGGAGTGGACACTGGATCTTAAGACTAACTTGAGCCCTGCCTGTGTCACTCTCCATCTTCCCAGAGACATGAGCACAGAGCCCCCAGCTCTGAGCTGCTATGGCACCTGCAGTGTTTCCAACATCAAGTTCACTGAAGAAAGCAGAGGTGTGAGGAAGAACATACAGCTGTCGAATACTACATGACAGGCACTGATTTAGGCTTTTGACTTACCAATTATGCCCATAATTCTATGAAGAAGACATCATTATCTGTCTTTCACAGTTTAGGAAACCAAGATTTGGAAATATTGCATAATCTGTGAAAAGTCACACAACTCCTAGAGAGAACAATTTCTGGAGCCAAATATGAACCCAAGTATAACTCCAAAGTCCACCCGCTCCATGACAAGGGGAAGCCAGTAATTTCTACCCATTGATGACACAAATTCCTGTGATGGAATTCACACAAGCCGAAAAACTAAGAAACCTAGCTGTGAGAACCCTTTGTGGCATGAGCACTGCTAAGTGCTTTCTGGACAAATTTCAAGAAATTTATTCAATGAGTCTAGTCACTTGCACGTGGCTGGCTGGGTAAAGCATGTGAAGAGCTTTTGTCTCTGGTCCCCAGTAAACCACAGCAGCCATGAGGATGTGCCCTGAGCTGTGCAGGCACACCCCTGGCCTCTGGGCTCCTCCAGTGGCCATCCTTCCAGTCCTAGCTCTGCCAGTCAAGGAGGCCAAAGATTCTTACATGGCATGTAGGGAGGGCGGTTCAGAGAGGTGTCCCTGCAGCCTGGAGAAACTGCCCCATTCACGAAGCTTGATGGTTCATTCATATCCTAGAAATGCCAAACACAAACATACATCACTTTTTAAGATAATTATGTCCAGCCAATCCTGAGCCAAGGAAGCAGTGAATAAATTGTTCAACATCCAGTAATCCCTGTAGATGCCAGCCCTGGGAACTTCATCAAATCCTGGTGAGAACTGGCTGGAAAGATTAATTCACTCCTACAGAATGACTGGCTAGAGGTTTCAAGAAATAAATCTCTTCCCAGGTGGCTGTGAAGCAAATTTCCAAGAAATTCCTAGTAAATTGCTTCCTAGGAATTTTTTTTTTTTCCATTTTTTGAGACGGCGTTTCACTTGTTTCCCAGGCTTGAGTGCACGTGTACGATCTTGACTCACCACAACCTCTGCCTCCTACGTTCAAGCAATTCTCCTGCCTCAGCCTCCCAAGTAGCTGGGATTATAGGCATGCCCCACCACACCTAACTAATTTTGTATTTTTAGTAGAGACAGGGTTTCTCCATGTTGGTCAGGCTGGTCTCAAACTCCCAACCTCAGGTGATCTGCCCACCTCAGCCTCCCAAAGGACTGGAATTACAGGCGTGAGCCACCACACCTGGTCCGGCCTGACAGGTTTCACAGTAGGAGCATAAGGTCCAGTACAAGGTCTATCAGGGCTGTTCCCCTCCTGAGTGGAGGAAGTGTCTGATATGTCAACAGGCTTCCATGGACAATGACTATCCTCTTGACTGAAGGTCAGTGGTCCATATACTCAGGCACACAAAGATAGACAAGTGCCACAGGTACACACACACACACACACACACACACACACACACTTACAATCCACAGGCCATCAAACTTCAAGCTCCTCTCTGGATTCTGTGGATTGTTGTACAGTTCTTCTATTTCCCTCTTCCACCACTTGGCAGTTGAATTACGGAAAAAGTCTGGGAAGGCCACGTAAGCTCGATATAGCTGTAAAATATAAATATAATTTATGTGTCCCACACAAATATATAAGACAGCAAACAGGCACTTACTGAGAATGCAACTCAAACAGATACTTGAGCTGCACGGTGACAGACGGCCTGAACAGGACCTAAATAATGTTATTAACTAATTAGAGAAATGTAGAATGAGAAGAGAAATTAGTGTAATTTGCACACCTTCCCAGCATTTGGAAAACATCCAAAAACTCTTCTCTTCATATACACATGGTGGACGACAATCAATGACCTGAACTAGTGACCTCATGCATTCAATGCCCAACCCTCAACATCAGTCCTGCCGTTTCCTAAGCACTCCTCAAAGACAAAACCAGGGAGAGACTGCAGACATGAGATGCATGGTAATAGGTTAGGAAGAAACACCCAGGGAGTCCCTCCTATATCATTCCCACTGAGAGAGGGGAGGAAGGAATAAGATTACATTTCAGGATATTAGACCAGTACACCTCAGTGTTTTCTACAATTTCAGAATCACAGGACAACTACAGCTGTTGGAGCATAAATTGAGAGGACTTAAAGAGAATGCATCGACTTCCCCTTATTTTCCTCTTCCCTCAAATAATAAAAGCAGTGTCTTCACTTATCTGAAAGACAGATTCAAGATACAAGTTTTTAACTACATTGTAGATTTTTGAGAGTAGGAAGTTTGTTTTATATTCTTCTGAGTGATATTTATATTGCCCACAATGTTCAGCTAAGAACCTGGCATAAAATACTCAGTGTTTACTAGTGGGATCACACCACTTAGAAGCAGCAAATAAATATCCACACATTTTAATATACTCATGTTGTTTGTTATGGAATATTATGGTCCTTTGTATGTCTCAGTAAATAGCCTCCTCTATGCTAATCACACCACTGTAAGAGTTAAAGAGCTAAAGAATGCTTGTGAGGAGGGTGGGGGAGGCAACAGAAAGAGGACTTGGGCTAGGGGAACTCCAGTTCTTATACACCACAGATAAAAGGCAGGTAGGAACCCAGATGTCTAGATAAAGGGCAAAAGAAGGAACACAAGAAAACAGAAACAGATCAGCCTGCATGGGTCTGGCCGTCAAGGACGTGAGAAGACAGCAGCTCACATCACACAGAACCTTGAGAGAAGTGGGCTTGCCAAGGATGCCTTTTGTGAGGAAATGGAGGTAGAAACCAGGAAACCCGACAAAGAGAACCTTTCACCAGAAACAGAGAGCTCCAGATCAGGCAGGGTTAGAAACAATGGGATGGGTGGGGGATGGAGAATTACAATAAAGAGAGTATCAGCCACATCTCAGTCAGAATTGTATCCCATATGGGGTACACGTGGGGAAACTGGCCAGCCATGACGTATGAACTTCCCTAAGTACTGCTCGGATGACCCCTACCAACTTCATAAAAATGCTCTGCCGTTCTCCAAGGTGCTGCCTTTGCCTGCCCATATTCCAGTCTTGCCTTGTGGCTTCTGCCTTCACTTTCTCCAGTCTTCAAACAGTGATGTACCCACCCACACACTGGGCCTCAGGATCACCTAGCAGTCTTTTTGTAGAACATCACATGCTACAAATCGCAATTCATAGATCCCATCACAGACTTATTGAATTAAATCACTGGAGCTTTGGACTCAGAAATCTGCTTTTCATAGGCTTCTTGGCTGTTTTATGCTCAGCGAAGCCAGGCCTGGACATCAGTGGCTTCAACCTCACCAGCCTCGTCAAGCGGGTCTCACTATTAATAATATAAATATTAGATTGATGCAAAGGTAATTGTGGTTTTGGAATTAAAAGTAATGGCAAATATTACCTGTGCACCAACCTAACAGTTACAATTATTCTATCTACCAATAATCTCTTATGAGCTACGTAAAAGATTATGTGAATCCCCTAATGAGTGTTTCTTATCAGAAACCCAACTGGAATTTGAGGCATATGATTTTTTGTGGAGAATTCCCTGCAATCAGAGCTATCAGCATCTCTGCCTACTGCCCATTAAATGCCACCTGGTATCCCTGTGATAACCAACACTGCCCTCAGATTTCCAAATGGCCTCAAGGTGGCAGTGTTACCCCTACTGGCTGCTGAACTGTGATAAAAGTCAGGAAGCCAATGATCCAGAACTTCTCTGGCTGGGCAGGTTCCTGTGTCCATGTGGGCTGCTTGGACCCCTAAGCTTCAAGTTATTCACTGTGAGAATTGATGAGAGGACAGAAAGCTAGGTCTTCTCCTTTGAAAACTGATAGATAGATAGACAGATCTAGAGTGGATATAGTAGGTAAATGGATAGATACGATAGATAGATAGATAGATAGATAGATAGATAGATAGATAGATAGATAGACAGACAGACAGATGATACAGTGGATAGACAGATGGATAGGGTGAGGGGATAAATTGATAGAGATAGATGATAGATGGATAGACAGAAAATAGAGAGGGATACAAAAAGATGTTAGATAGATAGATAGAAAGATAGATAGATATAGGCAGTTAGATAAATAGGTAAATAGAATGGAGGTACAGATAGATAGAGATAGATGATAGATAAATAGATTAGAGTGGGTGGATGGATAGATTGATTGATATATAGATAGATTAGATAGAGTGGGTGTATGGATAGATAGGTAAATATAGAAAGATAGGCAGATAGATAATAGACTAGAAAGACAGATGATAGAGTCATATGCAGAAAGATGTTAGATAAACAGATAATAGATACGTAAATATACATATACACACACATACATAGAGATGATAGTTAGATAGAGATAGAAGTTAGAGAGATAGATAGATAGATAGATAGACATAGATAGATACTTGTTCAGTACTAAATAAAAGGAAAACAGCCTTGAACTGAGTCTGACTCATTCTTGTCAATCTTCAAAACCTGCCCCAGCTTCTGTTTTGTTTGCATTGTTTTACTCAATTTACCAACAGAAAATAAAGACATGGAGTCCTATACCCAAGCAACCTGGTCCCAAATGTGTCTCATTTTAAATTGAAAAGAACAACTGCTGCCAACTGGCTCTGGGATCCAGGAAGTCAGAGACTGACAACAGAGAAGTAGGCATCACAGGCTTGCAGTACCTTCTGCTCTCACTACCCTGTTGGAGCTGTCCAAGGTCCCAGCCTCAGGCTCCAGATTTTGGGGTTCTATCTAATATATGTCTTTCCCTCTAGGACTCACCACTTGCCCTCAAAACCAGTTTATCTGGATAAGGCATGAATTTTTGGCCTAACTCTTGCCAGTCACGTTCCTGGTGATGAGTGTTTCTCCTGCACCTCTCTCCGTGGGCTACAATCTTTCATCATGTAGAAAGAACCCCAAAAAGAGGTCTTTGCCCCTGGGCTTCTGAGTGGCTGCTAACTGAATTTACAGCTGTTGAGATTTGTTTCCACAATATGGATATTTCTCTGATTAACACTTGATCCTGAGAGAGTATCTAGACTCTACAACATATACCACATTGCTGACTGCACAGGACAGTTCCTTTGTCCCTTTAATTCCTGGCAGATGTCCTAGAAAAGAGGCCTTTTCCTTGTCTCCTCAGCTGTCCTGTGGGGGTCACACAGGCTACACATGCCCTGCTACAATTCCTGCCCAGAGAGAATAACCATTATTGAAGAACAGCTCAAGAGGTAGGGCAAGGTACTTGCTCTCCAGGAAGTCCTTGGCCTCACCCTGACAATCCTGCCTGTGGGTACTGTCACAAAAATTGATAGTAAAGCTCACAGGCTGCCTCAGTTCAGGAGACACACATCTTGGCCAGAGGATGGGGCTGTAGGCTTCCTAGACCTGTAAGGAGCCATGTATTCATTCAAGCAAGAAATACTTAGTGAATCTGGAAAAAAATTCAGGTCCAGAAGCATGGGCTACCTGGATCCATTACAAGCAACAAACCGACCCCAGGAGTGAGCAGGTTTTACAATAAGGCTGGAAACTGAGAGGTAAAAGCAAAGTTGAGAAATCCAAGGAAGAATGGGCTCAGAGGAGGACTTATAAGTGTGAAGATGGAGAAACCTGTTCATGGGGAAAAAAAAGAAAAATATACAAAGAAAAAGACCTAGTCAGTCTTCAAGGGTTGAAGACTGTTAGAAAGGGAAAACCATGGCAACAACAGATGGTATGCCAGTTCAGGGAAAAGATAGCATTTCTAGGAGGTATCGCCCAGTGGAAATTTCCTGGGCCTTCAGAATCTGACAGCCTTGGAATTGAAATCACCACTCTGTCACCTAAAACTGGGGAAAAATAATTTAAGCTCTCCGGCCTTGAATCCCAAGGATAATAATACATATCTACATCCCAGTGGGCAGTAAAGTATTACTCCATATAAGGTAATGGGCACACAGAGTGACACCCAAGACACACGCCCTAAGGGTTTCTCTCTTGTCAAGCCCATGTCCACGGTACAGGCATGTCCAGAATCCCAGGAATGGCTGCCCCTGCCTAGAAACCCTGACTCCACCCAAATTTACAAAGACCCTTTTACCTCCACTTGACTGTCCCATTCTAGAGATTCATTCACAACAATACCAGGAAAATCGGGCCAGACCTATGGAGAGAAACACGTTCAGTAGCGATGCACGAGACAGTTTCCCTTACATAGGATTTCTGAAGAAATTGTTGTATAAACCATGTCCTAGGAGCGATGATACTTTGACTATCATGTAGGATTGACATAAAAGAAAAGTGAATTCCATAACATGTTACATTACTTTAAAACTCATTAATTGTATCAACAAATATTGTTTGAGAAAAGGAGGGTGTCTAACGTCAGAGCCCAAATAGAAAATGCCAAAAATAACATACACAGGCGTGTGACCCACTAACCGTGACCCACCCGCAGGCTAGGGACTAGTGGATCATCCCTTAGGATTATACCTTTCCCCAGACAATGTCTCCATCATTTGGGTATTTGATGAAGACGTCATCCTCCAAGCCCCGAGTGAAGGCAGGATAGGGCTGTGTCTCATTGCCAGAAATAGCTGGATCCTGAAATCAAAGCATAAGTCAGTTGGGAAAACCAAAGCCAGAGAATGAGGTGAAACAGAATAAAGGAAAACTCCTCCAGGGTGAACTCGCTGGCTTCTACCTGAACTGTAGACCATCTGTGAGTCCTGGGAAATACAGAATTCTTACTGCACTTCAATTTATCTATTTGAAACATGGAAATAAAGTATAACTCTTTCTCCACCAAAGCCCATACCTGCTCCCAAACAGACAGCACACATTCACATCAGGACTAACCAGAATGAGGATGACCCGCATCCCATCAGCCTTCATGCGATTGATCAGAGCTGGAAACCCAGCAAACTTGGGGCTGAGGGTGAAGTCCAGCTGCCGCTCCATGTAGTCGATGTCTGAGTACTGCACGTCCTGCGGGAGGACACGGGGAGCTGAGTGGCTGCTGCTGTACACGCTCAACCTTTACAGGAGAACAACCCTCCACTATACATGGTGGAATTCCAGACAGCTTCTCGTTGATGCTTTCAAATCCCAGCTCTGCCATTTGTTAGGTACAGGTGCTGGGAAATTCACTTAATTTTTACAATGTTCAGTGATAAGATAGAAAAAAATCAAAGTCAGCATAAGATAGGATGAGAATGTGTCTCTAGCATGGCTATTCTGAGGATAAGAAAAAACACTGTTTGGAAAGTGCTTTGTAAATTGACCATATCAGGTGTGATTGTGATGACCTTCCCCAAGAGGCTGCCCCTGGTATCAGTGGTTCACGCTGAGGAAAAATACTGTTAATTATCCAGGGCTAGTGGCAAATCTACTACAAAACAAAATAAAGATGTATAGTTGCTTTGGAATCCTGAATCTTGAGGGTAATCATATACAACATTCTTCCTGAGACTGTCATATTGCATTTCACAATCCACTAATGGAAACACTATGTTCCACTAATGGAACAATTGTAAACAATGGAAAAGTGGGATAAAATTAAATGTGGGATGGTTCATGGGATCATTGTCTGATGACTGGGTCCGCTCCTGTCCTCTCCTGAAGGATAAGGTTTATTTCCATATGTATGTCCCCTGCAAACTCATCCCAGGATCTGTGTAATCCATCAGTTATTAGCTCAGAGCTGATGCAGGAACTGAGGTTGTATTCACATATACAATTGTCTGATCAATTTGTGGTTAGTCTTTTCAAGAATTAAGTAAAAGAACTGTGGGATATCATTTATTCTTATGGAACCAATGACGTTTTGACAAATGTTTTGAAATCATGTGAAAGAAACGGAAGAAAGCATGAGATATCAGAAAGAGCCCTGGAGCCAGCCTATCCCCCTCTCTGGGAAATCACAGTGAGTCTTGAGCTACCACCTCTAGAGGATGGAAACAAGCACCCTTATCTGTATTACTGTGCTGGGGTGAGGCTAACTGTGATATTGTCTGAAAAATAAGGTTTTATCTCTATAGAATCCCACAAACATTAGACAAATGAACCCCGACACAGAGGCACCTGGGTTACTTATGAAACTCCAGAGCCATGACTGAGAACGTACATAAGGGATCTGGGCGGCCACCATCTCATCATACAAGCTGGCGATCTCAGAGTCGTTCTGGTATCCATAGCGACACAGCTGGAAACCCAAAGACCAGTAAGGTACCATCACAGGCCGGCCAATCAACTAGAAAATAGACAGAAAATATTAGTCCTCAGAAAAGAGACACCAGATTAAAGTTTTACATCAAGTAATAAGAATATTTTTCGATGCCCAATCTAGACAACTGAAAGCTTTCTGCTAGACTTAAGCTCCTTCCTAAACATTATGGAAAATCTGATGTTACTCTGTTCCTAGAGACACTGTAGGTAACTCATTAAGAAGCCCAGAATCAGAGACAAATGCCTGGCTTAGCATAGAGGCTCCAGTCTTTCCAGCTGTGTGACCTAAGGCAAAAATTAATAAGCTCTTAGTGCTTCAGTTTCTTCCTCTGTAAATAAAGGATAATAATAGCATCTGCTTCACAGCATTCCTGTGAGGCATGAATGAGTTAATATGGGTGAAGTGCTCTAACATGCAGCAAGTGATAAATCAGTGATGTGCACTTGGTAGTATACAAGCGTCTGTTGTTGCTGCCACAACCACCATGGTCGTGGTCACCATCACCATCATCACCGCCAACATCATCACTATTTTCACCATCACCACCAGTAGCATGATTGTGCCCCCACCACTATCATTACCATTATCAATACCCTTCACTACCATCACGACCAACCTACTACCACCCCCACCACCATCCCCAACATCACCACTATCATCACAACCACTATCACCAACATCACACTCCTCACACCACCCCACTGTCACCACCACCACCATAACCACCACCATCATCACCATCACTACCACAAACACTCTCCTCACCCCCACCCTTGTCACTATCACCACCATCATTATCACCAATACACCCATCACCACCACTACCACCACTATCATCACCATCACCATCACTACCACTACTACCACCATCATTATCACCATTCCCACATCACTATCCCCACCATCAGCCCCTACCGCCACCATCACCACCACCACCACACTATCACTACCATCACCACCACTAGTACCACTATAACTTCTGCTCTTCTGCAATGCTTACAGAGGCTATACATTTAATGATAATCAGAATGTGTTTATTTTTTCTTATTCTATAATCTCTCTCCAACAAAGACGAATATTTCCAGTTATCATCTGAGAGTTATACTAATGGATGTGGGCTCTGGCACCCAGAATGTACTGTATAAGTGCTTGATAAACAGCTGGATTTCTTCCTACCTCCGTGTACTGCTGGGTGACAAGCTCTGGAGTTGGCCCCAAGAACACATAAAAGTCCAGAACTCCCCCTGTGGTACGGTATGTCAAGGCAGGCAGGGGCTGGAACGTCACGTCTGAAAATGAAGAAAAATGCCAAGCCAGATGGAAACTTTCCACATCACGAATCACCCCTGAAATCCACACATTCTCCATCTTCCTGCACCCTCCCTATCATAGAGTGGTAAGAACAGGCATTTTTCTATCACACTCACACAGAACTGAAGAAGATCAGTGGAAGTCTACAGGTCCTATTCCTGGGTTTGATTCTCTTTGGGGTACTTTACTATATTTTGTCACTCTTCTCTTATAGAATTTATTTTTTACATTTCAACTTTTATTTTGGATAAAGAGATACACGTTCACATTTGTTACATGGGAATATTGCATGATGCTGAGGTTTGGGGTAGGAATTCTGTTACCCAGATAGCAAACATAGTACCTGGTAGGTAATTTTTCAATGTACCATAAACCCTCATATACCCAGATTAACTTCTCTGACCCACAGTTTTAGCCTAATTCAAATTATATAACTGGCTCCCATGAGCTGGCCTCCAGGATATTTGGGACCCACATGGTGTTACTATCCTTTCTTATGTGATTTTTACCAAAATAAGAATTGGGTTAAATCCTCTTATCACATGATCCTATACTGAAATAAATAGAAAGGCTAAACACAAAGAAAAAATAAACACCAATGCCCATAAAATGAAAATTTTGACTTCAAGGAAGAGTTAGGCTAGACACATTCTAAACTGACTCAAGCATGATTGGTAGCCCCCCAAAATAAGGGAGGCGCTGGACGGCCTTACCCATGGCATTGCTGTTCAGCAGGAACACTCCGTGGGCACTGCCATCCTCCTCCAGCCCCATGTAGTAGGGGTGGACACCATAGGAATTCTTCTTGTACTGGAGAGTCATGGGGAGAAGCAGTAGGAGTTTAAAAGACATCATGCCTGAGGAAAAAACTCAAGGAACATGTGCTTGCTGAGATAGGTCTAGTTTTCTCCATGAAATCCATTAAACACATGAAACAAAGGAGCCTGAGAATTGGCCCACTCGTCTAAAACCAGAATGAGAGGACCAAGTGGAGTTTGGGAAGATGAAGCCCGAAGCCTGAGTAGTGTGGGTGGAGAGAAGCAGAGACACAGATCCCAAATGCTCTGTCCTTACCCCTGGGGGCTGGTCTCGGGAGAACATCCCCCAAGTGTGCCACTCCAAGTCTCTCCTATAGGATGTGTGCTCAGTTTCCCCAAAGCCATAGAGGTACTTGGAGGCAAGGCGGGTGGAGATGCGGATAAACATGTCATTGAAGGTGAAACCAAGGAGCTGAGAGTCCCAACTGAAACACAAAAAGGCAGATTTAAAACAGAAAATGGGCTTTTCTCTCTGCTTCCAGCAGCTGACTTTTCAAGGACAACAAATGTGTGATTTTTATCCAGAACATGTTCATCTCCAAAACAAAACAGATACTCAGTTTGATTAAAATATCATAGAAATCCTCACTAAAAGCCCAGGAGTTATTCTTCATTCATCTGTTTCCCACTGTCACTGCCTCCTTTCAGTGGTCCTCCACAATAAAAAGCCAAGCACTCCTCACCATCACAGCTGGGTACACGCCACACCAGCACCACCTTCCACCCTTGCACCCCTCAGCGCATTTTCTACATAGCACTCAAAGTGATGTTTACTTATTATTGGTTGTCATGAGAAGAGAACTCTCAGCTTTCTATAAGGAGCAGCACCTCCTCTAGACAAGGCACCCCATAAACATTTGTTGGATGAATCCTCAGGCACACTCAACTGCCTCAGTAATTATTTCCAGAATGCTAAAGATTTCCCATGAGAACAGGTCTGAAGGAAACAACTCATCCATGGATCTGGAAGTGGACAATGTGATGTTTGGAACCAGGATACATTCAAGGACGATGGACCTGGCAGCACAGGACCTTGAGAAGGCACAGGTAGACATCAACTCTGAGTCACACTAGAAATCACTCACATTATAGTGCCTGTACTCTTGCGGCGAATTTCAATCCCAAACGGATTCTTCTTAATAAGGACATCATAGAGTTGACCCTCAGGGGTGCTGGATGGCACCGTGGGTACGTTCAGAGGAACTGGAACTTCATACCGATTGTTGTTGGGATCATAAATCTAGGCCAGAGGAAATCGATTTGAGGCAAGAATAGTACTCTTGAAACCTATACCCTTAGCAGAATCTTTTTTATTTTTGGACAAAAAGTTCAGATGCTATGTTTCTGTCTTCTTTAAGTTTATGATATCTGAGATTTAATTAATATATCAAGTAACAATGTCAGATTAAACATTTTTCTGTCATTTCTCCTTATTAAGGCCTTTATTACATTAATATACTCTATGGGACATTGGTGCTAACATGGAAAATTATTCTCGAATCAGTGTGGCATTTATGAATATGTTGCTGGTTATTTTCTGGGGTATCTGAGTATATAAAAATATCTGAAAATTTTTCTGAATTGAAAAAAAAAAACCTGTCTCCCCAAAATGAAATCTATTTGATTAAAATAATCAGAACGTCCTTGCTGAAGGTGGTATCTAAACCGACTCATGAGTACCTACTACATCACTGCCTGACACTGCACAAGACAGTAGGGATGTGAGCTGAATAAGGAAGTGCTACGGTTTTACAAAATTCACAAGCAGATGAGAAGTAAAATAGAGCAGCTCACAACACCTGGGTGATGTGTGCTAAGGGAGAGCTATGTAGAAGTGCTTTGAGATTCTAGGGAAGGAAATGCCTAACATTGTTTCTGGGAGACTGAGATGGTGTCATAGGAGAAATACAGGATGAGTCTTAAAAGCTTGGTAGTCATTAACCAAAAAAAGAAAGGAGATCAAGTCATACTGGTGAAGAATAACAACCACAGAGAAATGTGGGCCAGAAACAGGCAAATATTTTGGAAACAGCTACTCTGTGTTCAAGAGGTAAAGTAGGCAATGGTTAAGGCTAGAACTCCAAGGAAGTTCATTTAAAACCCACTAGGTGCCTACAACATGCTAGTGCTATGATGAGGATACAGACATACAAGAGCATCTTCCCTGCATTAGAGGATGTACAAGAACTCAGAATTCGGGTTGATGACAGATTGTAAAGAATCTTTCAGGCAATGCAACAATGTCTTGATCACTTTCACTTACTGTGTCAATAACATCACACCGCTAACTATCTGCCAGGCTCTGTATTCGATTTCAGAAGCACAAAGAAGAAAGGGCACATTCCTGTCCTTGAGAAGCTTAGTTTAATAGAGAAATAGACATAACAGCTGGCCCATTCCTAGCCCTTAGATGTAATTAAATCTTGGAAAGGAATGAAATTACTGCATACTGATGGCTATATACAGAAATCTCAAATTCAGTATCCCAAAATGAATATATCATCTGACATTGATCAAGCACAAACCTTTTCAGTATTCCTATTCCAGTTAATGTCAGCGCCATCCATATTAAGAGGTAAGATACCAACACGGTCATCATTCTTGATTTTCCCTCTCCATTGTCACTTGCTTGCAATCAACCACCAGATCCTATAACCCAACTTTCTCAACCTCAGACAGATCCACTCTTCTCCACCTGCATTCCAGTGTCTTGTCCAAACCTAATCCCTCAACTGACCTGCCTAACTAGTAGCCTCCTGACTTGTCTGTCTGCATACACTCTTGCTCTCCCGACCATTTTCCTAACAGCAGCCACAGTAATCTTTTCCAAATGAAAATCAGGGCAGGTCTCATTGCTCCCTCAATGATTTCTCACTGCTCTCTGGATAATGATCTAGTCTATTGTCGCATGATTAACTTATTTTAGGGTTCTGTGACTCGGACCAATAAAAGGTAATGGGACTGAAAAGGGTCTAATCACCACCTGATACATGTACTGTGTTTACCTTGAACTGCAGCATTTCATTCTTATGGTAAGTGACATCCAGGCGAAGGGGGTTCACGGGTGTGGAGGGGAAGGCACTGGCATACACGGAAGACTTTAAGGAGATGTCAGCTGTGGCCCCATGTGAATTATATTGAACATTACTGACAGAGTATAGATCGTTGACAAAATAGCAAAAAGGGACCCCAGAAGAATTGGATGCCTGAAAAGTAAGGGTAAAGTCATAGATCAGCTCAGCAAGTGGTCTTGAAGTTCTCTAACCTAAACAGGGTTAATAAAGTCATTTCATACGACAATAAAACAAGCCCATCACTGATCACTTGGCAATAACATAAATTTAAATTCCTGGTCTCCAAGCAAAATATTCATTTAAAAAAGTTTCACACACATCCCCACCTACTCTTCATATCCAGAGCATGTCCCTTAAGAAGTCCTTTCTTTCTATGGATTTTAAGTAGTTATGTAAGTACTACTGCTATGCTTAAGAAACTAGAGATTAGGTGTGGAGGATGTTCATGTACATGAACCCCAGCAGCATGGTTACCTCCCAGATACAGCCACGGGCAGCACAGTTTTCTGCAGAAGCACCATTCTCATCAGGGTAACAGTCTATTTTTTCATCATCCCTTATCTTTATATCCCACTCCACTGTGTATGCTTCTCCCAGGAGAAGATTGATATCTGTGATAATGGCAACCTGTAGGAATGCAGAAATCACAAGGAAATTCATCTTTAGGAGATAGGCCTTGCAAGATCTGAGGCTTTTGTTTTTCAAGAAAAAAGAAAATAGAAATTAGACCAGAGTTTCAACCATCCAACCAACATATGACTTGAGCTCATAAGAAGAGAACTGCACACTGGGGGAATCTACTTAGCAGCAACAGGGCAAATGTCTCCCCTCTAGTAGAATGTTGTCCATAGCATAATGAAAACAATTCGGTCAGATAAAACCTGTCATGATCACTCCTTATTCTTTTCTGCCCTGACTCCTCTTAGCCCTCTGTGTCTTGTTAGGAAGGCTCTCTTCTGCACTTCCTCTTCAGCATGACACATGGTGTCATCCCAAAGTGAGCTGATCCCCTTGCTCTCCAGTCCCCAAACCAGTATCCCCCATTGGCGTGGAGTGGTAGAAAGATCACAGCAATAAGAATCATATGACCTAGTCATCATGCCCACATTTCTGTAGAATGTTGGACAAATGATTTCTTTTATTAATTTTTAATTTTAATGGGTATACAGTAGGTATACATATTTATGGATTATATGAAATATGTTGATTCAGGCATACAATGCATAATAATCACATCAGGGTAGGTCAGGTATTCTGTTTCATTTATTTGGGTTTCAATTGTAGCAACAGCAAAATTGAAAAGTTGAAAAAAATTTATATTTCTTTCCATTTCTAACATCCCAGCCTCTTCATTTCTCTAAGCCCAAAGACTCCAATTTTGAAAACTTCCTTTAATACCATTAGTTCTAATATTTAATATTTTTCTATATATTTTTCTTATCTTTGATACTTCTTTAAACAGCACTTCCCAAGTTAAAGTTCTCACTTGTCTGGAGTAATAAAATCACATTCTAAAATTATCATCCTTCTCCCAGTCTCCTCCCAGTCTAAACCATCTTATACTTCCCTGTTCTACTAGTCCCCAAAACCCACTCTGACTCCCAGCAATGCTCACACACAGTAGCACAGCCTTCATTCAAGGATCAATGTGAGGCCCTTTGACAATTAAATCAAGTTGGTACCTAAGACCCTCCAAAATCTGACCACAAGTTTCCTATGCAAACTAGCCTATTTTTCAAAACTGAAACTTATCTATGCTATTCCAGTCATATAATTTTCACAGGCTAATAATGTAAGGCTGTTCCCCACTTTCCTAACTTTGCTCTTCTTGTGTCTCATCATAATTATAATTCTACTTTTGGGAAAAGTAAGCGGAACCAGTTAGAGAGAGAACATTGAGAGGCAGAGAAGAGAATAAGAAGGTAAACACCCAACTCATTCTAGCTCTGGCCGCCTCATATATTTCCCCAGTCCTCTAACTTCCCCAAAACAGGCTTCAAAGTTGCTCTGTTCCTTCAGGAACCCATGAAACCTTGGTAAGAAGGAACACCATGATACTATGGAGAATTCTCAATACATCATCTCAACAAAATGGGCTTTTACCTTCAGGTTAGAATCATAAGTGACTGTAGGAGAAGTCTGACTTGGGATACCATTGTGTTTCACTGTAACATTGCTAGGTTCCTCCGTCCCAAGAATTTTAATCTCATTAAATGCTAAATTATTGGGGTCCTTGTAGGTTGATTGTGAAATATTCACCTCCAAGCGGTTCTGCAAAACAATTAAGTCCAATTATGCATAAAGGTATGCCTGTAATACACAGATTCTCAAGTCTCTCAAATATTCCATTCCAGACCGGATACCCCCCACTGCCCTGGATGCCTCTCTGCTTTCTCTACTAGTGTGTGCTCAAGAAGCACAAAATTATTTTGATAATCCTCTAATTTAAAACAATCATAAAAACACAGAGACATTTAAAAACTGTATTTAAAAACACTACTTGCTATATGAATGCCTCTTTTTCAAAACTTCGATGAAATCATAAATAGAAATGTGCTCACCTATAGCCAATAATGCATATAAATTTACAAATACAATCATGCATATATAATATACACAAGTACAGATGTGCTTGCTAATGATCAGTCCAAAGCCCACACCTAAGATTCATAAAAGTATGCTACTTACTTGAGTGACAGAAAACTCACATAAAAGATACACTTTATTGGCCACAGTATCTGAAAGTGAGAGAAAGACAAGTCAGATTCTAGCCTTCCCACCACAGAAGAAAAGATTTCACTTGCCACTCCTTTCAGCTATGTCTTGAGGTCGCACATAGCAGTTTTCCTTTTCTTTATGGATGAATAATTTTCAATTGTATATATGTATCGCATTTCTTTATTCATTCATTCATCAATGTACAATTAGATTGTTTCTATATCTTGGTTGTTGCACATAATGCCATAATGAACATGGGAGTGACTATCTCTCTTAAAGACACTGATTTCATGTCCTCTGGATATCCACCCAGAGGTGGGATTTCATGAGATTGTATGGAAGTTCTGTTTTTAATTTTTTGAGGAACCTCCATACTATTTTCCATAACAGTTGTAACAATTTACACTCCCACCAATAGTCTAAAAAAATTCCATTTTCTCCACACCCTCGCCAGCACTTATCTCTTACTTTTTTTATGATTTCCATGCTAACAGGTGTGAGGTGATATCTCACTGTGATTTCTGACTTGCATACCTGTGTCATTTAGTGATGTTGAGTATCTTTTCACACACCAGTTAGCCACTTGTATGTCTTCCTTGGAAAAACATCTGCTCAGGTCCTTCACCCAGTTTTTAATTGGGTTATTTGATGTTTTGCTACTGAGTTGCCTGAGTTCCTTATTTTTTTATATTAATCTCTTCTGAGATATATGGTTTGCAAACATTTTTATCCGTTCTGTAGTTTGCCTTTTTACTGTGTTGATTGTTTCTTTTGTTGTGCAGAAGCCTTTTTGTTTGATGTAATCATGCTTGTTTATTATTTGCTATTATTTGCTATTTTTCCTTTGATTTTGGTATCATATCCAAAAAGTCATTGCCAAGACTAATGTCAAGGAAGTTTTTTCCTGTTTTCTTCTAGGAGCTTCACAATTTCAGCCCTTACATTTAAGTGTTTAATTTTACATTGCACAGTAGCAAAGATATGAAAACAACCTAAATGTCCATCAATAGACGAATGAATAAAGAAATTGTGGTACATATATAGAATAGAATATTATTCAGACATAAAAAGAAGAAAATTCTGCCATTTACAACAGCATGGTTGACTCTGGAGGACATTATACTAAGTGAAACAAGCCAGAGACAGAAAGTCAAATACTGCATGGTCTCACTTACATGTGAAATCTAAAAAAGTTAAGCTCCTAGAAGCAGACAATGTAACAGTGGTTCTTAGAGCCTGCAGGTGTGGAAAATGGGGAGATGATGGTCAAGTACAAACTTCTAGTTATTAGATGAATAGGTTCTGGGGATCCAGTCTACAGTATGGATGGTGATGGATGTGTTTTTTAAAATAGCTGTGGTAACCATTATACTATGCCTATATATATATTAAATCCTAACATTGTCCACTTTGGATATATTTCATCTTTATTTGCCAATTAAATATTTTGCAATTAAAAAATAAATAAATATTTAAATCTACATATTGGATTAGATGGACAAGAGTCTCCAAGGTCAAGCCATCATTTTTCCTTCTCTTTCCTACTGGAACATTGCAAAGCTTCCCTTCCAAAGGCTTCCAAGGCATATGCCTCAAGGGAATCTGTTTCCTAAACTTGAAGCACAGGAATTGTTAGTATACTGGACCCACAAATACTAAAAGGTATGGCTAGGTGAGTACACACTGGAACAGTATATTCTCACTGCCTCACTGGCAGGGGCATGATTTCTATATCGCCAACATTTGCTCATAAGAATTTTGGGAGGAAGACATTAACATTGAATTACAGGAACAGTCTTGAAACCATCTCTTCTAAGCACCCATTGACAATAAAAAGAGAGCCTATTGGCCAAGCGTGGTGGTTCACGCCTATAATCCCAGCACTTTGGGAGCCTGAGCCGGGTAGATCAAGAGCTTAGGAGACTGAGATCATCCTGGCTAACACGGTGAAACCTCGTCTCTACTAAACATACAAAAAATTAGCCAGGTGTGGTGGTAGGCACCTGTAGTCCTAGTTATGAGGGAGGCTGAGGCAGGAGAATCACTTAAGCCTGGGAGGCAGAGGTTGCAGTGAGCCGAAATTGTGCCACTGCACTCCAGCCTGGGCGACAAGAGCAAAACTCCACTGCAAACAAACAAACAAACAAAAGAGAGCCTATTATTGATACCACTGGCCAATAGAAGAATTGTCAGAGATAGAAATGTATTTTTCTTCCCTTTGTAGGTCATCTACCACTACCTCTGAATGGTGCAACCAGAAACAAAATACTTCAGTGACTCTTGCTGCTGTGCCTGCTGAGATTTCTCCCACAGCTCAATGACCAGCAGGAGGGAAGGACCATAAGTCACAGGTGCGGGTTTGGAAACAGCAACATGATTGTAACAGCGCTCACCCTTCGTTTCCCCATCATCCCAGAAAAGTTCTCCTTTTGCTTCTTTGTTCTCATCTAGGGCAATGATAAGACCAAGAGGGTTCTTTCGACTGTGGGGAACAAGATTCAAGAGACAAAGACAGGAGTCAGAATTTTGCCAACTGAGCTGAGAATGTTTCCATCAAATTTCAAATTGAAAAAGTTACCAGCAGCAGATGGTTCTGCCTTTCTTCAGGCACAAACACAAAATTGACAGGCTCCCCTATCTTTAATATCAACAGTGTCACAAGAGATAGAAATACCCCAAACATTAGCAATAACATCTATGTTGGAGGCAAGAATTTAAGCACCAGAAGCTCTTCAATAGCTCAAGTAAAAGCTGCTTCTGCAACTACTACTTAGAATACAGACTATGAGAAGAGAAAGAAATCTTAGGCAATAACTGGTTCAGTCAGATCATTTTAGCAATGATGCCCTCAGGAGAACTGTCCAGTGCTATGAGGAAGATACAGTTTCACCTGCCTAAGGACCATTTATACCCAGAAATCAACAACATACAATAAGGTCCATCTATTTAGTAGTAACTTATCTGATTATCAGGTATTAGTTTCTTTTGAAAGAAAAACAAATCATTCTAATGATCTACTTTATAATTTAGAATAAGAAACACAAAACATTACTCAAAGACATGGTGAAGTAGACAGACAGAGAGGAAGAGGGGGAGAGAGAGAAATTTTTATTTGGAATCTCTCCTCATTGTGTCACTCCTCTAGGCAACCTCCAAGTTTCCTGCTCTTCTTGTTTCTTCTCTGTCTGTCACTGGACTCACATTCTCTATTGTATTATTTCACAGTTCAGCCTTTCACTATACAAGAGTTAGTTTTTATTATCAACAAAATCATCTGCTTTCATTAAATATTCATGTATTGAGTAGCAGTCATTTCTAGGAAGTCAGTGAGATACAAAAATTAATAAATCACAAGTCCTGACCTGAATGACCTTAAATATTACTGGAAAAACTAGGCACATTCATTTAAAAAATGGAGGTGGACAGTGAACACAACACAAAAGTTAAGATATTCTAGGAGTCCAGAACCACAGTTCCAGAAATATGGTGGACTGGATATTCTTCTGGAGACTTACCCAGTAAAATATTCCCTGATCCTAGATAAATTACAACACATATTCCTGTTAAAATATTGTTGGATTTGCAAGAAAGTAAGAAATGCATCCAAGAGACCAAAACAATAACAGGATAACAAAACACTGAGTTAAAACTAAAAGGGTGCTTAGTAAGCAAAACCCAGAATCTCCGTGCGGCAAATTCCCATAGCAAGGTTAAAATTGGGCTACTAAGCCTAGCAATCCAAGGTAGAGAATGTGAACCTCTGATTCCCACGTGAAGCCGGGATCTTGAAGGAAGCTAACGTAATGCCAGTTGGAAGCAATTCTTGGCTTGCAAACAGAAGAGAAGGCAAATCATCTCTGGAGGAATGACACCCACATTTATAAGATTATGATAGCTTAAAGAAAATAAGATCACCGAGCACACAAGGTAATAAGTCAACATGAAAGAAAGTCAGCAAAGGTAAGTAACAATAGACTTAGATTCCCCTAAACATTTTAGATAATAAAATTTTCTAGCACAGAGTATACAACTATTATTGAAATGCTAATAGTATTAAGGAAGACAAAATCTTCTAAGGAGCAAAATATATATATATATATATATATATATGTGTATGTGTGTGTGTGTGTGTGTGTGTGTGTGTGCCAACCAAAAAAGGCTGACCACCTGGCTGTTAGTTTCAAAAAGAAATTCAAAGGGTTTCAGGAAGGATATCAATTCTTAAAGGACACTCCAGCCATGCTATACCTGGCCAGAGTGGTTGTATTTGGCTGCTGTGTGGGAAAGATGTAGCCTCCTCGAAGGTGAAGTCCAATTTTGTCTCCAGGAAGTTCCATCTCGACTTTTTGCTTCCTCCATCTCACTTGGTTTCCCTGATGCATGCAGATAAATCAAACACATTGGCATGACAGCATATTGCCCTCCACTGATTATCTATGTGCCAAGTGATCCACAATTCTCTCCCTTTTCCAATTAGTTGAATTATAGTCTAGCCAGGCAATCAAACAACAGAAGGAAAAAAATTAGGAATAACATGTTCTGCCACCAGTTGGGGGTTTGTGAAAACATTTATGCCATGCTGAGGCTATTTGATACATATTATATAAACTGATAGTTCTAAACAAATAATCCGATTCCTGACCAAGCTCACGTTGTCCATTAGGTCCTCCAATATTCATTTATGAGATACTATGTCAGCCTCTATCTTATTGCTGAATAAAGTATATGAAGATATTTTTTCACATTTCATCATGACTGATGTTAGGGATTTAGGTTGACTTTACCCAGGTTCTGCTATGAAATTACAGAAAACACTACAGAAATACTCCTCAGCAGGTAGATGGATGTTTCTCTCTCGGGAAAGGTAATTTGTCTATGCAGCTGCAGCTACAGTCTTAAGGAGTAGAAGAAAAGTCAAAGCTACTCACAGTCTCGTAGTCATACCAGACAGCATCAGGCACATATGCCATCACTTTCTCTGCACCCTGAAATTAAAACAGTATAGTATCCCCTGAGGGAAATAAAATGGATTTCTTTTTATTATCTAGGGAACTTCTTAATCATACACAGAGAGGGCAGGAATGCCCTTTCCATCCTCTGTTATTATGCCTTTCTTCTGCTTCTCCTCTAATACAAATAATAGAAACTGTAACTTGGCAACCCAGAGAGAAATCTCAAATGTAGCCACATTAGGAATAATAATAATAATAATAATAAAACATGTGTGGTGATAAACATTCCACCTTTACATGATTATATCATTCAATTTTCCCAACATTCCCAAATGGTAGGTACTATTATTATTATTATTATTACACCTCTACAGATGAGAAGCCAGTACAACTGTCACCCCTGATCACACAGGCTCAAAGTGGTAGAGACAACAATCACATCCCGATCTGCCTGACTTTAGAGTGAGTGTTGGGACTGCTCCATCCTGTTTCTGCATCATGGAGCAAGTCAGGATCTGCTATGAGAATCCAAAAACAAATAGGACCACTCCTGATATAGTTTGGATGTTTGTCTCTGCCCAAATCTCATGCTGAAATGTAATCCCCAGTGTTGGAGGTGGAGTGTGGAGGGAGGTGACCGGATCATGAGGGCTGATTTCTCATGAATGGTTTACACCATTCCCTTGGTTCTGTCCTGGCGATAGTGAGTGAATTCTTATAAGATTTGGTTGTTTAAAAGTGTGCGGCAGCTGAGCGCAGTGACTCATGCTTGTAATCTCAGCACTTTGGAGGCCGAGGCAGGTGTATCATCTGAGGTTGGCAGTTTGAGACCAGCCTGGCTAACATGAAACCCCATCTCTACAAAAATACAAAATTAGCCGAGCATGGTGGCAGGTGCCTGTAATCCCAGCTTCTCGGGAGGCTGAGGCAGGAGAATCACGTGAACCTGGGAGTTGGAGGTTGCAGTGAGCTGAGCTTGTGCCACTGCATTCCAGCCTGGGCGACAGAGTGAGACTCCATCTCAAAAAAAAAAAAAAAAAAAAAAAAAAGTGCGTGGCAACTCCCCCCACTCTCTCTCTTGTTCCTGCTTTTGCTATGTGACATCCCTGCTCCCCTTCACCTTCCTCCATGACTGTAAGCTTCCTGAGGCCTCCCTAGAAGCTGCACAGATACCAGCATCATGCTTCTTGTAAAACTTTCAGAACTGTGAGACAATGAAATCTCTTTTCTTTGTAAATTAATCAGTGTCAGGAATTTCTTTATAGCAATGCAAGAACAACCTAACATAACTTTTAAATCTAGAGTTTCCAGTAGATGCTTCTAAACCGGTTGGGAACTTGATCGAGGGGAAAAAAAATTCTAGAAACAAAAATATGTAATTACCAGATGTCTAGCTTCTCAAAATCTAGCACACTCTCTTCAAGGCTGACTCAGTCCCAGATGTCAGAAATGAGTTTGGAATAAGGAGGAGAGAGGAATTTGCAGGGCAGCAGGAACAGAAGCGGAGATCCCTAGTGTATCTCTGTGGGAACACTTACTTCATCCAGAACTGGAGTGATGAGGAGGCCGGGCCCCCATAAGAACTGTTGGTGCACATCCCAAGTGCTGTTGTCCTCATAGAACCTGAAGACCAGAGAGACAGTTCACTGAGATTTGAGCCACTGCCAATGAGATTTATCGCAGTTCTACTCACAACCTGTTGAAAGCATACAGGCCGCCTGCCCGGGCAAACCTCCCAAATTATTCTGACACCTACTCAAGCCCCTCTGCACCCCAGGACAGATTCCCCTTCCCCAGCTTATGTCTCCTATTCTTCCCTCAGGATAAACAGATGTTTCTATCCAGTATGTATGCTAGGAAGGTCTCAGGCTGTAATTCTATTTTCCATATCCCTCCTTTTTAAAAAAAGTAAGTTGAGATCTAGATATCTGCATCAACATGGATAGAACTGGAGATCATTATGTTACATGAAATAAGCCAGGCATATAAAGACAAACATCACATGTTTTCACCTATTTGTGGGATCTAAAAACCAAGAATTTATGGATACAGAGAGTACAAGGATGGTTACCAGAGGCTGGGAAGGATAGTGAAGGGCTAGGAGGGAGGTCAAGATGGTTAACAGATACAAAAAAAAATAGTTAAAAAGAATGAGTAAAACCTACCATTTGATAGCAAAATAGGGTGACTATAGTCAATAATAACTTAATTGTACATTTAAAAGTAACTTAAAGAGTGTACTTGGATTCTTTATAACTGAAAGGATAAAGGCTGGAGGGGATGGATACCCCATTCCCATAATGTTCTTATTTCACATTGCATGCCTATGTCAAAACATTTCATATACCCCATAAATATATGCAACTTCTATATACCCACAAAAATTTAAAATTAAAAAATTAAGTTAAATAATCAATACATTTCATAACTTCAGCTGACGATCAAGAAACTGGATCTGATCATAAAATATACCAGATAATTTAACATTTTACTTTTTTCTCTTTCAGGATATCTGCCTTTTAAAAAGAAATTTCATGAACAGACAAAAACTTCCCAAAGTAATGAATATATGATAGCTTGATATGTGCCTGAGGGCCTCATATGTCACCCACATAAGAGAGTTGACTGTATTTTGACAAGAAAATGCTCTTAAGTGCCTTGTTTTAGAATTAAATTAGAGATGTTCATTGCCTGAGAAATAAGAATTCTGAAATCCTACAAATCCTTTATAATAGCCTCATTTGTATTTATATTATAGGCTCATTCCTATAGCTTGAACATAGTTCTGGCATTATAGCGCATTACAGACAAGACCACCACAGTCAAGACTTCAAATCCTTTGAATTAAGACTGAAGAAACTAAAGAAAAAATGATTTGCCTAAGCTATAGAGTGAGTTAGTGAGCGACAGAACAAAGAAAAGACCTATAGTCCCATGACTTTTAGTCTAATTCTCTCACCAAAATGGAACAGGCGAGGTTTACAAATACCAACTAGGTGTTCCAGTTAGATACATAAATGAATAGAGATAGATAGATTACAGATATAGATATAGATAGATATGAATAACTGCCCCAATTGTTTCAGTTTTCACTCCGATATTTGATGATATAGTCAATGTCACTCCAGATGCATTAATAAATTAGAGGAGGTTAGGTGAACTTACTCATGCAAAAGGGGCCTGGCCACCGTGTCCCCTCGGCTGTGAGCACGGAAGAAGAGGGTGTATAGGTAGGGCAATAGAGTATAGCGGATGTTAAGGTAGTGCCTGGAGGAATTCAACAGCAGGGAGTCAGCTCCAAAGGAGGCAGGATCCTGGTCCTGGGAGGAAATAGGAGTTTGCAGTTGTGGTTTGGCTGCAGGGTATCAGAAGCACCTGAGAATTCCAGACCTCATTCATCACAACCAAGAATTTCCCTCCTGAATGACAGAGGCCAAGGTTGCAAACCTCGCTTCTGAGCAGTACCAAGTAAGGGTCTCTCCTTGGGTTTTCAATTCATCCTGCCTCCCTCATTCTTTAAGATTCCTCTCTTGGGAGGCTGCAATTTAAACAATTTTGAAGTATTTCCTTGTTTGCTTCTTATTTAAAAGCAAACAATGTAAATAAAGTGTACAGAAGTTGGATGAAAGACCTTTACAGACACACCATTTCCTTGAATGCAGCAGTAAATAACAGGCTGAGGCCATTGGACATTTCGATGATACAGCACAGGTTCTGGTTAATTGCACATGATGGTGCAAATCAGAGTAAGTGAAGACCAGGTAAGAGGTTGGTTCAGCAGATCTCTTGGCAAGGATGCAGACAGATCTAGTCCTAATGTACGCCAAATTCATTCTGACTCTATTTCCTAGGAGCCTTACCTTGAAGCCTTGGCCATTGTGATTTCTAGAAAATGGATAAAATGCGCCCAACTGCATCCACCGCCTACAGAGCTCCTCAGGGGCATCCAAGGCAAAGCCACATATGTCAGCACCCACCTGGAAGGACACACAGACAACAGGTATACCTCACTTCCTTCCACCACCCTCCTTTGCTTTCCACCAGGGACCTCCCAACTAAACCTTGCTTAAACTTCCTACTGAGAAGGCTAGGAGGGTGGTCAAAGTTCGGTCATAGCCTGTGTCCACTCTTGAATGCTGGATGACTTTGAGTAAGTTACTCAATCCTTCTGTGCCTCAATTTCCTCATTTTGTCAGTGAGTATTAAATTACTACACAGATATTTAGTAAATGAGTGAGATAATGAAAGTAATACACTTTACATACAAGAGCTTTTGGATGTATAGTACCTAATAATACTGCTGATATTATTATTTTGACCTCACCACTGTCAGTATTATTTTTCTAAAGCCTAACTCTGACCATGTCACTCACCTATTAAAAAATCTCCAGGACTTCCTTGCTGTTCATTCTTTTAGATCTTTAAAACCTGGTTCCAATCCATCTTTTTAGCATCATTTCTCATTCCAGTCCCACACAGCAATCCTCATAGATATATCAAATAATCCCCCTTCTACTGTTTGTGCTCACTTTTATTTCTCAGTGTTAAAATGAACTTCCCCCCTCATTAGTCAGATGAAAAAATACTCACCTTTCAAGGTTAATCTCAAATGTCATCTTTTCCATAAAGTGTCTCTTGACTCCCTGCCTTGATTCCTTTTGTCCCTCATAATTTTGTCAGATAAAACTCTTTCTCGGGATCTCCCGTAACATTTAACTCATATGTCCCTGTTGGTCTTTTTACCCTAGTTTGTCATAATTATTTGTTTACACATATGTCTCCTCTTACTAAACTGTAAACCCTTAGGGCAAAGAGAAGGTACATCTTTACTATATTTATGCTTTCCTTCCCCTCTCACCATGCCTACTCTGCTCAAGACCTTGAACATTCTAAGAGCTCAATTCATAAATATGTTGGATTTAACTAAAAAATGCCAAAGCCTGTAGGGTGCTGGCAATGTTATACTTCTTCATCTCGGCACTAAATACACAGAAGTGTTCAGTTGGTGAAATTCATCAGCTGTATTCTTAAGGATACATACACTTTTCTGTATAAAGTATGTTACACATGTTATACTTTAATAGAAAGATCAAAGTTACACCTTCTGTCTTCATAAGGCAGTACAGGAAAGAATGGTATGGTATCAAAGCCCTGCTGATGTGGATGAAACACATGCTCTCAAGACATTAAATTCCCAGCCATGGCAGGCAGGAGAGGGGAGCTTTGCAGCTTGAAAACTTTCTAGAATGAGGCTACCTGGGAATTCAGGTTCATAAGAGAGCTTGAGGTAGCAACTCACCATTGGGATGCCGAAAAGGTTGAACTCAAGGACGCCAGGGATGGACCATCGCAGGTCATCCCAGGTGGCGGTGTTGTCTCCTAACCAATGTGCTGCAAACTTGCCAGAACCCGCAAAGGTAGAACGGGTCAGAATGAAGCTTCTGTTATTAGGGAACACAGTCTTGGCAGCTCTAGAAAGGGAGAGAGATTTAAGGAGCCAGTGTGAGATCTTAGCTTGTCTCAGTCCAGGGGATACAGAAACAATACCAAAGACATTAAAAGTGAACAACCCACTCTCTTCCAACTCTCTTTCGGTACAATTAGAGTCCCTGTGGGGAGCATTCTGTATCATTAAATATGTTTTGTTTTGCTTTGTTTTGTCTTAAGAAATTTTATGCATTAGCCCCATAATCTCCAAGAATTAAAAACATATATATATTCTTTATATTCAATAATTAGCAGGTCGTAGCCACAGTGGTCTTACTCTGCTGTGGCAACCGCCATGGAGTAGCCATACAGATTGTGAACGTCATACTGCTTGCCCCAGTGCTGCACTGCATCCATACAGAGAGTCTTGCAGAACAGGTACCCATCCAGGACTCCTGAAACCAAAGCGGGATCAATCAGCGACAGCCTAAGTTGCACATTTCCTGCTCCTTGACTATCACACAATCCGACATGACAGCACCCCAGGCAGACACTCTTGTGGGCATCCTGCAGTCACACTGCTCCCTCACTATGAGAACGCTATCCACATGGAGTAGTTTCTCTGACATATAAACGAATTCTGCTGACTCACACACATCCTCCCACCCAAGCTCTCATGTGATTAGAGGCAGACACTCGGAAGCAAGAAGATTCAGTCAGCCCTGAGGTTGAATCTGAATTCTCCAAACTGAGCTAAGTTAAGTGGTCCAAGAATAGAAATGCTGAATGAAAGTGTAAATTAATTTCTGACTCCTTCTCTCCCCTGATCATGTATTTTAGAGAATGATTTCCAGTCTCTCCTGTATTCATCTGTTCCTCTCTGCTCCCACTGCACCACTCTGGTTGAGATCCACATTATCTGTGGACCTTAACTATTGCAGTAGCTTCGTCATGTCTTATTTACCTCCCATGTATCTATTTCTAGTTCACACTATATATTAATACCAGGTTCAAATTTCCAAAACCATCTGACTACTATGCTTCTCTCTTACTAAAAGACAAGTAGCTTCTAACACCAAAAGAATAAAATATGAACTGTTTAGCCTCTTATCCAAGCCCCTTAGCATTTGATTCTAACCTACCTGCCCCAATTTCCTCTCTTCCCACCATATTGAAGCCTTCATAAGTTATTATCATCTTAGCAGTCTTTTCCTTTCTCAAGATATAATTTGTCCTTGAACCTCCAGCATTCTTTAAACTATGGCCGATCCTATGATTCCAAGGCCACACCCTAAGAGATAGTGTTGTCCAAAGTTCAGTCAAAGCTGGGTATCATCACGTTCACTGACTTTGACCTCCCAAGTCACGAGTTCTGTCTTTTCATCCTGTGGCTCAGTTCTTCACACTGTGGACATGTCAGACATGACCCTCACCTTAAGACCAAGGCTGTTTACCTGGTGCCTCTCTAGTAAACCCTGGCCTGCGGGTGTATATTTGAGAATGACATAAACTTACCACTAGCCTCCAGCCTCTACACCATATCCTCTCTAGATCTTCCCTAGCAATAGCTTTGACTGTAAGTAGAAGTATTACATTGCCCCTTTTGAATGTGTGCCTCTTTTAGGAAAGCATAGCATGTTTTTATTTTCCTTCCTAGTGTTTCCTTACCCACATTTTTCTTTTTCTATGCACACTTATGAACAAATTCCCTTGTCAAATTTTTTGGATCTGTCCTTATGAATTTATAATATGAAATACACATTGCTACTTTAATCTGCTGACCACCAAGACTTACTGGGAGTGAATGGGGGATTATTTAGGTTGTTTGTGGAACATCCTGAGACCGAACCATCAACAAAGTTGGAGACTTCATTCATATCCTGCAAGATGAAGAGCAAAAACTATTAAGAAAAAGTAACATGTTATCTTATGATGTACTGATGGTGTCTTTTTTTAATTAATCAGATAAATTATTACAGATATTTTAAGGGAGTATTTATATATATGGAATAGAGTGGGTGTTCTTGTCTACCCACTGAAGGCTTCATGAAGAAGGTTCTTAACATTTCTTCAAATAATATGCCTATAACTGTTGAAAATGAACAATTCCCAAACATATCAGGTGAAAAAAATTTCAATTTATATGACATGTTTCAACTTATACATTTTCCATATATCAAAATAGAACTGTAAATACATACACATAAAAATACATATAAACATATATACACGGAGAGAAAAGGAGGGAGAGAGCACATGAGGGTCTAGAGAGATGCATTCTAACATATCGATAATAAATGTCTTTGGTTGCTATAATTTCGGAGGATTTTTGCTTTTATCTTTTTAACTCCCTGTATTGTTTGAATTTTCTACAGTTCTGTTAGAAAAAGAAAAAGTTTCAACTCTGGAGCTCCCTAAATTTTGCTAACCCTCGGCTGGGTTACTTTCTTTCACCTGACATCATATGACACATTTGTCTTTTTTTTTTTTTTTTTTGAGATGGAGTCTCGCTCTGTCGCCCAGGCTGGAGTGCAGTGGCCGGATCTCAGCTCACTTCAAGCTCTGCCTCCCGGGTTTACGCCATTCTCCTGCCTCAGCCTCCTGAGCAGATAGGACTACAGGTGTCCACCACCTCGCCCGGCTAGTTTTTTGTATTTTTTAGTAGAGACGGGGTTTCACCGGGTTAGCCAGGATGGTCTCAATCTCCTGACCTCGTGATCCGCGCATCTCGGCCTCCCAAAGTGCTGGGATTACAGGCTTGAGCCACCGCGCCCGGCCGAGACATTTTTCTTTACCACAGGCATAGTTTGTTCAAGCACCTGAGTGCTTTGGCTCTGATCAATTTGTTCAACATGTCCAAATGGAAGAGTCTTGAACTAGCAGTTGAACAATTTGTATACTTTGCAACAAGGTAAGGAGTACATGACCTGTTCTGAGTTCAGCTCATTCCTTTGAGGAAAGGAAAGGAAGAAAGAGAGAAAGAGAGAAAGAGAGAAAGAAAGAAAAAGAAAAGAAAAGAAAAGAAAAGAAAAGAAAAGAAAAGAAAAGAAAGAAGGAAGGAGAGAGAGAGAGAGAGAGACAGAAAGCAAGCAAGCAAGCAAGCAAGCAAGAAGGAAAGAAGGAAAGAAAGAAAGGAAAAAAAAGAGCTAGACTTGGGAAAAAATTCCTGAGTTTCCTTTCAGCTCTAACATTTTGATTTTTATTCTAAGCTATGTGTTTTAGTGAGATTATTTGAATAGAAAGATAGTGAATATTGAGAATGATTTATATACTTCCTTTCTTCTCCTCCTCCTCCTCTCCCTATGCTCCGTGACTCAAAGATACAGATATAGATACACACAATCTGAATATTTGTCACCCAATAATCCAAGTGTAAACAACTCACAATCCAGATTCCATCAAACTCCACTTGATTATGAAAAAGTTCAAATTCCTTTGTCCACCAAACAGCACAGTTGGGATTGGTATAATCAGGAAACACAGTTTGTCCAGGCCAGACCTTCAGGAGAAAAAGAAAAACACTGATAAGAGTAAATTAAACAAATACAGAATAAAATAAAGTTCTTTGCAAAGAAATTCCTAACATGATCACAGCAACCGAGGTACCCAGGAACACATCCTATTTAGTTAGGAAGGTGCAGTGCTCAGAATATTTAAAATAAATGCCAGGGTCACTTGAAGAAAATGCATTTCAAAAAATGTTTAAGTCGTTAATGAATACATTTGTGGATAAAGGCATTGTCTAACTTAGTCATCTTTAACTCTCTACACTTTTTTTGTTCTTAATTCTGGGAATAGTAAATGGGGGAAGAGCACTGTGTAAATTTCAGCTAGTCCATTATAAACTGTGGATTCTAACATCATTCACTTTTCTCTTTCTTTCCTGTCCAATTTCCCCCAGACCCTACACTCTGAAAAGGTCATCAGAGACCTTAGAAGTGAACAAGCAGATGACACCTTCCTGAAAAAACAAGGACAAACAAACATTTGAGAAAGAAGTGGGTACACTTGTCAAATACTGCAGGAAAATTGAGTAAGAAGAGGCATGAAACAGTTCCGCTGGACTTACCAATGAGAAAGTAATGGGTGTTTTTTGCCAGAGCAGTGTCAGGGAAGTGATGGGGGAAGAAAGGAGACCACAGTCAGCTGCAGAGTGTGTGGGAGGTGAGAAAGTGGACACTCAGTGTGTGAGCTGTTGTTTAAAGGGACTTGGCTGTGAAAGGAATCAAAAATCTAGGATGGCCGGCATGCACTTGGGCACGAAAGGGCAGAGGAGAATTTATTCCCAGAATATATAAATATACTGAAAAGGTACAATAAAACAATTACATGCACAAACACACACACATTCACACACCCCTATGCAGCCCCTCTACCAGCCTCCAGCCTTCCCATTAAGTTACCTCCCCAATGAGTGGAGTCACTCCATCTGAACTATTCACCCATATCTTCATATCTGAACCCCTGTCATATGGGCCATAGGGTTTACTTGAGGAAGAGTTGTTGGAGATGGCTGGATCCTAAAAAGAGGAAGAATACAATGAAGAAACCAGCTGGAAGCTGGAGGCACTGAAAGGAGACTGGGAACTTGGGGAGAAAGCAAAGGAGATGGGTGTATGAAACGGAGGAGCAAATGCCTAATTTGGAGGAAAGAGGGCAGTACGTACCACAATGATGACAAGCTTCTGTCCATTTTTGTGTAAGTCATTGACAAATTCAGGGAAGCCTTTAAAATTCACTGGATCATAAGTGAAGTCCCTTCTCTCATCCATATAATCAATATCAGCATGCTGAACATCCTGAAAGAATATATAAAGTCCACAATTAGCGCCTAGGAATTTCCATGGTAAAACGAAATCAAATTTTCACTGTGATTATTCAGGATAAACAACAACTCTGTTCTGGGCTCTAAACAGAGTTCTTAATCAGTTCCTGGAACCTGAGTGCCTCTTTTCCAATGGTGATTTCAAAAACACATGACCGGCTGGTTCTCTAGGGCTTGGCCTCATCCCTGCCATCAGGTTAACTGCATCATCCTATCCTTGCCTGGCACTCTGGCATTAAAAACCAATCAAGCAAACAACACCAATTATGACAAACCCCTAAGACGATCAGACATAGCCACCTAAGAAATGACCTAAATTTCACCTTATTCACAAGATAAAGAAGGGAAGAGATTGTCTCCCACATCTCCCTCATTTTATTACCCCACGTTTTATTTTGTTACTTCACTTCTACCCCACATCTTTGCTGTTTATGCTATCCCAACTTTACCTGTATAAACATAGTGAAGCCCAGAATAAAATGTACCCTTCTCTGCAACCTAGGTTTGTCTCCAAGGGCATAGAGCAGGGGAGAGAAGAAGATTATTCTAGAGACTACTGAGCTTTTCCCTTTGTATCTCTTGTTAAATTTCACACCCAATAGTACCCAATATCACAGGTACATTCAAAGTTAGCCATTCAAAGTACAAAAGGATTTTATTACATGTCCATACTATACCTTTTTGTTCACTTAAAGTGACAGATTTTAACATGTATACTGAACTCAGGTAATAGTGTTCAATTCCCTGTCTAAATACTCCCTTTCACATCTCACACCACTAGGCAGCAGTAATAGTCCAATTCTTTCATTTCCTGGATCGCTTAAAAAGAAAATGTCTATCTACATGTAAGGAAAATGACATAAAAAGAGAGATGGCCACTATGATGTTAGAGATCTGGACTTGAAAACTAGTTCCTCTGGTTTTCTAATATTAAATGAGATTTCTAATCTTAAATGGAGTTTTGTGGGGGTTTTTTGTTTGTTTGTTTGTTTTTCCTCAAGACTGAGTCCAGCTCTGTCGCCCAGGCTGGAGTACAGTGGCACGATATCAGCTTACTGCAACCTCCACCTCCTGGGTTCAAGTGATTCTCATGTCTCAGCTTGCCAAATAGCTAGGATTACAGGTGCCTGCCACCATGCCCAGCTAATCTTTTTTTTTTTTTTTTTTTTTTTTTTTTTGTATTTTTAGAAGAGATGGGGTTTCACTGTGTTGGCCAGGCTGGGCTTGAACTCCTCACCTCGTGATCTGCCTGCCTCAGCTCCCCCACATGTATAAAGCCATGTTGTGCTGGAGAATGAGTAGTGGGACCCGCATCTAGGCTCAGAGTGGATTCATTGACCCAAACATCTTCATCTGCCCTGACTTTCTGCTTCCCCCATCTCCTCAGTTCCTAGGCTTTTTGAATCTCAATTCCGTTAAGCACTTTCTTTTACACTTCATATTTATGAACTCTCTTTCTGCCAAATTACAAAATGTCTACTGAAGTTCGGTTTCAATCGTGAAATGACCACACTACAGAGAAAGGCAAATTCTGCTTATTCCCAATTTAATAGTAATCAAAATACCACCGTAAAAACACATGGACCTGAAACTTGTTGTATTATTTTTCACATCCATGTAGTCATGCAGTATTTGTTCTGTCATCAATTATCTATGCGGCCTTGATCATGTTATTTCCCCTGACAGCCTCAATTTACTGTGAAAAAAAAAATGATGCTAGCCCAGATGGCTCATGGTTCTTCCAGTAATGTAATTATTTTGAGCTAAATTCATGGGGTCTAGAACTACTCCGCTTCCTCAATTCCTCTTTAAAACATCTGTTAAAACATAGGTAGGGAGACTGGGAATCTGCATCATTCATGACCTGACACTAAACCTAAGAAACTAAGAATTTAGACATTAAACCTTATGCCAGAATCTTAGAGGAATTTCTGAAATTATGATACAACTTTTATGGTAAGTTCCTGCCATGACACTTCTGAGTCAAAACAAACCAAGAACACGTGTAAGGCAAGAAAATCCCTACTGAGAAGCATTAAAATGCTACAATTCAAGCTGAAGAGACAAATGCCTTGAAAACTCAAATAAAAACACCTGTAAAATGTAGTCAATACAGTAAGCACAAAAAATGTTTACTAATAAAATACACGATAAGAAAAATAGAGACAAAAACAGATTACCTCCCAACACATAATTGTGGTCTCCTAGTCTATTTCATACTATAAAGAACTATGGTTCCTTCAAAAAATGATTGGTCCAACAAAAAAAGTCTAGTATTCTGACTATCTAAAATTCCTTTCATTACCAAATAAATAAATCAATCAAACTCAGGGAGAGAAAATATAAACAGTTGTTCTTTTTCTTCAAGGGAATTTCTTTACTTTTGGAGAACTATTGAAAACCTTGCTTACATAAGGGAGCTGTGCTGCGCGATTTCTCTCCACGACTTCTCTCATGTTGTCTAAGGTTCCATATTCATAACGACTAAGGTGAAATCCAAGTGCCCAGTAGGAGGGAAGGGCTGGCCGCCCAATAAGCTGAAAGAAATATGTGAAGTGAAAATTAGCAAATACTCTGGTTTTAATAAAAAGTTTTTGAAGCATTGCTTTCAGAGCACCAAACATAGTCCATTTCCCAACGCACTGATTCATTCATGTTAGAATGTTAGTCTATTTTTCCAACCCTTCATAAATGTTTGAGGGTAGGGCCATGTTTGGGGCATCTGTATATTTTCTCCCCTTCTTATAACATAAAAATGCTATACAGCAAGTTTCCATTGTATATATGAAATCTGTTCTTTAATATCTAAAATTTGTAACAGCAGATTTTGTGGGTCACACTTGCACATGAAATTTACTTTTATAAAATATTTGCTGTTTAAGATTTCCTCAGTCACAATCTTAACATCCTAAGTTTACCTCTAGATATTCTTGAACAACTTGCTCTGGAGTGTTTCCCAAGAACACATAGAAGTCGAGAATGCCCCCAGTGGTGCGGTAAGTGATGGCTGGCGCAGGCTGAAGGACAACCTCTTGGAAGGTTAAAAATGAAGAAAATACAAATCAGAATTGATTACTGAATAGTAACTACCAAGTTTTAAAATAACGCAGGATCACTAACCATGTGAACATGAACAAAGTGACCCTAATGTCTCACATCTTGAATACCAAGGGACAAACCCTGACCATCCAAGTCCACCCTCACAGCACATGGCAGCCAAGGCATTTTTTCTGCGACAGATTTTAATAATACTGACTGGAGTGTCTTAGTGCCTTGTGCCAGGCCCCAGGCTCTGGGGAAAAAGCAGCCAGGCTCATGAAGGGGTCCAGAATAAGCCACTGTGACATAAAAAAAATTATTTTGGACTGAAGGCATTTAAGTTACTGAAATCCCTGATGTGCCTAAAAGCATAGCCTCCCAAAAAAACTCAATAAAAAGCAATTGTCATAAATCTGCGCCAAGGAGTACCTCTAATCTTTTCTGAGACAACAGGCACCATTCTCAGACAGACGGTGTCACAAGACTGTCTCATCCTCCCACCTATCTTCTAAGGGCCCATTTATCTTTCCAAAACGTCATTTGTTCTCTCCTAAGCGTCTTTCCTCCTTCCCTTTCACCTATTAATTAAGATGGTATAGAAGCCCCAAGTTCTAATCTCTGCTTTGAGTTACTCATCACTGAGAACTCCTGTGTGTATACGCATTACATGTGTAAATAAATTCTTTCTTTTCTATTGCTAGTCTACCTTTTTGCCAGTTTAATTTGCAGGCTCCCAAGAATTAACCCTAAGAGGTTAGAGGAAAAGCTTTTCCTCTCTGACTTTCACAACCACAGAACATGTCCCACCACATATCCCATCATTATTGTGAGAATATAATTCAACTAGACATGGACATAACTATCCTCAGTAAATCTCACATCAAACAAAAGCCAAACCAAAAAAAAAAAAAGTCAGAAATTGTGCCATAAATTCAAAATCCCTCTATGTGCCAATCACCATTCTCAAAAGTTGTGTCATTACACTGATTTGTATCCAGGAATAAAATGCCTCAAGAAATATTGCAATGTACTCTCTGGTCATAGGAACAACTCATACAGAGTATCTAGGATCTTGTGGCCTTGCCCACTAAGTCTGACTCAACTTATTTTCTGGTTCCTTTCACCTAGCTAAAACTGTACAGTCCTTGTATTATATTATCTCAGTCTATTCTTAGGTTGTTTGGCATTTCAAATACCTTAGGATCATCTAAGATTCTATTAGAATCATCTCAGATTCATCTCTTAGATGTCCTAGAATCATTTTAGATCATTTAGAGTGTTTCTCAGATATCTGTGTTGGAGAATCAGATCTTTATTTTGTTTAATTTCCATTTCACTGCAAGCTGATATTTTCATAAAACAACATGAAAATGAATTACTAGAAAAAGGTTCATGTGTGCATGTGGAGGCTACAGCACTGCTTACTCGCCATTTCTATACTCATCTTACTATAAACCTGAAACAATCTGTGACCCAGTCAGGGACCACACTTTGAGGAGCACTGATTGAATCAATGACTCTCAATTGAGAAGAGGTATCGATCAATACCCTATGTCCACCATCAATCCTGGCAGCTTCTGATACATCTTCTCTTCCCCTGTGGCAATTCATTGCCACTGGGATCTACTGACGAAAAGGCTGAGGACGGAGAAGAACACATTGGTGGAAACTATCTCAGAGTAAATTATAGGGAAGGGTTAGCTCCCTCAACTTGATAACAGAAAATATTCCAACAGAGGCCACCAGATTCAGGAAAATCATAAGCTAGGAGAAAATCCCCTACTCACGGCTACCATAGATCAACAGGTAATGAAGTAGGGATAGCACAATTAGATAATCTATATGGCCCTCCCTACACTATGTCTCAGTCACTCTTAAAGGGATCCATTCCTTTTATCACAGTGCTGTAAGAAAGGGACTGAAAATCACTCTTGCGCTTGTTTTTTCCATGAATAGTCCTTTACCCATGGCATTGCTGTTCATCAGAAACACCCCAAAGGACAATCCACTAGCATCTTCAAGACACAGGAAGAATGTCTGCGCACCATACAAATTACTTCCGTTCTGCAGAAAGATAATTAAAAACCAAAATTTACAACCAAGAAGTCTCAGCACCACGCTGTGCGGTCGGTTTAGGAAATCAGTCCTAATCATGCAACGAATTGACAGGAAATTCATGGTCATCAAGACACATTTTTAAAAGATGGGGTCTATATCTAGTTGATGTTAACCAAGTGAACTCGTGTTTTCTTACAGAATGAGCCAGCTATGATCATTCATCCAGAAGGAATGTGAAGGCTGTGATGTTTTTTACAAGGTAAGAGGATAGGAATTTTTAAAACGTAATTCAAAAAAGCTGCCCTCTCAGAGGCCTGTCTTAACCTGACTTAACCTCATCAGCAAAAGCTCCATCAATATGCCTTAATATGAATCAGGTAGCTAGATGGAGCTCTAGTCTAGGCTTGTCTTCGAGACTCCAGAACAGGAGTTCTCAACCTAGACTGCATGCCAGACCAATTAAAACAGAATCCCTGGAGATAGAAGCAGACATAGCTGTTATTTTTTAATTTCCCCAGATAACTCCAACATGTAGTCACATTTGATAACTATTGCTCTGGAAAAGTGTTTCTCAAAATTTGGTGTATCCACAAATTACATGGGCACCTAAATGCAGATTTTTTTTTTTTTTTCAGACAGGGTCTCACTCTGTTGCCCAGACTGGAGTGCACTGGCATGATCTTGGCTCACCGCAACCTCCACCTCCCAGGCTCAAGCAATTCTCCTGCCTCAGCCTCCTGAGTAGCTAGGATTACAGGTGCATGCCACTACCACCTGGCTAATTTTGTTTTTGTTTTTTTTTTTTTTGAGACGGAGTCTCGCTTTGTTGCCCAGGCTGGAGTGCAGTGGCACGATCTCAGCTCACTGCAAGCTCCACCTCCCGGGTTCACACCATTCTCCTGCCTCAGCCTCCTGAGTAGCTGGGACTACAAGCACCTGCCACCATGCGCGGCTAGTTTTTTTGCATTTTTAGTAGAGATGGGGTTTCACCAGGTTGATCTTGAACTCCTGACCTCAAATGATCCTACTGCCTCGGCCTCCCAAAGTGTTGGGATTACAGGCATGAGCCACTACTCCTGGCCCTACATGCAGATTTTAATTCAATAGATGGAAGAAGGGGCTGAAAGCCCACCTCTCTCACATGGTGGTTCCCCTGCTACATACACACTTTGAGTAGCAAGGATCTGAGGCTCCTTAATGAAACGATTGTCACCAACTATTCCTAGGTTAAGTTGCTCTGACTCAACAGCTTTTCTACTTTTCTGATAGGCATATGTACAGTACAGAGCCTGAGCTTAAAACTACACAGAGAAGGGATTAGATTCTTCCTCTGTTCTTACAAACTCTTTTTTTTTCCTTTTCTTTTTCTTTTTTTTTTTTTTTTTTTTTTGAGATGGAGTCTCACTCTGTCCCCCAGGCTGGAGAGGACTGGCGTGATCTCGGCTTACTGCAAGCTCCGCCTCCCAGGGTCAGGCCATTCTTGTTCTTACAAACTCTTTTGTCTTGAGCTATTAATTTGGCTTCTCTGGACCTCGGTTTTGTCTAACAAGAAATTATTATATTTTCTAGACTCTATGGCTAAATAAATATATATATATATCTATATATACACACACACACACATATATATGTGTGTGTATATATACATATATATACATATATATGTGTGTGTGTGTATATATATATAAATTGTTGACTAACAAATTATTGCTGTAATCTCCTTTCATCCATCCATTAATTCTGCTTAGTCAAGAAAGCCCAGCCGGGCACAGTGGCTCACATTTGTAATCCCAGCACTTAGGGGAGACCAAGGCCAGAGGATTGCTTGAGTCCAGGAGTTTGAGATCAGCTTGAATAAAATGGAAAAACCAGTCTCTACAAAAAAATACAAAAAAAATTAGCCAGGCATGGTGACACACACCTTTAGTCTCAGCTACTCCAGACACTGAGGTGGGAGGGTCACCTGAGCCCAGGGAGGTTGAGGCTAAAGTGAGTCATGGTTGCGCCACTGCACTTCAGCCTGGGCAACAGTGAGACCCCATCTCAACAAAAGAGAGAAGAAGAAAAGAAAAAGAAAGGCCCTGAACAATACAGTATTGCCAAATCCAAAAAACAATATTATTTCAAATTTTAGCAGTCAAAACAAACAAAAGTGGAAATAAAATAAAACAATAACAATAAAACTCTGTCTATTCTTTCACTACCACAATCATTCTTTATACAAAAAATGATTGTTTTAGCTGAGACTTTATCCTATTTTGATAAACCTGGTAAGTCGGTGATTAAAGGAGAACCTAAAAGTATGGTGATCACAATCAACTGTTGTTCAGAGTACAGATATTAATAAGATCTTCTCCATATCTGGTTAGGAAATATATGAAGGAGTTGGCATTTACTGAGCACTTTCCTTCTGGCAGCCATTCTTCTAGATACTTTACATGTATCAGTTCATTTAATCCCCACCACTACCCTATTGAGACATTACTTCCATTTTATAGACAAGAAACTGAAGACAGAGAGGTAAGTAACACCCAGAACCATGTAACTGGTGAGTAGCAAGACTAGAATTCAAAGCCAGGTATTCTCACTCTAGACTCTTACTCTTAAACACTACACTGTAATACTAGAGGTGACCTTCAAGAATGAGACTATGATATTCAGTGGAAAGGGACCCATCTGAAAGCTTACTCCATTGGGAGTTGTGTCCCTGTTAAATATGGGCCAGGTCTTCCAATTCATATCATGCCGGTACTGCTGGTGCACATGCTCTCCCAGGCCATACACATTAGCACTAGGCAGTCGGGTGGAAAGCTGCAAGAACTGGTTGGCAAACAGGAGGGGCCCAATGCTTGAGTCAAACCTAGACACAGGTGGAGAACAGAAGGATGGGTGAGCAAGCGGTGTGGAGAGAATGTAAGTGCTTGGAAAAGCATCCTTTATATCTCAATGACTCAATAGCCCCCATTCATTCAGTCCCATTTGCCATCCTGTGACATTTTTCTATGGACAACAAAAGATTAGGACTCCTTGAAGAAAGGGACCATGTGCAAATTTCTTACTCCCAGACCAGACAGCCTACCACATGACCAGAACACTATACTTACAATAGGAGATGTTCAGTAAATATTTACTGGTGGACAGCTGATTATATATTATAGATGGAGGGAAATAAAGGGAAAACTAAAGAGAAAAAAAAATGATTGTGCAAACAGAAGAAAGAGAAAGAAAGTCAGAAAACAATATATACTTTAGAAGGTAAAGGGTCTGGTCAGTAATAATTGTCTCACAACCTTCAGGAATATTGTTGAAACACCCCCTTCTCCATGCTTACAGACCTCCCTGTAACCTTCTTACTCTGATCCTTCGATAGGTTTCCAAAACTTACAAAACACGATTATTGCTTCTTCTGGTCACTTTGATGCTAAATGGCTCTCTGGAGATTTCAACTCGGTAGGTCAAAGAAGCAGCAGCATTTCCACTGAAGGACTGCACATGTTCGTGGGGTACTTCAAACCTGCTACTGGTTTGGTCGGTCAACTGTGCAGAGATAGAAATAGAAGGAAAGCCAAAATAAAAACTTGTCAGAGCTTCCCAATATCCCTACTTACGATACTGGAATCAGGTACTGATCAAACTGACCTCATATCTAAGGTAGATGTACTCATTATGTTACCAAATTCAAAGGGTTCACCTTTGGGCATAAGTTAGTCTTTAGGTAGAGACATACACAGCACATCTGCAAAGATGGATTGAAAGCTGTGATCTCCCTTATTTTATCTTCCTACCACATTCCACATGTTATCTAGAGTAAATAAATGAAAGCCAAACTCACTAGTAAACTGTAATACATATTCAGGAAGCTATCACACTAAATGAAGACTATTCTGTATATGTCTTTAACATACAGGTGCCAATTAATAATGACAGTAGAGAAAAATACCTCCAGTAGCAAATTTTTCTATTTTGTAGTAACTGCAGTCACCGGATAGGGAACAAAAGTCTCTCAAAAAAAACTTTAAAAAAATAAACAAATTACAACCTTAAAGTGGAAACGATTAGATGTCTGATATTCTGCTGTGAGAAGAACATTGTCAACATTGCTTCCAAACACGGGTGAAGAAGGCAGATTTTTCAACCGGGCTGTGAATCCTAACACAGGAGAAAAAAAAAAAAAAAAAAAAAAAAGGTTTTCATAGTTGACTCTGCAAATTCTCAAATAATACCTACACAAAAATTAGGATACATGGGGCTGGGTGCGGTGGCTCACACCTGTAAACCCAGCACTTTGGGAGGCCAAGGCGGGTAGATCACCAGGTCAGGAGTTCGAGACCAGCCTGACCAACATGGTGAAACCCCATCTTTACTAAAAATGCAAAAATTAGCCGGGAATGGTGGTGCATGCCTGTAATCCCAGCTACTTCGGAGGCTGAGGCAGGAGAATTGCTTCAACCCGGGAGGCAGAGATTGCAGTGAGCCGAGATCACGCCACTGCACTCTAGCCCACACAACAGAGTGAGACTCCGTCTCAAAAAAAAAAGAAAAAGATTGGGATACATGTCAAAGGGATTGATGAAAAGCCTTTATTTCTCAAAAGAAGGGAAAAGACAGACATATACCCCATCATATGCACATACTATCTTTGGCAGATTATGGCGCTAGATATCACCATTACATTATATAAAAATCTGTCTCTCTTCTATAAAATCTGATTGAAAACCTCCCCCAATAAGCCTAACACTCATACCACAAGCCCATCAGTCATTTGGTGTTAATCAGATTCCCTTTACATTCTCAGAATTGACATACATATACACAATTCCTTCTCAGTCATTTTCATATTGCATTATAGGTGATTATATCCATTGATGCCATCTCCCTAATTAAATGGTAAACCAGGTGAAAGCTGAGACCTTATTGGAACAGTCCATCAGGCCCAGAGCATCTGAAAGGGGAACATGCCTCTTCCTTTCTACTGAGAGCCTCCCTAAAGCGTCACCTTCTGCTATCCCCTAGAATGGTCATCATTATGTTCTGCATTTTTTGGGGGTGGGGTGTGGCTGGATGGAGTCTAGCTCTGTCACCCAGGCTGGAGTGCAGTGTCACGATCTCAGGTCACTGCAACCTCTGCCTCCTGGGTTCAAGCGATTCTCCTGCCTCAGCCTCCTGAGTAGCCAGGACTACAGGCGCATGCCACTACACCCTGCTAATTTTTGTATTTTTAGTAGAGATGGGGTTTTGCCGTGTTGGCCAGGCTGGTCTCAAACTCCTGCCCTCACATGATCCATCCATCTCGGCCTCCCAAAGTGCTGGGATTACAGGTGTGAGTCACTGTGCCCAGCCTATGCTCTGCATTTTAGAGTAAGAGGAAGAAGAGGGGCTACTCACTCCATGAACACTTATATTGACTTTCACAACATGTTTATAAAATTGGAATTATTCTCATTTCATAAAAATAGCACAAAATTAGAGTTAGAAGTAGTCTGAGAGGTTAGTGATTTCAAATCCCCCACTTTAAAAGGGATAAACTTGAAAACAAAAATGATCAATGATTATTGCACAGTCATGAAGGTCCATAATGGGGAAGCTGGAAAGAGGACATGGCCCCTCATCTCCCAAGGCAGAGAATAATTCTTCCTTGGTGCCCTAATAGATTCTAGTCCTTGATTAAGAGCAGTGCCTACCTTCTGTCACATGTGGTTATGTGGTCCCACAGAGCAGAACTCTGCAGGCTGCCCCAGCTCTCCTCTGGGGGACACAGAGTCATCCTCCAGAGGGTCTGGACCTCCTGCATCGTGGCAGACTATGGCTTACCTGCATTTGTGTTTACAAGGTCGCCCTCCATGTGGTAGCTATGATTCTTGGAATAGTAGCACCAGGGAACACTTACAGCTCCCTGGGGATTCCAGCAACAGCCACGTTGGTCACATGTGGCCTGAAACAACAGGTTAGTCAAAGAAGCTCCATTTAGTCGTAGAACACAATCATTTATAAAGCATAAAACATCTAATCTGAGACTATGGTATCAAGAACTTCATTTACAAATAAGGCAACTGATATTTAGATAAATTGTGCCATATACCAAGAAATGGCAGAGCTTCTACCTATAACCAATTTTTCTGACCAGTGTCCTTCCTATGTAACAGTATGGGAAGCAAAATGCATTTTGTATCTTTTATCACAAAAAAACTCACAAACATATTTAAAGAGTCTAAACAATAATATAATTATATCACCAGTAATCCAAAATTACAAATGGAGCTTCATTTATATTTGCTTTGACTTTTAAAAATAAGACTTTGCAATCAATTCTATTCTGAAGCTTTCAAATCAAACTGATGTTGTTTTGACTTTTAAATATATGCCTTACATTCATGTGGATTATACATATGTGAGATATATGACATGTATACAGTCCCTCAACTCCTCCAGAGGCAGAAAGTAGTCCTTCTTGACACCCAAATAGATTCTTACTTAAGAAAGGTATGTGCCTTCTAACATAATTAATGACTGAATCAAGTGGAGGCCAAAATGAAGATAGTTTCTTTCTCACACCAACTAATTTGGGAGAAGCAACCAGGTTAAACACAAAAAAGAACAAAGAAGTCTCTCCTCTTGAGTGCGCACTGAATCAAGTGATTTGCAAGTAATAGAAACCAGAGAAAATAACACGATGTTGCTTTCAAGATTAGATCACAGAAAGACTGAAGCTTCTGTCTTGCTTGCTCTCTTTCACTTTCACTGTTGGAGTCCTCGTTCTGGAAGAGGCAAGTTGTCATACTGTGGAGGGGCTCACATGGCAAGGAACTGAGGGAGGTCTCCAGCTAGCAGCCCACAAGGAACTGAGGTTCTCAGTCCAACAACACCTGAAGAGCTGAATCCTGCCAACAACTGCATGAGTGAGCTTGAAAACAATCATCCCATAGTCCTGGAAGACACCTTGACTACAGCCTTCCAAGAGACACTGAGCCAGAGGCACCTAGCTAAGCCACGGTCAGATGTCTGACTACAGAAACTGTGAGTAAATATTTGTCATATTAGGCCATTAAATTTTGGTATAGTTTATTACACAGCAATAGATAACTAATACCTCCTGCCAGATCATTTTACAGATGAATTACCTTTGGCCCAGAGTGGTAAAGCTTCTCCAAGGTACAGTGACCTGCCAAAGGTTACTCAGCTATTGAAAAGGCAAGAACATAACTTAGTTCTCTTACTATCCATTTCTTTTTTTTCTATACTCTGGGTTGAGTATCTCTAAGCACACTTTCAGGAGAATACAGCCTTGCAAATGGTAAGAAAAAATGTTTTGCTTAGTTATACGAAAAATGAAATTTAATCAAATGCTATTTTTTACACTAATAGCCAATATGAGGGATAAACAATGATGTCCATACGTGGTTTATACTGCTGTAAGATCAGGTTCCACTGTGAACTCAACCTCAATCCACAGTTTTGTCTTTGTTCTTGTAAAACCCACTCAGATGAAACCTCAGCATAAAAAGAAAAAAGTGTTGAAAGGGAGGGTGTTAAGCATAACAGTTTTTGTATACAGCCTGGAGTTTAATAATTTTCCCATTAAACTGGAAAGGACAAAGATCAGAGTGGCCAAAAGAGCAAGGAATGCAAACAGTCTTTGTTGGCCAAGTCAAAAACGCCAGCTTCCACAGTAGAGCTAAGTCATTGCAAGAAGTGGGAAGAGACATGGAGCAAGACCCACATAATAAGAGAAAACAAAGTATATAAAACCTAGGAAAATAGATTTTAGAAAGAAACTATGGAAAATGATGGCATGCATAGAATTAGGGCACACAAAGAAATTAGGCCCAGGACAAAAAATGCCCCTTTAAGTTGGATATGAGAATTAAATATTTAAGGGAAACTGGCAAAATAACATAGAATGTGTAACTACCAAAACAGTACTGAAGCAAAATTGTCGGAGTTGGGGGGAGTGTGGAAATCCTCGATCCAAATAGTTAAGAAAAAAGACAAGTTTATGAAGGAGTGGGGGTGGGGACTAGCACATAAACAGAATGAAGAGAAAGCACAAAATGAGACCTTAGAAAGAATGTTCTATTCCTGCTCCCTGCCATCAATGGGATCTTTCAACTCTGAGTTCTGGAATTGGGGATAAAAGACTTCATCAAGGAAGTGGAAAGGATTTTAGAATTCAAAGGTTCAGAATAAGTGTAGAGAGTTGTCTTTAAAATCTGCATAGAATTCTGTGAAGAAACTCATTGGTAGCTTGATGGGGATGGCATTGAATCTATAAATAACCTTGGGCAGTATGGCCATTTTCACGATATTGATTCTTCCTATCCATGAGCATCGTATGTTCTTCCATTTGTTTGTGTCCTCTTTTATTTCACTGAGCAGTGGTTTGTAGTTCTCCTTGAAGAGGTCTTTTACATCCCTTGTAAGTTGGATTCCTAGGTATTTTATTCTCTTTGAAGCTACAGAATGGGAGAAAATTTTTGCAATCTATTCATCTGACAAAGGGCTAATATCCAGAACCTACAAAGAACTCAAACAAATTTACCAGAAAAAAACAAACAGCCCCATCAAAAAGTGGGCAAAGGATATGAACAGACATTTCTCAAAAGAAGACATTCATACAGCCAACAGACACATGAAAAAATGCTCATCATCACTGGCCATCAGAGAAATGCAAATCAAAACCACAATGAGATACCATCTCACACCAGTCAGAATGGCGATCATTAAAAAGTCAGGAAACAACAGGTGCTGGAGAGGATGTGGAGAAATAGGAACACTTTTATACTGTTGGTGGGATTGTAAACTAGTTCAACCATTATGGAAAACAGTATGGCGATTCCTCAAGGATCTAGAACTAGATATACCATATGACCCAGCCATCCCATTACTGGGTATATGCCCAAAGGATTATAAATCATGCTGCTATAAAGACACATGCACACGTATGTTTATTGCGGCACTATTCACAATAGCAAAGACTTGGAATCAACCCAAATGTCCATCAGTGACAGACTGGATTAAGAAAATGTGGCACATATACACCATGGAATACTATGTAGCCATAAAAAAGGATGAGTTTGTATCCTTTGTAGGGACATGGATGCAGCTGGAAACCATCATTCTCAGCAAACTATCGCAAGAACAGAAAATCAAACACCGCATGTTCTCACTCATAGGTGGGAACTGAACAATGAGATCACTTGGACTCAGGAAGGGGAACATCACACACCGGGGCCTATCATGGGGAGGGGGGAGGGGGGAGGGATTGCATTGGGAGTTATACCTGATGTAAATGACGAGTTGATGGGTGCTGACGAGTTGATGGGTGCAGCACAGCAACATGGCACAAGTACACATATGTAACAAACCTGCACGTTATGCACATGTACCCTAGAACTTAAAGTATAATAATAATAAAAAATAAAAAAAAATAAAAAAAAACAAAAACAAAAACAAAACAAAAAATCTGCATAGAAGTATAGCCTAAGTGAACCCATAGAGGCACAGAGGTAGGGTCTTAGATGATAGAAGACAGTGTTTGAACTTGACTCAACATACAGTAATAAACCACTATATGTACTGGAGTTGGGTAGAAATAACAACAAAAGTTGGATGTAAAAAAGAGCAATTCTAATCTCTCATGTAACGGAATGGATGGGAGAAATGGAATTCAGAAGGGATGCCAGGGGGCACCTGGAGCAACCCAAGCATGAGGAAATGATGATCTAGGGATGGCAGAGAGAATGGAAATGAAATGCCTCTTCTGGAAAATATTGTTAAGGAAAATATTTTAAAATACATGAAATACTGGCCAAAGGGATAGAAGGGATGAGCCAAGCAGAAGTTCTGCTCTTTCTGCCTCAAGAACTAGAAGCTTAATAGAATTACTAACAGAAATCTGGTAGCTGAGAAGGAAAAGCAGATTTGGTGAGGAGGTAATGAGTTCAGCTGATGTGACAGGAAGGGATTCAATGAAGATGCTCTCTAACCAGTTTCAAGCCGAGAACTAAAGATATGAACTACAGTTAGATAATTGAGTGATCTTTTTTTCTAAGATCCATGAAGGGGACTCCTAGAGTCCATTCTCTCGACAAAGAAGAGTCTCCCAAGAGTACTCAGGGTGTCAGGGTGGCTTGATACATTACTTCCTTCTGTACTGGAAAAGGATTCCCTCCCATAATTGGTAGAATGAAACAATGGTATTTACAACAAGAACCATCTGCAGAGAAAGTTATTCTTTTAGTTCTTTTACATATAATCTTGGAGGACAGATGATAAGAATGAAAAAATTATATGGGAATGGCTTCAACACCAGAACATTCTGCCTACCCTATCTGTTGTGTTCATAACTTCTTCCCACCATCCTCTTTCAGCTATATTCCCTTTAATGTGAACGTCATACAAACACATCACTATCCATAGCCTCAGCTCTTAACAACAATCTGGATCAGCATACAGCTCTCAGGATTCGTGAAACATACAACAAAAGGCCTAAGATGTACCTTCTATAAGAAAATGAATCATTGAAAGTGCCAGTATTTCTCTCTGGCTGAGCAAAAAAGGAGCATGCCAATTAATACACGCCAAGGTCATGGAGTAATTCAGTTGGGTATGACATGTAGAAAAGCCAAAGATCATTTATTGAACTTCAATCTTGATACCATAGTACTTATCAAAAGATCTTACAATAAAGCACCAAAGAACCATTACTATGGCTGTATCTGAAGTTCACCAATACCCAATAACAAGATGGAGTGTTGCAGTAGCGTGACATACGGAGAATGTGATAATCTAGGTGAGCTTCCAAGTAATTAGTGAGCTATTGAGTACAGCCCAATTGAGCTATTGAGTAACTTGCAAAATATGACAGGGAAAGTAAATGCGTGTGCATCAGCTTTCTGTAAGTTTCGCACAACAAACATAGGGTGTGGGCAAAGTACTTTATAATCATCATAATTAGCTGGACTTCAGCCGATAATCTAGAAACACTGGGCTAAAGTAAATACCCAGATGTCTGCACTATCTTTAATCTGGCATTAATTACCTTATAGCATAAGGTAATTCCAAAACATAGCCCTTGAAACTTTGCCCTTATTTTAAATAATGCTTTGTGCACACGTACGAATTTTTACTGTAGATCCCAGATGAGCTTTGGAAATTCTGAAAGGAGAAGGAGAGACATACAGGGCAAGAACAGAGGCAGAAAGAACTAGTAATCATGTAGTGTTGCCATATAAAAGACAAATACATTTTTAGTAAGTAAGCCCAAAATCTTTCATGGGACACACTTATACTAAAACCTGATTCATTGTTTTTCTGAAATTTGAATTTGGCTGGGCAATCACACTTTTATTTGCTGAATCTGGCAACCCAAGGGAATATTCCAGGTCTTCCTTTCCCAAAGCTGCACTGTCATACAAGCATGGACAAAGGTTAATTTGCCTGAGCGGCTAATGGCTGCAACGTAAACACCTCTCTTGAGAGTCACTAATGAAGAAAACCAAAACAAAATGAAAACAAACAAAAAAACTATCAAGTTGCATAAATTCTGAAATGGAAACAAAATTCATAACTCAAACCTTTGTTGGTGGCTGGTCAGGGATGCAATTAATTCGTTCCAATTCATTTACCACGGGACATTCAGCAGAAACAGGAGTGGTACCAGTTGTTCCAGGATCTGGGGGACCAGTTGTCCTAGACTGCGTGGAAGTGGTTGTTCCAGGATCTGGGGTACCAGTTGTCCCGGGATCTGGGGCTATATCAAAAGCAAACATAAAATGATCATTAAACAAATTTAATTTCACAGACATTCAATAGTTCTCAGCACCTCCAATTAACTCCACTACTGAGTGGGCTTCACTCTGATGACCTCAAAATTTATGCATCCACTTTATAAAATGTCACTTTGTTCCTGCTGACTGTATTTACCTCTGTGTGTCTCTACATCATCTCCTTCTACTCCCAACTCCATCCCCTACAAGATGGTATGTGTAAGAATAAGCACTCCACCTTTAGACTAGAAGCTCATGAAGTTGGGGACCACCCTTCCTTTAGTCTGGGGGTCAGTAACTATGGCCTTCAGGCCAAATTAAGTCAAAGCCTGTTTTACAAACAAAGTATTACTGGAAAATTACACACATGCACATTACATGTTATACACATTACATACTCATTTATTTTTAGCTGCTTTGTGCTACAAGGGCAAACTTAAGTCATATGGCAGAGTCTGTATGGCTCACAAAATCTAAAACATTTACTATCTGGTCCTTTACAGTAAAGTCTGCAGACCTCTGATCTGATTCTTTACTTCCAACCCCAGCAGCAAGGGCACACAGAACATGTGCAGTACAAGCGCCATCCTAGTCACAGTAACCTTAACTTTGCTTGCTCAGTCAACAGCCCATCCCCAGGACAAAGAATGCTTCTGAGCAACATCATTCTTCTGTAAATACAAAGTCCTATATGACAAAAGATGTAAAGGGAGCCCACCAGTCTAAAAACTGACAGCTAGGACTTACCTAAGGGCTGGAGAACTTTGATTTCAGATTTAAAAATCAGTAAATTAGAAAAGGTGTTTTTATTGTATCCTAAAATAAGGAGGTGAGCTTTCTTGAAGGTGTTCTACAATAAATTAATAATGACATTAAGACAAAACAGTTAGTCTTTTGATTGGTTTTCCTTTCATTAGGGGTTTCAGATTCAAATTGTGCCAATGTCTGCACAACGGTTTTAGTTACATCTTTAGAATCACATAATTTTAAGAGTTGAGCAACCTTTGAGACTTTTTTCTATAAAAAGTAGAAATTGTTGTAACAAGGGATGGGGTAGGAGGGGCAGAGAAGCCACAGGTTAACCCTTGATTGCCTGGTTCTCCTAGGAAGTTGCTCCTAGATGAATCAGATAAGAAACCATGGATAACTCTGCATAATCCAGCTCCTTTTGGGGATATAAAAATTCAACAAACAAAAAAACTTTGATTAGATGAGGTTCTTCAGAAAGTCCATGAAAAATATGTATTATGAAAAAATGATGTAGAAATTTCAAATATTTTTGGTACTAAAATAAACTCACAGTAGATTGTTACAATGTGTCTGAACAGGACTTAGCTTGAGGAACTAGGAAAGATAAGGCATCAGTTTGAAAAGAGTGCCTATCAGAGCAACACAAATTCTGCTAAAATTGAAGCAAGAACAAACATCAAACTCATGATGAAGCTTGGGTGGAAAAATGGTGAAATCACTGATACTTACAAAAAGTTTATGGGGACAATGCCCCCAAAGAAATCAACAGTTTATAAAGGAATAACTCATTTTAAGAAGGGCCAATACAATATTGAAGATGAAGCCCACAGCAGCAGACCATCCACATCCATTTGTGAAGATAAAAATTAATTTTGTCATGCCCTAATGAAGAGGACTGACAAACAACAGCAGAAACAATAGTCAAAACCATGGATGTCTCAAGCGGTTCAGCTTACAGAGTTCTGTCTGAAAAAATGAAAGTTGAGCACACTTTCTACTCTACGGACACCAAAGCTGTTGCACCCATATCAGCTGCAAACGAGAGGAGAACCTTAAATGGAAATTTTAAACAAGTGGGGATCAAGATTCTGAAGTATTTCTTTCAAGAGTTGTAACAGGAGATGGAACATGGCTTTACCAGTGCGAGCCTTAAGACAAAGCATGGCCGGGCGCGGTGGCTCAAGCCTGTAATCCCAGCACTTTGGGAGGCCGAGACGGGCGGATCACGAGGTCAGGAGATCGAGACCATCCTGGCTAACACGGTGAAACCCCGTCTCTGCTAAAAAATACAAAAAACTAGCCGGGCGCGGTGGCGGGCGCCTGTAGTCCCAACTACTCGGGAGGCTGAGGCAGGAGAATGGCGTGAACCCGGGAGGCGGAGCTTGCAGTGAGCTGAGATCCGGCCACTGCACTCCAGCCTGGGCGGCAGAGCCAGACTCTGTCTCAAAAAAAAAAAAAAAAAAAAAAAAAGACAAAGCACAAGGCAATGGCTCCCAAGAGGGGAAAGTGGCCCAGTCACAGCAAAAGCGGACCAGCCAAGAGCAAAGGTCATGCAACAGTTTTTTGAGATGCTCAAGGCATTTTCCTTGTTGACTTTCTGGAAGGCCAAAGAGCAGTAACATCTACTTATTATGAGAGTGCTTTGAGAAAGTTAGCCAAAGCTTTAGCAGAAAAAGCGCCCAGGAAAGCTTCACAGAGTCCTTCTCCACCACCACAAAGCTCCTGCTCATTTCGTCATCAAACAAAGGCAATTTTGCAAGAGTTTTGATGGGAAATCCACCTTATGGTTCTTATTTGGCTCCTTTTGACTTCTTTTAGTTTCCTAATCTTAAAAAAATCTATAAAGGGCACTCATTTTTTTCAGTTAATAATGTAAAAAAGACTGCATTAAAAAGGTTAAATTCCTAGGACCCTTAGTTCTTATGGATGGACTAAATGGCTGGTATCATCTTTTACAAAAGTGTCCTGAACTTGATGGAGTTTACATTGAGAAATAAAGTTTATTGTTTTTATTTTTATCTTTCTGTCTTTCTATTTCTATATTTCTATTTTTCCACAAACTTTTTGAAGTCTCTTATATACTCATTTGCTTGCCTTTCACATAAGGGTATTGTTAATTACCATTCTTAGCAGAATTAGAGCTATTTAAGGAAATTTGGCAAATGTATTTAAAATGTCAATCATGGAATCCTGCAATGCATTAATTGCTAAATCAAAGTATCACAACTTAAACCTACAATGAATATCTACTGAGCTGCCCAAAACATGTAGAACACACACATATAACAGCCCCCGCAACAAACACACACACACGAGCATGAAAGCATTACTTTCCTGCCATTGATGAAGATTTGCTCTAATAAAAACAACACATGGAGAGAGCCCCAGAGTTACTTCTTACCTGTTGATTTCAATGACTCCTTGGCTAAAAGCACAATTAGAACAATACTGATGATAAACAACACGAGCAGAAGAACACTGAGCACAATCTCCAAAGTAGTAAATTTTTGCAGCTTCTTTCTTGCCATCTCTAAAAAGTAAAAGAAAACAATTTTAGATGTGAATTTGATTTACTATATAACTAGTAAGATTTTTAATGGAAAAGCTCAAATGTGTGCAATGGATACTATAACAAGCCTCCCAAGCCCCCATTATCTAAATTAAAAAATTATCAACTCATGGCCAATTCATTCTGTCTTTATTCTGGTCCACTTTTCTCCCTACCCCGAATTACTCTGAAGCAAATCTCAGGTCTCATGTCTTTTAATCTAAAAATACTCAGCATGTTTCTTTAAAAGATAAGAAATCTTGCAAAAGGCAAAATATTATCACACCTAACATATGTTTAGCATTTTTCCATGTTTTTTGGCCACTTGTATGCCTTTTTTGGGAAAAATATCTGTTCATGTCCTTTGCCCACTTTTTAATGGGGTTATGTGTTTGTTTGTTTGTTTTTTTCCTGTTGAGTTGTTTGAGTTACTTATAGATTCTGGATATTAGCCCTTTGTCAGATACATTGTTTGCAAATATTTTATCCCACTCTGTAGGTTGTCTGTTTACTCTATTTTATTTTTTTTACTGTGCAGAAGCTTTTTAGTTTAATTAAGTATCCTATTGTCTAATTTTGTTTCTGTTGTGGTTTCTTTTGAGGACTTGGTCATAAATTCTCTGCCTAGGCCAATGTTCAGAGAGATTTTCCTAGGTTTTTCTTCCAGGAATTTTATAGTTTCAGGTCTTACATTTAAGTCTTTAATCCATCTTGAGTTAATTTTTGTACATGGTGAGAGATTTCATTCTTCTGCAGATGACATTCCAGTGTTCCCAGTACCATTTATTGAATAGGGAGTCCTTTCGCCAGTGCATATTTTTGTCAAGAATCAGTTGATTGTAGGTATGTAGCTATATTTCTGAGTTCTCTGTTCTTTTTTACTGATTTATATGTTTATTTCTATACCAGTACTGTGCTGTTTCGGTTACTATAGTCTTTTAGAGTAATTTGAAGTCAGGTAATGTGATACCTCCAGCTTTATTCTTTTTGCTTAGGATTACTTGGGCTACTTACACTCTTTCAGGGTTCCATATGAATTTTAGGATTGTTTTTTCTAAACCTGTGAAGAATAATGTTGGTAATTTGATAACAATTGCACTGAATCTGTAGATTGCTTTGGGCAGTATGGTCATTTTGATGATACCGATTCCTCCAATCCTTGAGCATGGGATGTTTTCCAATTTGTGTCTTCTACAATTTCTTTCATCAGTGTTTTATAGTTGTCTGTAGACATCCTTGAACCTCCTTAGTCAAATGTATTACTAGGTATTTTATTTTATTTTATTTTATTTTATTTTATTTTATTTTATTGTAAATGGGATTGAGTTCTTGATTTGGTTCTCAGCTTGATTGTTATTGGTGTATGGAAATGCTACTAATTTTTGTACATTAATTTTGTGTCCTGAAACTTTACTGAAGTCATTTATTAAATCTAGGAGTCTTTTGGAGGGTTTAGAGTTTTCTAGGTATAAGATTATATCATCAGTAAACAGAGGTAATTTGACTTCCTCTTTTCCAGTTTGGATGCGTGTTATTTTCTTCTATTGCCTGATTGCTGTAGCTAGGACTTCCAGTACTAAGTTGAATATGAGTGGTGACAATGGGTGTCCTTGTCTTGTCTCCATTTAGGGGGAATGCTTTCAATCATACTGAACTTTTCCTTGCTCAGTATGATTTTGGCTATGGGTTTTTCATATATGGCTTTCACTATTTTGAGGTATGGTCCTTCTACCCCAAGGTTGTTAGGGGTTTTTATATGAAGGAATGCTGGATTTTATCAAATACTTTTTCTACATCTATTAATATGATCATATGGGTTTTGTTTTTAATTCTGTTTGTGTGATGAATCACATTTATAGAATTGTGCATGTTGAACTATCCTTGCATATCTGTAATAATACTCACTGATCGTGGTGTATTATCTTTTCCACGTGCTGTTGGATTCAGTATGTTAGTATTTTGTCAAGAATGTTTGAATCTATGTTAATAAGGGATATTGGTCTGTAGTTTTATTCTTTTGTTGTGTCTTTGTCTGGCTTCGTTATCAGGGTGATGTTGGCTTCAATATTAGTTTTTAAAAGTCATTTTCAAGTGAGTCACAGAAATCTCACACTATTCTATTTCTTCCTTTCACAAAAGACACATGTGCTAAACATTTCATTAGTGTCTTATTTTTTTTTATTCTATCCCAAGTTCTTCTCGGAAGAGAGGGCAGTGCTAAATAGAGCACGAGAATCCCTGAGCTCGATTTCCAACCCTACCATTTTTTGCTGTGGTAGCTATAACAATTTATGTAATACTCTTGAGTCTCAATTTTCCTATCTGTAAAATGAAACTACAATTTCTTCTGTTATTATTATCTATTGCCAGCTTCTTATTGTGGAAATCAAATAAAAATATTCTAAGTCATAAAGCATAGGTCTCATTATATTATTATTTACCAAAGAGAAGACAGGTAGTGGGTCCTGGGTAAGAAACAGAATGTTTCTACAAAATATGTCAGTCCTACTTTCTCTGAGTATGGCACCACACCCGACTTGGTGTTCTGGTAGAGCAGCTGATGAACAATGCTGACTGCTGTCCTGGTTCACTTGCTCTGGTATGACCCCCATTAAGTGCTTTATGGCCCCATGTGTTGAATGACTCATGCATTGCCTGGGACATAAGTGTAGAAAGCCAGGAAGAGGAGCCATAGCTACAGTCTTGCCTATACAAGACCTACTTTCCCCACCAACCCACCAACACTTGCTTTCCCAGGCTGCCTTGTAAATCATACTCTCTTTACTCAAAAAGAACATCCCCTTTCTTCTCCTGTGAGGTCTTAGTTCATGACTCCCTAAATCAGGAATTGTTTGATATTCCCTTGCAATCTCATTCTCCACCCAATCAACGTTTCCTCCCATATTCTCTTCAGTAGGAAGCAGTCTTCCTTAGTCATTTATCCAAGGACTGGTTGAATAAGAGGACTTACTTCTTATACATTGATAAGAAACTGCTATTAGTCAACATAATGCCCTCTTACTATGCAAAAGGAAATGGAGCTGTGAAAGCAACCTTTCTCTACAACAAGGATTGCCTTGTGTTTTCTAGAATAAATTACTCCAATTCTAGTCTTTCTTACCATGACTGTCTCCACTATCTCACATTCCAAAGAGCTTCATAAGAAATCCTATAAAATTAAACTTGCTTGTTAAATTCCATAAAGATTAATAACCTCTCATGCCTGGTATAATTAAATGAACTAATAAAGCAAAGAGTGATCTTATGTTCACTAATAAGAAGAGGAGTTAGAATGTCTATCCAAGTGACCATGTCTCCTGTTTGGTAGATGCTAATAGTTGTAAGATGTGAGATTGCTTTTTATAACAATATTTAATTTTTTTTCAAATGTTTATTAACACACTATGTTAGACACTATGAAGAAACACCCACCCATTGCTGGTCAAACTATAAATACCCTATGCTCAATGAAGACTCAGCAAAAACTATTAAAATTACTCATGCCCATTACCCAGCAATTGCATTTATAGAAATTCATACCATAAATACACTTACACATTTGGGAATCAATGTATATACAAATAAAGGTTTTCCATCACAGTATTACATGTAATAGCAAAAGATTGAGGACAGTGTAAATATCCATAGAGACAGTACTCAGTAAATATGTGAAGTAAAATATAATTCAATGTTACTTAAAATCATGACATGGCAGGTGTTTTTAATTTCACAAATTATTTGATACTCCTCTCTTGAAGAGGTAGGCCAAGTCCCCACCACCCCCCGCTTTGAGGATGAGCTGGACTTAGTGACTCACTCTCAACAGATAGGATATGGAGAAGGGATAGCATCTAACTTTCAAGACTAGGCTTTACAGCTTCTTCCTTGCTCTTTCTCTTGGATCATTTCCTGAAGAAAACAGTTGCCATGCCATCATAAATTCAAGCAGGACTATGGAAATTTCTAGCAAACAACTGAGGTCTTTTGCTAAGAGCCATCTGAGTGAGCTCCCTTGAAAGCAGGCCTCTATCCCCATTCAAGCCTTCACATGACTGCAGTCCTGGCTGACATCTCGGCCAGACTCATGAGAGACCCTGAATCAGCACCACTCAGCTAACCCACTCCCATATTTCTGTCCTGCATAAATTGGGAGATAATAAATGTTTGTTGTTTTAAACTACAAAATTGTAAGGTAATTTGTTACCCTGCAATAGATAACTAATATGCATAGGTAAATATGACTTTTTAATAAAATATCATTAACATTTTTTTTAAAACTTGCTGTTTATCAATAGTCCTTTTGCGCCATATATTCAAATATGGTTACTTGCGCTATGGAACAATAATATCTATTTTCTAGCTATACAAGAGAAAGGTTTCCTTAAACCTTAAAAAAAACTCCAGCATTATCTGATTGACCTTACTTCCTGCATTATAGAACCCTTGATGGTGAAGCTTCCTATCTCAATTAGAAATGCAATTGAAGAAAAACTAAGATCAAGAAAAATGGCAAGAGGCAAATAAAAAAGGAAATAATTTAAATAGGGTTAAGTGCTTTTAAAAATGTTTTTTTTAAAAACCGCTACTTGGCAATCTGTCCTTAATCTCTGACTATTATTTTTATAGGACAAATATATAATTATGCAATTTTAATGCTAATGATAATAATGGTTAACAGTGATTGAGCAGATATCCTAAGAGGCTTCCATAATTTGTCACATGCAATTTTTATAACAACTGCAAGTTGATTATGGCTACTATCCTCACTTGCAGATGAAAAAATTAAGCTTCAGAAACATCAAATAACCTGCCTGATGTCATACAGCTGATAAGGAGCAAAGCCCCAATTTGAACACCTGCCCTTTGGACTCCACAGCCATGGCTTTCAACCGTTACTCTATAGTCTATGCTATAATGCTCCACGGTGTACACCAGCTTGGGCTTTCTGTGAGATTGTAGTTTAATCAAATAAAACCACATTA